AGAAGAAGAAATTTAAAAGTATGAATAAAAACCATTGATTTTTTATGTTTTAGTTTGAAGTATCCCAAAATATTTTAACTTTAAACTTAAAATTTTCCAAAAAAAAACCCAAAAACTCATTCACTAAGATAGGCTAAGTAGTGTGATTTGATGAATAAATTGCATTTTGAAAAAATAGTTGAATTAATTCAAAATTTAACTGGGATGTTCTTGAGGAGCCCACCGATTTATAATCAGCATAAAAAATACTACAAAATGCTAAAAATAAAAATCGCAAAAAAAGGGTGCCCGGTAAAATTGTATTTTTCATTTGATTCGGTGCTTAGAATGGCGTTGGCGCTACAAATATCTAAGGGCATCTGGCGCAATAATAAATTGTAACTTAATAACTAAGCGTTAAAGCAAATATTTTTTTGTAACACCATCGTTTTCAGCATTAAAAAACAAATCAATCGGAAATAAAAATTGAGATTCAGGCATGGGGATTCGGGTGGTAAAGTTCATTTGTTCCAAGTAAATTTACTTCACATAACATTTAATAAAGCTGTGATATACAAGCTATCTTTATAATTGATCAACGTTATGTTATAAACGTTATTACGAATTACATACCTAAATCATCATCCAAATCTTGGTTTTTATTTTTATTTTTACTTTTTTTTGGTATTTTTGTTTGTTTAATATTTGGTTCATCATCAGCATAATTGTCTTTAGGTAAAATATCAATTGTTACTTCATCTGAAAAATAAAAATACAAAAGATATAGGTGAATATAAAATACTATAGTAGATTAAAGAGGTTAGTGAACATCAGCATAACATTTAAATTTAAATTCAATCTATATAAATTATACAAAATTTTATACATTAAGAGAATTCTTCTACTAGATACTTATACAATATAACAAGTCCATTTAGTAATTATAATAATACTAAAATTGTAACATGTTGATTAAAGTATTACATTAAAAACAACAAAGCAAGACATTCTTACCTTTATCACTATCCTAATCTTGATTTTTTGATTTTTTAGGTTTTTTTGGTGGCATAACTATTAGCTAGCCAATAATTCTACTTGTTAACAAAATTGTATTATTTATAATTTGTTATGTACCTATATCTGAATAAGATTAAAAAATATTACTACATGTAACACCCAACACGAAAGTTTTTATGTAATGAGTAATCTTTTCTAAGGCCGTTATGTTTGGTAAAGACACGTTTTTATCAAGCTACATGATAACAGACTGTTATCATATAGCTGTTATTAACAGTTGGGCGGTTGGGCCATAACTGATAACTGTACAGTATCCTTGCAAGTTGCACAGCCGCGGCAAGAATAAGTAATATAAAGTAAAAACAAATAAAAGTATTTTTTTTAGAAATATTATTAATATCAAGGCCGAAATTCGTCTGGATTACATTTCGATGAAGGGACGATATTTATTAAGATTGTATGTTCTAGAATTAATAGTATTTATAAGGATCGATAATTATTAGTTTCTTTTCTAGGTCATTGTTACAAGCGGTTTTTGATAATTCAATAACCCACCTTTTCTTTTATTATTCTTTATTTTTTGACTAAATATTTTTTCAATTGGTAACATAAGAATGATTTAGTAGCATATTCCAATGGGCAATGACCTTGATATAGAAATAAGCTGTCTAGGTCATATTTATAAGGGTTTATTACTAATTTTGTTTTTACATTTTTTTGTCGTTGTTTCCAGTGCACTCTATTTCTTTTCTAAATTACTCGATATTTAGTGGACCGATTTGTTTCTTTTTTTTCATTCTACGTATTTATTAGTGAACATTATTATGGCCTAAAAAAAATCGACTGACATTTTTAGTTTCGGTTTTGTATTGATATCTGTGACCATCCAGAAAATAACCCACCATGCAGCAACGACAGTCCAGTCAATAACGATTTTAAAATGAAAGTTTTGAAACTTGGCAGAAATGTTCTGTATGATCTCTTGATTGACCAAAAAAAATCCGACACCCCTTCGAAGACCGGGAGTTTCCGCCATTTTGGTTTTTAAGTATGATTTTTAAGATTTTAAGTTTTTTTCTCAATTATTATAAAAAATATTAATTTTACGGCAAAAGTAGCTTTATTCAAAAATATAGCTGACAACATTTTCAACAAATATGGTTCTATACTTTTTTCTGTCAGTCGAATAGCAAATTGAGTATATTACACCGAGCGTCATGATATTTAACGACGCCTGCTATAATGGAGTGTATAGGTTGATTATTAGTTATTATTACCTACATAGTTTATAAGAAATAGAATAAATAATTTATAAATATAATAAAAAATTATTCTCAATTATAATTAATTAATAATTCTCAATATTTTACTGTTCATAAAATAACCTCTTGTCGTGCATGGTGGGACACATGTAATCTCACCTACACTAACTCGTGATTCCATTTATATATTTTTTTTTACTTGATAATAATTATATGTATGGAATTAAAAAAAGATTATATTAGAAGTTATAACAATTAAATAAAAATTTGGTAGACTGTGCAACAATGGGGTAGAAAAATCTGAAAAACGTGTGCCGGAAAGAGTTAAGGGGATCAGTACCATTTTTAAGGAGTTTTGTATAGGCAATATTTAAGAAAAAATTGTTTAAATAAACTTCGACCTTGTCAATTAATTTACCGGTTAATTTGTACAAGCTTCATGATATTATTTTTAATTTAAATTATTTTGTCTTAGAGTAAAAGCCGTTGTTACGGTACAATGTTTTAGTTAATATAATAGTACATTTTTTGTCCATCGCACAGGCCGAACCAGTGATCCGATTAGTAATCTGAAAATAGATTTGAATTCGTTATGAAGTTTACTTGGGATCCTACCAGGTACTTTTTTGATATCTTTTACTTACTATTAATAAAAAACGTTTGAACATTTTATAAAATTTTAAAGTTAAATTTGTAAAGGGTTAAAATTGAAAATTGAAAAAAGTGCCTTGTAGGATCTCAAGTAAACTTTATGACGAACTCAAATCCTTTTGAGGATTCAATTCCTTTCAATTTACTTATCGGATTACTGGTTCAGCCTGAGCGATGGACATACAAATTATGTGTTTTTACTGAAAAAAACCGCCGGTATCGAATGCCCTTTAATACTGTGATTTTTTCACCTATTTTAATTTCTGAATGTTTTCAAATTTTTAGTACCTATTCAATTCACTTCATTGGAATTTTTAAGTAAATGAAACAGTTATTTATTTTAATATTTATTAATGATTTAGGGACTGTCTTTAAACATAGTGAACTTATTAAAAGTTTGCGGATGATTTAAAGTTATTTAACGTAGTTAAATCTAGGGACGACTGTCTTAAGCTGTAAAATGACTTAGATAGATTTATGGACTGGTGTGGTAAATATGGATTAACAGTTAACGCTAGTAAATGTAATCAAATATCTTTTTACCATAGTCGTAGTCCTACATCAGTTATTTTATAAATAATTAAGAGTTAGAAGTGGTAAAAAATATTAAAGATTTAGGTATTATACTATCTTCTAACCTAACTTTTAACAATCAGATCAAGTCAATTTGTTCTAAAGCATTTAGAAATTTAGGCTTCATTAAACAGGAATTGTAATGAGTTTAATAACCCGGACTGTTTGGTAACACTTTATTCCGCTCTTGTGCGATCTGGTCTAGAATTTGGTGCTACTGTGTGTAATGTAAACCAGGTAGGTCTTATTGATAAAATCGAAAAGGTCCAGAGATAAATAAAATAACTGCTTGTATAAAATCGTTTTAGGTTTTTAAGTGACTAATTATAAATGTGTAAAATTAACACTCGAATAATTATATATTCAAAAATCGAGTTTATTACAAATATGAAATAACATTGAGTATCTATTCTATTTATTATAATATTGAATACATTTTACTCAACTCTGCCTACTATAAGCATCTTGGTATTATAATAGTCCAATAATTAATATCGCATATATTCATATATTTTGCATTTAACTATAAATATTAGCAATGATCTTAACACGTGTTACACATGCTATTATATTAATATAGTTCAGTTAATATATAAATATAATTATGCTTTTTATTCTATAACATACATTTATTTTTTTGAGATTTATTTTTCGGATCCTTACACTTCCCTGTTTTGAGTGCAAAGCTTTTCCTGGCATAAAATACATCAATTAATATATTTAAAATTTACATAATTGACAAGAAGTTTTTATTTATTGGAAAACTTATTTATTTTTTAATACATTTTTAAACGAGAATAATTGTAGCCAATAGAATTAGTAATTCTAAAATTTTACCACAATTTGATTATTTCCTTCTAATTGTTTTATTAAAAATTAAAGAAATGTGAAGTATTAAGAATATTAATGAAATATGAAGTAGTCTAAGATATTTTAAATATATTATATATCGGGAAAACTTACCAATGAAACAAAAAAATGTCATTACTTTTTTTATTTATTTGTAACCTAACTTAGATACCCACTTCAATAAATTATTCGAATAGCGCTGTAGATTGTACTTTTGAATAATAGTTACTAGCTGGTATTAAGAGTAGATTTGAACAAATTATAAATTTAAATTAGTATATAAAAAAAGAACAGACGACTGAGAAGCCGTAAAAATATATTTCTACATAAGATAAGTGCCAAAATAGTTAATATGAATTATGATATTGTCCGTTTTTCTGATTTTTTATAAATCGGTTTCTTTAGCATTCCGCTTGTACTCGATAAATAAATTAGTATTTGTTGTAGACTTTCACTTTTAACGTAAAAAAATTATAGAAAATAAGGGTTTGAAGTTGATAGCTTTATAAACAATTTTGTTAATGTTCCGAGTAAATTGAAGAATATTATGACAATTAGAACATTTGCGTGAGCTACTACTTTGCATTATAATTAAGGAAGTTCGTTCACTAATACAATGCATTTTATTTATCATTTTTTTGTTTGACGTACATTAATTAGTAATACAGCCAAATGGTAAATCAGTTGTGATATTTAACAGTCACGTATACCTATTAAAGAACACCATACATAGAAGTCAGAAGAACTCTAAGAACCCCATATTTTGTATATTACAGTTGCACATGTAATAAGAATATTTTTTATAAAGTAATACTAAGGTAAGCCATTGATATTATTTAATTGTGTAATATAAAGTTTATACAGTCAATAATTCGTTAATTTAATTATAGGTACCTAATGAGCCTACGGGTTTTTAAAAATTATTAATCATTTAACTAAATTGCAAAATAAATATATAAATACTATTATACTGCCTCTTTAACATAATACGCAGTTAGGTATATACTGTTTTAATGGGTGAACTATGTAGGACAAATTAGCAAGACAAATATTACTTAATATTTTCTAAACATTTTATCTGTATTTTTTTCTGTCAATGTAGCAAGTTATAAATAATTATACTGGGTATAAATTTTATTTCAATTTATAAATATACTATACAATTTCTAGTTATAAAATGTTTTGATAGATCATAGATTACTTATAAATTAGAATTTGTTTTTCAAGAGTTCAGTTGTAATAATTAAATAACTTTTGCAGGCAATTATGGACATTAGGGATTTTTACAGGGAATGTGACGTCTTCGTAACAGGCGGCACGGGATTTATGGGTAAGGTTCTGATTGAAAAGTTATTAAGATCGTGTCCCGGTATTGGAAAAATGTATTTACTAGTAAGAGAACGGAAAGGAAAAGATGTGAAAACCCGAATTAAAGAAATGATCGATTTACCAGTAAGTACACAACATTTTGTTTTGAAAAATACAAATTGGGAAAATTGTAGAATGAAAACCTGTAAGCATTGTTTCCCGCTGGATCGTAAATTGATTCGAATTAGTTTTACGATTTTCATAATTAAAAAAAAATAATAAACATCAAAATATTTTAGTGAGTATTTTATGAGCTAGTATAATATTATTAAAATATTTTTTTTAGTGCTAGAAAAATGTTTTAGTTATAGCAATTTGGGTAACACAGTACCTCGACAAGTATAAAACACTTAAACAGTATTGTAACGATATCCAATAGCCCTGGAATTGTTGTATCATTTTTGTATGGTATAAACCAGACTTACTTTAATCAATTTTATGGCGTCAAGTAGCTACGCGTCTTTATAGCTGACATTATGTTAAAACTTTAATAGCGACGTTACAAATTGATTTCATAATAAAACAGATAAACAGTGGAAAATGCATACCATTTAAATATATAAATAATATGAATACTCATTGGTATCCACTTTCCATGACAAAACAACATCTGTATGGAAAATCACTCCCGTGACAGCCCTAACAGCACAAAAATCAAAGGCACATTTACTATGTTGCCCAGAAAACATTGAATTATGGATACGTTTTAAGATTTTATAAATGTCCTTCCATTTCCTTATTTTTATAATCTATACTTAAATCATGAAAAATATCGAATGTTAAAATACTGAGCTACCATAAAATGTATAAATTTTATCACTGGAGTGCATTTTTACGATTTTAAACTTAAAATTAATAAAACATGATTTATTAAACAGAATAGAGTAAGCTTTTAAAAGTAAAGTACACAAAAAAAATAAATACTTAGATCAATTAAAATAATAGTTACAATAAATGCATATAGTTGGAATAACTAAATTTTTAGTTAAGGCAACTAAAAATGTATTATGGTTTATAATAACCTTAATTTTAGTTGGACCAATATGTATTTTCCGTGTGTAGCTTATAAAAATAAACTTTTATTTGTTTGATACAAACATTAAATATTTTGATTGTTACAAGACTACCAAAAAAAAATAAGAAATTTATAGTACCATTTTAAAGTAACTCGAAAGGTTAAATCTACAGAAAAATAAAAAACATCAAGTATATTAACAAAAACTTTGCTTAAAAATGAAAATTTAAAATATACCGATAACAGTTTTCCAGACGATTTTCCAAAACTATTCTATCGCTCTGCATACAATTAATGTAACAATACAAACTAATTTTTTCAATAAAATATTTAAATATAAACCCTCAAATCAACAATCCTATAAAAAAAAGTAATGTTGAAACTGGTAGAACAAACAAATATTAGGTATTATGTCATATAAAATCATTATATCTTGTATAAATTAGTTCAATAAGTTGATTTTGGTTAGAGATTTCTATTGACCAATGTTTTTATTTTTAAACAAAATATTTCAAATAAACACCAACAAAAAATACATTTTATCGCTATAACAATTACTTAATATGAAATCAATGTAATTTTTTTAAGGAATAGCTAAAAAAACACAACTTATAATAAAAAAACGTTTGCATGTTATTATTTCGATGGTATATTAATGTTATATGTTACACAGTGTATAAGAACGCTGCATCAGAGACATAATGGGGACCGCTATGCCCATTTCAGTCGTGAAGCATAATATGAGTAGTGACTAGAGGTGCTGAGGTATGAGGCACAGGGACCGACCACATCGAAATGATCTTGCGCATTCAAATCAATTTTAACAGGAGTTGGGCTATTTCGTGTCGCTATTTTGCGTCGTTATATTGTATTGTTTATTGTGTCGATTTTTTATGTCGTTTTCAAACTGCGAGGCCAAGGCTAATTTTTAACTTATGACCTTGTTAATGGCTTGATAAATATTATATTTTAAATGAACACATTATTTAATAAATAAATAATAATTAATTCCTTATTTAAAACACATAAATTAATTTTATTTGTCACGTATATATTTTACTCAGAAGAACTGATAGATTTCTAAAATAGTCTATGCGCATACAAGTTCTTAACCATGCCAATTGCATGTCTTGATTCTTTATAACCAATTTAGTTTTTCGAATAAAAAGTTTGCTATTTTTATAAATGTACCTATTTACGTGTTAGCGGTAAATAATTGCAGCTGTTTGAAAAACTCAGAAACGAAAAGCCCGGGTTGGCCGAAAAGAAATTATTCCCTATTGAAGGGGACATAACTGAACCTCAATTGGGTTTGTCCGACGTCGACTACCGGATGCTATCCGAGAACGTTTCGGTCGTGTTTCACGCAGCAGCCACGGTACGATTCGACGAGCCACTCCGAGAGGCGATTATCAAGAACGTCAGAGGCACCAGGGAAGTCGTTCAGTTAGGAAAGCAAATGAAGCGCCTTAAGGTCAGTGGATTCGTTTTATCGTGGTCGATTAGATCGCACTATACAATGTATAGGTACATATTTACCCGTATTAAGTACTGACATTAATATTTAATGGCGCTTAGGTGTTTTTGCACGTATCGACGACATACTGTAACTGTAATAGGATTTATGTGGACGAGAAATTTTACCCATCCCCTGTGGGCTGGCAGGACGCAATTTCCATAGCCGAGAATCTAGACCCAAAGTTGTCGGAAATTTGCGCAAAAAAGTGAGTCCGATTTTATTTGGTTGGAAGTATTCGATAATTTGATTTGCAGTTTAACGGTTTGAAATTACTTGTATAATACAAACTGGTTTTATAATAAGTTAATTTAAGTAATTCACTAAGGCAAATGAGATTTCATGGTATTCGTGTATTAAGTAAAACTATAGATTAAGTAAAATTATAAATAATTGATCGAAAAAACTCTAGTATTAATAGTGAATAGGTATTATTATTTTATGGTTTAAAAAATAATAAAAAAACTTTATGTTCTTTTTCTTCACATTATCCCTTGTAAATGCGGTCTGCCAGCCAAATAATACCTCTCCAAAATCCAAAATCGTATCCAGCACCATTTCATAGTTTATTCCACATACCTTACTCCTTAATTTATAACATAACATCAGTCTGCTACTTTTTCGATCTACTTTTACCTCTAAATCCTTCTACACTAATCTATCTAACGTATTTCATTATTTTAAATTAGACGTGAATTGGTAAAGTGATATTACGATTCATAAACGTCAAATACAAACATTTATTTTTATCTTCGATGCAGAGTTGAGAAGGTATTGTTTTTTGTTTTAGAGATAATAATAATTATTTAATACAGGGTATCAATTCATCGTATGACACTCATTTTCTAGGAAAATAATTGCAGTTCAATAATTTTTCTTTTTGGAAACATTTTTGTATGTTATCTATAACATATTTTAAACCGCTGATTCAATTTCTTCGAGTAGCAATTCTATAGATCAGAATTCAGAAATCGTAACTAAAAGGTACTTAATTAGGACAAACATTTAAAAAGGTATCCCTTTCCCTTCAAAATCGAGAAAAACGCCCAAACAATTATATCAACATAATTTTCAACTTAAAATTACGATGCTCTATAACTTTTAAAAAAATAGTCGAAGTAGTTCTGAATTTATATAGATCATTCTTTAAACATAGTAATTAGTATTACCGATAAACATTGACCAACTTTAGAAGGCATAGAAATTGTTTCATTATTTCACTTTTTCAAGCAAAGTTTTAGGGATTTGGGACCGAAAGTTGATTTAGAATGGAACTATAAACTTTTTTTTTATTAAGGAAAAATCCCAACAAAGGGGGAAATTACAATTTGACCGTGGTCAATTTCCAGGTTGCTATCTGTAAGTGAATCAACAGTCAACAGGGTCTGAAAACATTTTCATTATATTGTTAATTACAACACGATTACGATCACGGAACAACCCTATCCGTATCTACCCTAATACTAAAACTTAATTTTGAACCATATAATTATTTTCATTAGGTACAATGCTTTTATCGATGTTTGTATTTTTATCTGTGAACGCTGGTCTTCCCTTACCTACTCACTTACGTATAATACGTTCTTTATGTGCTTGTTACTTGTACTGTGCTTGGTTTGAACCGTACTGGTTTGAACCTACCAACAACAGATTTGCATTAAAGCGTTTATTTAAAAGTGAATTTATCACTTTCAACTATAATCATTTCTGTGACCTACCCGTCCCCAATATGCCCCGACACCACTGTACTGGTTTTTATAAATTAAGAATATTTTGCTGAACATTTTGATTAGTCGATAACCAGTTTTGGATACTTAATTTTAAAGTTAAAAATTTAGGACTAAAGGAAGGGTGGAGGAAAAACATTACGCTACAACCTTTTTTCTTGTTATACATTTTATTGTATTAATGTATTACTTTTATATGCATTTATTTATCTGCGTCTTAATTTTTTTAATTTGGTAACTTTTAGAGTAATTATACAAAACTAGTTGTCAACCATTTGTTACCATTAAAATTTTTAATTTTTATAGGGCTCTGAAAAAAAATAGACAAAAGTTTGAATATTACATATTGTTACAAAATTCCACAAACTCGAGTACTTCGAAAAAGAAAACTAAAATATTGCAATTATTTTCTAGAAAATTAGCGACTTACGTTCAATTTATTATCCTATAGATATTTTAGTTTAATATCGTTTTAGGTTTTTGGGAAATTTTCCAAACACATACACGCTAGCAAAATTAATTGCTGAACAAATAATTGATGAGGAAAAGTTCAACATGCCAATGGTTATATTCAGACCATCTATCGGTTGGTAATAATATTGTATTTAAATTTTAAACCAAAGGTTCCCGCGCTGTTGCTACGGGCTACTTTAGTCTGTAATAATATTGATATAGGAGAACCCACAGATATGACGACAGCCATCAAACGTAGTTAATTAATCATCTCTTGTTAAGAGTTATTTTAGCATAAAATATTGCAAATACTATTATTATAAGTTATAGCAAATAATTTTAATACAAATTTGAAAATCAGATATTTTCGGGAGGCTATTCGGATAAAAAATAAGTAACTACTTAATGCAGGAAACACCTAGACCTAGTATTTTTTGGCCTAAAATGTGACGATAAAATATAAAGGTCACACGAGACAATTCGCTGCGGTAGTCGATTAGCAATTACAAAATAAGAATAATAAAAATAATAACTAACTGTTAAGCAACCTACCTTAGCATCTATAAAATTTGCGACTGTGCTCATCGGTGGTTTAAAAAAATTAAATTTAACGTTTCTCATTTTAATTCAACTCAACGAGTATACAGATATTATTGAATTTTATAAAATATGTCAAGTTATAGTTGTATGTTGTAATGCAATGCTTATAACCATTGTTCATCTGTTATCAATGGAGTTTACTTACCACAAACTAATTATTCCTTCAATAATGTTTAAGGCTTTTAATGTTTGAATACAGCTCAAACTAAATCATTAATATATAATATTATTGTTTATTAATATGTGACAATAGCTGTAGCTATACTATAATTACCTATACCCATATAATATATATGTATATTTATAATAACATTTTGTATATAATATAATAATATGCACATTACCTAGTTGTGTCTTCATTGCGAGATCCAATAAGTGGATGGATTGATAACCTCAACGGACCAATTGCACTTATGACAGCATGTGGTAAAGGCGTTACTCTAGTAACGTTAGCTCATAAAAATAAAACTCCAGACTTTATTGCAGTTGACGTGTCGATTAAGGCTATGATTTTAGCGGCATATCAACGTGGAATTCACAAGTACACCTACTTATTTATTTTATAGTTAAATTATTAAATAATACAGTACACTATGTACACAGTACTAACAGTAAACTATGTTCAGCGTTTATAAAATACTGAGCTTACTTTTGGTTTTTATTATAAAAATAAATATATTTTTTTTAATAATTACCCGAATAATTGAATATATGATGTATTTTATTATCAGTTTGAGCATGCTAAATAACATCAACATGTTTTGGTTCTTTTGTTTTATACTAAGTTTAGATTAGAGTAAATTACTATAGTACACTAAAAAAAATATTGTTTTCTACAAAAAACAGTCTATAAAGTAGGATCTATTCTAAAGATTTTTGTCAACAATGCATTGGGATTCAGCCATAATAAAACCCTAACCTCACTTTGAGCATGAATAGGATGGGGCTGGGTGACAACTTGACTTAATTCATCTCAAAAAATGTTGAATAATATGTATTATATATATTTATATATGCATGGTGATTCATTAAGGATAACTTATTTTTTTTAAGATAATTTAAATTTTGTAGTTTTTCTTTTTGAAAACATTTTTGCTTATGTTATTTTACTATACTATTTATATAAAATTACTAAATATTTACCCTTTTAAGTATTTTTCAAAGCTTTATCGATGTTTTAAACTTAAATTGTAAGGTAAATATTTAATTAACTAATTAAATTATGAATAATTTACTACAATTCTAAACAGGTTAATAACCAAATAAATAGTTTAACAAATTTTTCTTAAAAAATAAAAACGATTTAAATATTGGAAAATAACATAAATCAAAAGGTCTCTAAAAAGAAAATCTACAATTTTGTATAATACAGCATTTTACAAATAAATATACAATACATTTTTTTGAGCGATACTCTTAATAAGTCTTTCCATATTAAATACCTTTTAAAAAGATTTATAAAATTACAATTTTTATAACCCTTATTTTTTTATTTTTTTTTTATTTGTAGTTAGCGATGACGGACTTGGCTAGGGAAAATGGGGGTAGTCGGCCACTGAGCTGCCAAGAACACTTGAGCTCATAAAATTAATTCTCTCTCTGACGTTTAATAACGTTCATTATTCCCACCTAACAGGGATTAGACGGTTTAGATTGGGCATTTTTGGGCTTATAGTTGGCTGCCGACCTAATACTACCAAACAAGTTGGTCCCAGAAAGAGGTATACGTAGCCATTTTTCACAAAATCATTAGTTATTTAATTTAATGTGACTTTTTATAAATATAAAAAAATTTTTTTAAGAAAATAACACTCTTCTACTTTGTAATTATGCTACTCAGTAGTGGGGCTGTATAGTGTAAGCGAATAAATACATCTACTTTGACATAAAACAAAAATTTTATATATTTTTAGAAAACGTCTCTAAACTTATTATAAAACAGTGATAGACAAAAAACGTGTGCTGTCTATCATTTTGTTTCTACTGTTTTATTTTATTTTATTTAAAACCTAGCCTAAAATTAATATCAAGGGTCCCGATAAAGTTTTGGACAAGTCAAATTTTAATCACAAGAATTTAATCACGTTATTTTTGTCTGGAACACCATCCGAACCCCTCATTATTACAAAAACTACTTTTGAAAATAATTTATTTTTTTTAGCACCCCACTAGACAACAATCTGCCAATATACAATTGTTCGTCCGTAAAAAAATCTATAAAGGTTAATGAAATTTTGCAACTTGCTGTGAAATACTTCATGATTAATCCATATGATGAAATGCTATGGCGTCCTAGAATTTTGGTAACAAGTTCCGTGTTACTGTTTACAGTTTTGTCCTTATTGCAACAAGTATTTCCGGCCATGCTTATTGATTTTGCAATGAAAGTCTCAGGAAAAAAACATTCTGTGTAAGTAATCTAAGTACCTATTATTAGTTTAAAAGTATATCAAAGCATTTGTCAAAAATTACGTGTTTTTATTGATTTGCCATTTTTTAGAACAAGTGAATTTAACTACGGAGTGAGCAGTCCGCTAGTTTTTCAAATAAAGTTGTTTATATACATAGCTTTTTTTTATAGTATTTTCAGTTTTGAATTTCTTCTTATAAAATCATATGTCAGGGAGCAAAAAAAATGTTAGTCTTTGAAATTACTTTGAAAAACTTCAAACAAATTTAAATTTTACTCGTGAAAGGATTTTTTTATGTAAACAGGGACTACCATTTTTCACATTTTCAGTATAAGTTGGCCGATGGGTTTTAAAATTTAAAATTTCAAAAAACATAGATCCTACTATGTATTTTACAGCGTGCCAAAATTACGTGTCTTCAAGTAACGTCAAATACTTTTGAATGTACGATTTTTACTGTTTGTCTACTTGTTACTACAGTAATCGGTAGACTATAGTAGATCACATTATACTATACAGTGGACTTTTGGTAATTCGGCAGATATCAGAATAGAGTACTGCCGGATTAGTGCAAGTTCATTAAAAAACGAATTTTAATAGCAAAACCAATGTTTATTGTTTATTATACTGTATATATCTGTATTATACAGGTTTAAAAAAGTTGGCAATTTTGTATTGTCTTTGTATCGCTTTTTCTTGAAGTCGGTAGACCATGATAGACCACATCGTACTATTGTAGTTGTAATTTCTGCCATTTATAAGCATATTAGAATACTACTTCATTCATTAAAAAAAACTGTAATTCCACGTTCAAGTAAAAAAGCTATAAAATAGCGATTACCGATCAAATTTTAGTAATTGCCAAATTTAAATTACAATGCGTCATAATGCATAAAATGTAATTATTAATTCAATACTTGATTATTTGAATAAGAACAACCTTAGTAATGAGTTAATGTAAAAAGTTACCAGACTTGGATTCAACGAAAAAAAAAATATAACCTGATGGATAACATATTTGAGGGTATTATTCTAGATATTAACACGATCCAAAGTTAGTAATTGGAGAAGCCCATTTTGCGATCACATCCTGTATAGTAGAACCGTGTGGTCCAGCTGTAGTCTGCGAAGACGGCCTTTTATTCTTCAGAATTTAATGATTATTTAGCATAGTTTTAAACTAAAAATGCCTAACTAGGCAAAACAGCTAATAATTAACAAATTTATGTATTAATAAAATATATTATATGATTAATTTATTCTTATGCGCAAAACCTAAAGAATCAAAAATAAAAACCAATTTTTAAATATCTAACCTATTCTTTGTGTGCTGTTTAGGAACTTGACGAAACTACAACGGAAAATATATTTAGCGACAATAGCATTGTCAAGATTTTCTACAAAATCGTGGATTTTTGAGAATAACAATTTTTTAAAATTACTAAACCACATACCGGAAGTAAATCAAGAGGATTTCAATTTTAAATTTGAAAATGAAGATGTAGACAAATTTTTCCAAAACAGCGTTATCGGAACCCAAAAGTATCTATTCAACACAAACCCACACAAAAACTTACAAGCTAAAAAAACGCTTAAAAAGTGATGATAATTTTTTTATAAAATATACCTAAATACATAAATTTAAAAATTATTATTTAATAGCTTTAATAATTAATGTTATAATATATATTTTGTAGACTGGTTTGGATGGATCGATTTTTGAGGACCTTATTCTTTCTTGGAATCTTAAAGCTTATAGCAAAGATTGTCACCCACAAAATGTCTTCCTTTTAATACAATCTTTTTAGAGAGACCTATCATAATGTTTAAAAAATATTTTAACTAATAAAGATTACAATGAAATAAATATTTAAAATGTTTGTAATTGGTAACAAAAATAATCGACACAGTTTAATATGCCTCATTTGTTTGCTATATTTATCAACAACATTTAACAATTCCTACTTATTCCTGTTCGATTTATATTCATTGTATAATTAGTTTATATTCTTTATTATTGTACATTTCTCATTTAATATAGCTATACATTTATTTGGCCTAATTATTTATAAATGGCTAAAGGAATTTATTAATTATATTATACAATCATAATTATTATATTTTTCAAATACTATTAAAATAATCACTATAATATTATAATTATATAAACTAAAAAATAGCGAATTTTAACAACATGTATTTTTTTATTTCTAATCTAACCACTAAATATGAAAGCTTATGTTGACTTATACTAATAATATTGCTTATGTAATATATAACTGAAGAAATAAACTATTTCGATAATAATATTCTGTTTGGCCTTGTGTTCTTTTTTGTAGAACTATCAACAACGTATTTATGTAACTATACTTAAGTGGCCTCTACACTAGCATTTAGTAAGGTGCACTGTATTAACAATGTTTTACTAAAACTTGACATTAAGTTAAAAATATTAAACATAATATATAATGACACAGAATAGAGGAATCTAGTTTGATATTCATTGTTTTTTCAACTTCTATAACGCAACAGGTTCTATTTTTGTATAAAACACATGTTTCTATCTCGATCAGTACGTTCTTAAAAATAATCCTAGTGAAATTAAAAAAAAAATATTTGGATTCTTCATAATATTTTCTAAGTATTGATCGTGGCACAATTTTAAAATTATTTTTAGGTACCTAATTAATAATCACTATGTGAAAAATTACAATTTTTAAAGTTTTTTAATGATTTTTACATTAACATTAGAAATGAAAATGAAAAATATAGTTCATTATCACTGGTCGATAACCAGTTATGGGTAATTACTTTTAAAGTCATTGAAGTTCAAAATGTTGGACGGGAGCTGAATGCGGCTGAGTAATGCATGCAAAGATAAACATTATTACATTTCAACCTTTCTCCAAAATCTAAATTTCGGTGTGTGCAAATTTACTTGCGAAAATTAAACTCAAAAACGAATACGCTAATAATAATATTTATAATATTAATAAAATGTATATTTATACCGATGCAACAAAATACGCACAAGGAGTAGGCTTTCAAGATAAATACACTATCCAGCATAACCTCCGTTAAGAAATAAGTATATTTTCAGCGAAAAACTACGCCATTTATGAAGTAGCTGTAATAGAAAACAAGATTATCTTCAATAAAAAATGAATTCTTAGTGACTCACTTAGCGCTCCCCTGGCACTTCAAAACCTTTTTGCGACAAAATATACATTCTGAATTAATTTAAATCCAAAAAAAATATCCAATTTATCTAATGTAGGTTTAACAGGTAACGGTTTTCTGACAATAGAGTAGACGAGGCGACAAGAGCATTAGGTACTTCAACCAATGATCACTGTATCTACTACATTTTCTATAAAAAATAAATAAACATGGTATGATTTGCAAAACTATTGGGATTTCATTCTACTTACTAAGAAACTAAAAAGGGTTAAGAAAAACACTGAAAATGGCACATTCCCCCGCACTTTAAAATACGTCATAAAGTCATTATAGTAAGAGCTAGAATCGGCATTTCCTTTTTAACACACGCATATCTAGTCAACAACAAGGGTGCTCTTACTAAATGCGATAAATGTCAAATCGATCTAACTATTCTACACAAAATCCAGGATTATCTAGAAGAACCATGATATACGAACAAATCTATCCCCACTAATCAATTTTTAAGAAGCCCTTAATGAAGAAATCAGCACCAAAATATTTTATTTTTTAACTAAAATAAACATTTAATTATTGTTTCCGGTTTTACTGTAAATAACTTTAATACTACTTAGCAGTTGAAGCCTATTATATAACAAAAAAATAAATACACACAGTTATTACTTTTTAAAAAATATATTTTAAGAAAATTATTTCTCATTTCGAATTCATAACGAGTTAAAATAATAATAGAACAGGCAATTACATATTATACATTATTAATTTAATCGTTATAAGTAATAATTATTTATACCTATTGCCTATCATTAAATTGTAATAAAGTTAAAATAAAAATTTTTTTTTTTTTTTTAAATAACATTTACAATCTGTACATAAAGAAAAATATACAATAAGCAAATATGTTAACAATGTAAATAAATGACTAAAAATGAATTAAAAAATATTTTTACAAAATAGATATTATCTATTATTATTTAGTTTAAATAACCACGAATTACTAATATAACAAACAATAAACGTTTGATTGACTAGTCCAAGCACATGGTGACGGTTATTTAATGCCTGGTACGTCAATGCACATTCCACGTAGTGGAATCCCACCTTAGTAGTTCTTGGTTGTTTATTGAAAAAAAAATGTTTATATAAACAAAAACAATGGGCAATGACACTACTACTAAAACTAGCCGATTTTGGCGTTATCATTATTTAACCTGTGATCACAGATATGCATAAATAAATAAATATACATTTTTCCATTCAAGACACATTAAACCATGTTTTATTGGTGTACATACCGCCGTGAATATCAATTAAGGAAATACGAGGTGTCCTTTGTACAAAACATGGTTGAATAATATAGATACACTGCTGTTCTGTTACGATATTCACTCAATAACATTCGATTCACATTCGTACTCCGTAGAAGTGACTGGTGAAGCGTTTTTGTAAAATATTCTGTACACAAGTTAATTTTGCTGTTTTAGCTCAGTGTTTTTGCAATGGATATCGAACTACAAGTGAGTTTCTTTTTGAACACATAATAAAATATAGTTTATACTTGTTTACATTACTTATAAAAATTACATTGCAATGTAAAAACATGGGTTTTTTTCGTAAAGAAGTTTTCAAAATAAAATTTTGTTTGTTTAAAAAACACTACATTAAAAAAATTATGTCGTAAAAATGTAATTTTTATATTATAAGATATCTTATTATATAAGTTATTTTTCTTTAGTATACTCGTAATAAGAATTGTTTTAACATTGAATTAACTATTAATCATATTATTTTAAGTATTTTATTTACATTAGTAGCCAGTTTAATATTCCAGTCTTAAGGGAATTTTTTTGTATACATACAATATTTGTATTGCAGAAAATGGGAGTACGAGATTTTTTCAAGGGACGCAATGTCTTCGTGACAGGTGGTACAGGATTTATGGGAAAAGTGTTAATCGAAAAACTTGTGAGATCTTGTCCGGGCATTGGACAAATTTATATATTGGTTAGAAACCGTAAAGGAAAAGATATAAAGGACAGGATCAAAGAAATGTGTAACGTACAAGTAAGTTATTTTTACATATTATACAATATTTGACTGACCAAAAAATTGTCAACGGAATGTTTATTTTCGTTGTACATAAAATGGTCATTTACATAAATTAAGAATACAAATAAGGTCTACTTATTAAATAATATTACAATGATGACAGTATGCGATATTATATGTATTTTTACTTAAATATTTAGTTAGAAATAAAATAACATAACTCTTGGGGGGTGCTTGGGGGGGGGGGGCTTAGCACCCCCAAAATTATCAATAGCCCCCCCAATTATTTGATCACTTATCAAAGTAATAAATTCCTTAATTAATGGAGTAAAAACTAAAACTATTAATAAGAATAAATTATGAAAATGATTTTAGTTCCCAAACGGCAAAACATTATAACAATGTTTTTGATAATGTTATCATTTAATTTTAATTCAAGTGCTAAATAAAGTTATACATTTTTCAAAAAACGCAATAAATATTGATAAAATTCAAAAGGCTCTAACCCTAAATGTATTTCCCAGCTTATTCAAATTATTTCAAGTCGCCTTGTCTTTGCCAACTAGTTCAGCTACATGCGAACGCAGCTTTTCAGCTATGCGCAAAATTAAGACATGGTTACCTGACATGGTTGCTTAATAATTCATCCATATTATACATTGAAAACGATTTAAATATTGATGTAGAAAAAATTATTGATATATTTGGATCTAAGAATAGGTACATTGCCTTAAAATAATATGTATTTACTTAAATAATATACAAATATTATATTATAATTATTATGTTTTTTATTTATACATTTGTAATGTTATATAGTATTATATATTAATAATTTAGGAGTGTAAATCCCTTGCTGGTCATTTTAGGTAGAAAAATACTAGCCCCCCCAAAAAATTAATGAAATCTCCGCCTATGCATAACTTAAACATAGAAACATTGTTCTGACAAGATTAATCGAGTACAAAGTTCCAGTTTCGAATCATTTATCTAATTATTCCTAATAATACACCTAATACAAAATAAAATTATTTTATTTTAACTTTCTTATTGAATTAAAAATAATAACACAGTTTAACAGTTATTTTGATTTCTTTGATTAAGTTTAAACTTTTCTAATTGAAACCTAATTTTGTGTAATTTTTTTTTTTGTAAATCAGTTTTTTACATACATTTTATATTTTTTGTTTTTATAAAGATATAAGAAATACCCTACGTTGTTAAAAACATAATAAGCTTTCTATTGACATTATTTGGTTTTATAGTTTTAACAATGTATTTGTATCATAGTTATAATTTTTAAGGGGTAAACATTTTTTTTCTTCTTAAAACAGGTGTATGCTATACATAATTTTTACTGATTTTTTTTTTTCATTTACACAACTTAAACAATCAATACGACTTGTTTTTGTCGGGTTGCATGAATATTCATTAAGGCTTAACGAAGCAGTAAACATTTATCGTGTTTACTTAAATAAACAACATTTAATGGCTTGTAACTGGTTTATTAATTATAATGATTATTTAAATATACATATAAAATGCGCAACTTGGCGTTAATCAGGTAGAAAATATTTAAGTTTTAATATAGAATTCGTATACAAAATATGAGCTAATGAAATTTCAGTAGTCTAATTTCTCGGAACACAACTAATATTACACAGTGAGTGATACCATAATAAAATTCATAATACGATTTTAATTTACAAAACACTGCTTACTGTTGCAGTATTGCATAAATATGTTGTATGTTGTGTTATTATAATAAAGTAGTTGGAAATACGATAAATCGTCTAGCCGCTATCCCCTTCTCCGGCGACGGACTGACGACCTGTCCCGGACAGCGAATTCGTCTAAAAACTATCTCATGTTGGCAGGGTTGGGCCTTCAAGGTCCGTTAAGGCTTAAGCTACATGACGATGACAGTATAGAGATATATCATAGGTATGAAAGTAGGCGGAATATTCTATTTTTGTATACTACGGTATATTAATGGTTATGTTAACGTAACTATGCGCTGTTAGAGAATGCGAAGAAAGATCAATTAATACTGACAAAACCGGATAACCGATGACTTATGAAACCGACAAAAAATATCTCGGTCTATGAGTTGTAATAACAACTATAGAGAATAGTACACCTACTATATTTAATTAATTTTAGTAGTTCTACATTACTCAGGGTAAATAAACGTTCTTTTTTCATAGCTCTTCGACACTATAAAATCGCGAAGTCCTGGTTTGTTAGAAGAAAAACTAGTTCCTGTTCTGGGCAACATGACTGATCTACGATTAGGATTGTCGGATAAGGATTACAGCATGTTGGTTGAAAACGTTTCAGTAATATTTCACGCGGCTGCCAGCGTTAGATTCGACGAGCCTATAAGGGATGCGACCATCATGAACGTTAGAGGAACTCGTGAAGTCGTGCAGCTAGCCAAGGATATCAAAAACTTAGCAGTAAGTATAAACTCAGTATAAACAAACAAGTGAATTATATTATCAAAAATCTAAAAGACAATTTGTCGGACGATTATTTAATGATTTTTATATGGACACGTACCTATATTAATTATAAAGAGTTTTAATTATACGGTACTAAAAATTGGTTAGTACATTCCTATTCTGAATATAAATATAGTGCAATGAACTATAATTGAATCGCTTCATTCAATAAGGGACTAAGTCACAATTTTATCAAAAACATTATTATTACAGATTCGTTATCACTATTCTTAAACGCATCGATTTATTTAAAACAAAAATTTAGTCCAACTAATCTAATAATAAAAAGCCATTAAATCCCCCAAACGTTTTACTAAATGGGTGATAGCAACGACGACAAAAGTCAAAAAGCCTTAAATACTTCTCAGTGTCTATGTAAATGTTGAGTCATCATAATATACAATAAACTATTATAAAAAAAAATTCTCATTGTTTTCACCAACTACAATGAACTACTTTGAGTATTAGATAACCATTTGATGCATCCTATTAAATAGGTATTGCTGCACGTTTCCACTGCTTATTGCAATTGCAACAGAATTAAAGTAGACGAGAAGGTCTACGAATCACCGATGAATTGGCGCGATGCCATTGCAATTGCAGAAAATATGGATCCCACTCTTTCCAGTATTCTGACCAAAAAGTGAGTAGAAATTTAACAAGCAATCAATATGGTATGGATCATGGGACTTCTTTATTTGACGTGTACTCCATTTCACAAGCTTTGAGGTTACTAAATAAAAATAATAAGATATCAAAAATATTGTCACTATACGTACAACGTATGACTTTTAATTTTGTTTCTATAATAACGCATAATGCCTATTATTTTTATGAATCATTGTAGTAGGTATTGACGTGATACCCGTAAAGCTATCCTATACTTACGGTCTAAGCTATTCCTTTGCAATACATTTGACCCGCAATATCCAGACGTGTATCCATGACAATAACTCGCCTAGTGCAGGGAATTCGAATTCTGGGGAAATTTATTTAGTGTGACTGTAAGAGGAAAAATTTAATTTTTGAGTAAAATAAACATGTTCTAATAGTCTTTCGTGTGAATAGTTTACCGCAATACGAACATCTCTTGTCATATTTTGTTATATGAGTAACTCACTCATATAACGGATTAGTGAGTATTTATCATACCTACTGAACGCTGGGTTGTCCAAAACTAAATCTATTCACGGTATGTAAGACTGATAATGTAGTGTATGAGAAATGTTATTAAAATAAATATAAATGGTGGCATACAAACTATAAAAAGTTAGATCAGGCAATTGCCTTTTGACAATCAGCTGTATTTAGTTTTAGTTAGTTAACGGGTGGGCCCAGAATGGGCCCATACACTCAGACCTACAGGTCCATTATGCACACCCTCTCACCGAAGTCCTGTTTCACATAGTTTGTCATGCCCATGTCCTGCTTAGTTATGTATTACACTGTACAGAATAATTTTGAGTACACAATTATAATTTATAAATACGTGAAAATTATTTAAAATGTAACCAAAAATGGCGTACTACACAATTCTACCTCTGTACTATGGACCTCCGCAGGGAAGTTGGGGAATTTTCTTCCAGTGCCCAGATATTTTGTAGTAGTATATATATTTATAGTTTAAAAGTGAGCCATGAAATCTTCGCCTTTGCGGTTCACTTTGGCAAATTTCTATTTTATGAAAAAATAACATTTTTCACCAAATTTTTAATATAGATATTGTTTTAAATTTATAAAAATGTATACACAATGGTTACACGTAAAAAGAGTCTAAGCGTCGTTTTGATAGTTTTCAAGATAGCTAAAAACGTTTTATCGTGATTTTTTAGCTTCGATACGGAGCAGCGATGGTATTGGTTTTAAAATGAGCTTTTTTTTTTGTCTGTATACACTATAATTTTTTTAGTATTGGACCAATTCCTTTGAGTAGCAACTCTAAAAATCACAAATTTTATCTAGTTAGCTCTGGTAAGTGGGGTAAAAAATAAAAAAGTTTACTCTTTCACCCTTAAAAATTGGAACAACAAAAAAACCTATACTAGTTTGAAAGTTTCAAGTTGTACTGGCTACAATTTCTATAAAAAGGGTCGTATCGAGTTGAAACTTAAAAGAAGTATTTAGTTAATATGCCCTTATATGTCAATATTCTCAAATTAAAATTAAACACATTTCTGACGCCCCCCCCCCCTTCCCAACGAGGATGCAAGTTTTTTTGTGTTTTTTTTTCAAAAATCACTTTTAAATATTGCTTTGACGCTAATTTGTAAACACTGCACCTCACTTTAATATTTTATTTTTGAACTAAAAAAATATATTGTTGTTTTTAACGCAAACTAAAAATTTAAATTGACCACATCTGTTTTTACGCATTGAATGAAGCACTTTTTTCTCCATCTAAAGATGGAAAACATCGCTTAGAATCGCTTGGAAACTTTACTTAGAAAGTGTCGCTTGGACCCTTTTGCCGCGTAAGCCATCGTATAAAATATAAATGAAGTTATTGCATAATATTTTAAATAATAGAAAGCCAGAAATAATTATTTTTTTCCTCAGAATATACTTATAATGTTCACTTAACTTCATAATTTGTTAGATATATGTATTATGTTATTATAATTTTGTTTTGAACTATTATGATAAGTGTTTTCAATAATTTCATCAAATTAAACTGTTGATTTCAAAAAGTGACTGATTAACTTAACCATCTATAATTGTGACTTATTATTTTATAATTAATCTTAAGTTATAATTAATAATAATAACTTATAATTCAATAAGTTTCTTGCAAAGAAATCACTAGCGTAAATAATTAATAATTTATTATTAAAAAGAAAACACTTCCTGAATTTTCCATCTAAATCATTTCCTTACCCTTGGGCACGCCAATGCTGGTTAAGTATATTTATTATTAATTGATTTTTCACGTGATTTTTTATAACATTGCGATGGGGGCAGACTCGAGGGGCAAAGGATAAAAGGGCATTTGAGTTGATATTATGTGTGCTCGGCTGCGTTGTGTTAAAGTTTTGTTTTAGTTATCGTTAAATTATAATTCCTACTCGGCATATTATAATAAATATTCACGTGAATCAATTTGAAATTTTATATAAGGTATCGTCCAACCTCTACCTCTAGAAAAAATTTAGCTAGTTAGTTATTGTAAGTATGCCAACGGTGCTTTGTATAAGGTAAAAATCAACTGAGCAACCCTTTTAACCTAGTGGCTTTTTACAATAAGAAAAATAATTAATAATAATAATATTATTTATACAGCTAGTTGCGACCGATATCGCCGATTGAAGGTTTCGTTTGAATAGTCTTTGTTTAATAATATGCTGAATATTTCATATAGGTTTCTGGGTTCGTTTCCAAATACATACACATTGACAAAACTATTTGCTGAGCAAATAATCAACGAGGAACGGTACAATATACCATCAGTCATATTCAGGCCGTCGATCGGTAAGTGCGTCATTCGTGTTGACGAATTGATAGAGTAAAACAATAGACATGGACTTATAACAATAATTATTTTGAACAAATATTACTAACGTAAATAAAATTGTCACAAATGAAATTAAATGTAGATGACTTAATGCAAATATAACAGATTGTGTATGCTCAGTATGCCAAATTGCAAATGATTTCGAAGTTGTTAAGTGTAAACCGTAGCTAACCCCTAACGCCCTTTCATATAGAACCGTTCCAACTAAATTGTTTTTTCTGAAACTTAAAAATGTTCGTTGAAAAATGATAATTGCCCATACAATTCTGCCCAATATCACCCTAAAAATAAAACTTGATCGGCATTATGAACAATGAAATTATCTTCAGGAAAATTTGGATATTCATCGATAAGTTCACCTGTTTAACTATTTTAAATGCCATAAAATAACTAGTCAAAAGTATAATTACAATTAAATACATGTTTTAATTTTGGTTCCTTGAATTATACGGATAATTTGATTCATCAAAGTGGTTAGGCGACTACAACATATTTGCATATTTAAAAAAAAAAAACTGCGTCGTTCATTATACCTACAATACAAATTTGGTACCATAGAAGACAGACGAGTAAATACACAATACACACAGGATGATATATTTAACATAAGACACTTATTCTCTCGGCAAATAATTATAATTTTACAGTGTTCCAGAGCGCTATCAACTTTTAAAACTAAAATAGAAATTTAAATATTTAACTACATTTTTAAAACAAGAATAATTTACTGAAAAATTTGACTTATTGGTAGTTTGTTTTATAGTTTTATAGGTATTAGCGTTTGAAATTTAGGACGGGAGGGAGAGTGTATAGTTCAGTAATGCACGCAGATAAAAATAATACTTCACTCATCCTTTCTTTCCGTTTTAAACATAAAATTTAATAACTTTAAAAGTAATTTATAAAAAGGTTTATTGAACTTTAATAATTGTAAATAAAAATTCTAATAATCTCAACTAGGTAATAGACAATAGTATTGTGTGTAAGTAAAAAAACATAGTGTATGGTTGTTTTTAACCTTATTCCTGTTTACTAAACAGGTCATGTTAATTGTAAGTATCTACATTATGTTAGTGAATATAAAATTAGATGCCTACAGCCTAATACATCATGTCATACAAAAAATTGTTTAAGTATTTTTTTAACAACTAAACCGTTTAACGTTTGTTCTTTCATAATATGTCCGCTTTGACCGATATTACGTGTTATTAGGTAACAATTATTATTATAGCAACAACAGCTTAATCTATACATTTTTTAGGTATTATCATTCTAGGCATATACGTGTAATGATACAACATTCCGAAATCGAACGTATATTTATTTGGTATATTTGATTAGAACAAATAATAAGACTTTTCATGTAAAAACATATTCCATGAAAAGGCATACCGTATTAAAATCTCACACTAAGTACGTGCGTTGCCCAAGTAGTGTGAATAATAAATTTGTGTGCATTTTATGGTTTAACGTTAACTTCACGCCATTCCTGTTTAATTGACAAAACTTTGTTTTTGGATAATTTTGAAAAGATTATAAATTAAATCAACAAACATTATTAACGTAATTGAGCTCATACAGATGGATAATAATATTTTGTAGACGTGTTTTTAAAATTTGAATTATTGTAATAAATAATATAAAATAGTTAAATATTTTACCACAAGTGTTGCTTAAGTTTTTTCTAGATTAATAATTAATAGTATGTCTCGTTTATAAGACTATTTAAAGAAACTAAAAAAATACATCTATTCTAATTTGATTTTTTACTTTTTACTTAAAAAATAATGTACGTATGACCTTTAAATGAAGAATTCATTTGGAAAACATGTAACACAATATTTTAGTAAATCCGGTACCTAATATGTATCAGTACGTGGTGATAGTTTTTATGACACACACAATACACTATCCATTAACTAATATTTTTCGTTAATTCTAAAAACATTATTTTACTACACTACCTTAGCCTACCTAAGAAATTACCATTTTGTCTTTACTTCATATCTACGGTAATCATCAATGGGTTGACTTAAGTCGATTTTCTTGCGTTTTATTTGAAATAAAATAAACGTAAAATGAAATACTATTTTAAAAAACCCCTGACATTCGAGTTGGCCCTTGACACATTATAAACTTATGTTTTGAAATTCTTTATGTAAGTAATACCAAAACAATGACCACTTTTCATTAAACAATGTATGTTAAATTTTTGTACAAATGTTTATACAGGGTGTAATGTAAAGTTATACCGAGCTTCAAATGAGACATTCGTGTAGCTTTATATGTACAATAAATGGTATTAAACAATAAATGTCGGCCACTCGGTGTCAAAAAATCATGTTACATATCAATTCAACAAGATTTTTTCTCCTAATTTCAAATCTGAAATTATTTTTTTCGCTAGACAAATTTATAATGAGATACGAGTTCTATTTTAAATAATTTTAAAATGAAAAAAAAAATAAATACCATTTATTGTACCCATAAAGCATCCTGAATGTCTCATTTGAAGCTCGGTAGAACTTTACATTATACCCTCTATATAATTATTTTTTAAACCAAAAGTGGTCGGAAATGGTCTTTGTTTTTTAAATTCTCTTTGGAATCTAATTCATGACAAATTATGTAATTAAGAATACGACTATGACCTATAGGTGTCTTGGGAAACATTTTGTAACTCGTTTACTTATTAATTTGTTTTAATTCGCTTTTTCACTTGTTTGGTAAATAGTTATTTCATCATACAATGATCCCGTATCGGGATGGTTGGACAACTTCAATGGCCCAATTGGCTTGATGGTTGCATGTGGCAAAGGGATTGTGCGAGTTACGCTAGCCGGTAAAACTATAATTCCAGATTATATGGCCGTCGATGTATCAGTTAAAGCAATGATAGTAGCTGCTTGGGATCGAGCAACCAGGTATGTACTTTTTATGCAGTACGACCGTATAGTGAGCGAAGATCTCTTATGTACATTAAAACAGTTATAAGGAAGTCAGATCTTACTAACGACATTTAACTTTACTAGAACATCCCCTATATTTTATCGTATGAGTAGATATTTAGTACATTGTTATTATTATAATGTGCTTTGGAGAGAGTTAGTCTACACTACGCGGTAGTAAGACATTTATTTAATTTTTAAAATAATAATTAATACCGTTTTTATTATTTTTTTGCAAAGTTTAAATAAATAAAAATAGATTTGTACAAAACTATTCTTCTGATAATAACTGTGTCATTAACAGTTGTGAACAAATAGTTTAGTAATACACAGTAAGCATTCAAACACCTATTGTAACGTAGTAGGGTGGTCAGCGGATAAACAACCAATAGTAGTTAAGATAATAAGTATTAAACATTATTTCGTCTGTATAGACTGCACAGTTAAAATTAACCACTTCGTAATTTTCGAATTATCGTTTTCATAAAAATGAATTTATAATATTAATTATTAAATACATACGTATTAAATAAACGTTAAAACTTAAAATACAATTTATTTTATAAATAGTTATTTTATTTTCATAAGACATTTGTTTAACTTTTAAAAAATATTTGTTGTCTCACTCATAGAATAATAGAATACATATTTTTTTCTTTTATCTGCAATATATCAAGGCATATTCTGGTGACGGAAACATTGTAGTTCACACTTGTGTTCAAACATACAAAAGGTACAGGGTTTAGTATTTTGGATTTTTTTTACATTAATTAAAAAAAAATATTGATAATAACTTAAAATGAATACTACTACAATTGTTTTACTTAAATGTACAAGTATTTTAGGCTGCTATATTCATAGAGTTTAAAATATTAAACAAATTCAAAACAATATCATATCTTAAATTATCAACGTTTTTATTTGAGCCCTTCACTTTCGGTTACTAATTAATTAGGTTAACTTTTTTTAGGTATAGTGTTTTCCCAGTTTGTTTGGGATTTTCCAGATGAGTAAACGTTTCTAGTACTTAAATTATGTTTCTAGGAAAATAAAAAATCTTTATGTTATTTGTTTTGCTTATAATTTATAGAATAAGTAATCTAGCTACAAATATATTTTGTTAACCATTACTTTTTTATAAAAAAAAAGAATTCATTTAATAGATACTTCAGAAAGTAAATTCTACAAGAGTAAATGTTTATCCTACTTTTGTCGTAACTTAGATAAAATCACCTTTAAAAGTTATGTCGCTAAAACTAATGTAATTTATATTTACCCTTAAATTTGTTGCCTTACTTTTAATGACTACTTGATTAATTGATATGAAATAGTGCTTATAAAAGAGCTAACCCTTATTAAAACCTCTTTGATTTCTTTTATTGCTGCCGGATCGTTTGTTTTGGTGAACTGAAGATTGTTTAAAATGATCGTATAAACTCTACAGCGTGTGAAAATGAAATTCGTACCAATTGTTCGGATAAGTAAATGTCTGGAAATAACCAGATAAAATATTGTGTCCCTGCAAAGTTAAGGTTTATTAAACTCGTATAGTCGTATGACCTTATTGTGATATGTTTAACCAAGTGTAAAAAGGACGAGAACCCACTGGAGTGCGAATACAATTTAAATTTTTGCAGCTCGCCTGGCAATAACGGTTTACTACCAGTATACAACAGTGCTTCGGTGTCAAAATCGATATCCAACAACCAATTGACCGAGATGGGATTGAAGTTCATGCAATTTTATCCGTTTGAGATAATGATGTGGCGTCCCCAGATATCAATCACCAGTTGTTATTACTATTATTATACAGCCACGTTGTTGCAGCAAGTGTTGCCGTCCATACTCGTCGATGGCCTATTGAACATTTTTGGCATACCACATAAGTACAAATATTAACATATTATAACCTTAGATCCGTCTATATAGTACATCTTGAGCCCACGCGCCCATTGTGTTTTCATTAAAAAAGTAATGGACAAACGGGTTCAAAATAAATTGGACGTGTTATACCGTCGATTTTAAATTAAAAACTAAAATCTGATAAGGCGTGTTACACAAATTTCTAATAGCGACTTTAGTATTGACTTATAGGGAGGGCTAACAACGACCGTCAAGCTAATTTGGTCACCGTAAGCGTTCCTTACACAGCTTTTAACTTTTAATAAACTTTCTCCTTAAAAGCAATTGGCTGATAGGATTGTTTGGCATGAAAATATTACACTTAACGACACTCGATTGTTATTTATTTTGTTCTTTTGTACATAATATAACGTGTTATTGTAGACAATTGTTGGGTCTCCAGAAGAAGATCTACATAATGACCATGGCCCTGTCGTACTTCACCACCCAATCTTGGTCGTTCCAAAATACTAAATTCCTTAGTCTCATCGACAAAATACCCGAGGTCGACCACGAAGAATTCAACTACGACTTCAAAAACATTGACCAAGAACAGTTTTTCGAAAACGCCCTGTTGGGTGCACAAAAGTACATGTTCAATGTGGACACCAAAAGATTTCCGATCGCCCGAAGGAATTTGTGGCGGTAAGAAACGCGTTAAAAAGTTAACACAATAAAATTGATAATTTTGGATATTTTTAGGCTCACATGGCTCGATAGATTGGTGCAAGTCATTGCTGTGGTGCTATTGGTTTGGCTATTAATTCAATTTGACGTTATACCATGCACGTACCTGCAGTACATTAGCTATTGGTTTAAACCGTCGGCCTAGACTTGTTAATCAATAATTTACATTTATACGAACAAAATATTTGCTATTCATCTATTTCTTTTTACATCTGTCTAATGTTTTGGTTGATGAATTGATTTGTTATTGTGAATTAATTTATATAGTTATAGTTTATGTTCAATGAACAACAAAAAAGATTAAGGTTAAATAATAATAAGTAATAATAATTAAGAAGCGTTATTGTATTGCAAATTTATTTATTTTTGGTTGGACTCAAACTTTAGAAATACAATTTTACAATAATATTTTAGACTGTTACAGGAATGGTCCTTGTACATAAAAAACAAGACATTTTTTTGTAAACTCATCACTATCTACTTATTTTAATCAAAATAATTAAATATAATAGAGGTAACGCAACGGTTCATAAGTAATACCGGTAGACAATACGCCGGTGATGTGTATACCTACCTATAAATCGACTACACGTTACAACCGCCACATAGGCACTAACTTAAATTAAATATTTAACAGAGTAAGAGTCGGAGCCTAAGGTCAAAGCCGTGTGGCTGACCATTGACCACTGGTTTTAACAGTCCAAGACCAAATTGGTAATTAATTGGTAATTATACGCAAAGTTACTCAGGTGATAAGCGTTTATAGGAAAAATTACAAATTAGAACTTTTTTGAGTTTAGGTAGTTGGTTACATAATAGTGTAAGAGGCTTTCAATGTTTTATGGACCTGTAATATTATTCTATAAAATAATTTTTTCATCTAAAAAAAAGATTTCAAGAGATAGCTAAGATGGTAATTTTTCAAAGTCAAACAGCAATCTGTATATGTTAAATTTTTATTAAAAGTAGAATGAATTTTTTGTGTATTAATATTAAAATAAGTCTATTTTAGTATTATATTAGTGATAATTAGATTAAAGGTATAATTTCATATACCTATCAATAATTAAGTACTTTACAATTTTGTTGTAAACATTATTGAACTATTTTATTTTGTTCCGGAGTGTATTATTTGACAAAAGAAACATTTTTGATTCGTTGAAATGCTTTTGGTTACTGTTTCACTATGTTTTTCATATTTTATTTAGGAAAGGAAAAAAGTGCACCAGCTGTGAGTACCTAAAAAAAGCGTTTGTATTTACAAAGCATAGCAGAAAACCTTTTTTTATGTTTACCTAATATTTTTTTTTTTTATTTCCTTTCTTTAAAAAGCTATTCAAAATTATTATAATACATTAATTGATTACGACATTCGAAATAACAATATGATTATTATTTATGTAATCCAAAATTATATAAACCTATAAAAAAATATCATATAGTGTCCTAATAATTAATATGTTATGACCAAGACTTACACTTAAAAGACGGTGATCGTATTAAATTACCAATATAGACAAATAGAGTAGAATAGTACCTATGCCTAAGCGTGACAATTTTTCGGTAAAAAAAATAATTCTATTTTACCCCAAAAAAGGCTATGAAACTATTAAAAGGAATGCAAGCGTTCTGCTTTAAAAGAGTTGTATAGGCAATATTTAAGAAAAAAAAGGGTTTTAATAAATTTCGATCATGTCAATTTACCGGTTAATTTGTACAAGCTTCAAGGTATTATTTTGAATTAAAATTTGTTTTTCTGTGAGTAAAAGCAATTTTGGTTTATTTTAGACCAATAAGCCAGAACAAATTTCTACTACATAAATTGTTCTACACTTTTAATAGTTTATAACTTCTAATGAATTGCAATAAAATAATGTGACGCAACGGACTATTTATAAAATTCTTTTGTGTACCTATTAAACAAAAATGATTAAAGGTCAAACACTAAACTTAATGTAAAATCAATTACAATTAGATTTGTTATCTCTATTGACTATTATTAAAATACTAAATAGGCGATGGATACAATTATAATTCTTATAAATGCACATGTTCAAAATCATGTGCATACATCTGAAATAACTACTTTCAAGTCATTGTACATGTGATTCTGTTGAATACAAGTTCTGCGAATTTTTAATATTATTTATTAATAAAAAGAGAAACGACATTTATTTATTTAAATCAGGTACGTGCATATACTTTGTATAGTAAAGAAATTAATATTTAAACACCTTACCATACAAATAATACACTCCATGTACGACAGACTAGGCTCAATCTAGGTCTCAGTTAAGGATTTAAATATTAATTTTTTTACTGTATAATTAACCATAAGTGATAATTTCACATATATTGTTGTAAGCTTTAGTCAAGTCAACACGTAAGCAATAACTAATTTACCTAGATGGTAATTTTCAATATTAATAAAATGAAGAACACTAAATGAGAGACCAACGATAGGTACTTGTTATAGTTAAAATATTCATAGGGACGATGTGATAAATTAATAAACTTTAGCTAACTTCAAATGTAAATACCTACTATAATTGACTTGCGTGTTAATAGACCTCTTAACAAACGTATTTTCTAAATTTTACTTCCTTTTTTTAAGAGCATATAATAAATATGTACACAAATCAAACGATTTTGAATAATAATAATATTTGTAAAGTGGTTTTAACAAGATTTTATTATTCTGAAAGAATTCAATTTACAACATAAATAAACATAACAATTCAAAACATAAATAAATACAATAGTTACCTGAAAGAATAATTAAATTACACGTAAACGTTTAAGGGACTGCACATATAAATAATGAGTAACAATATAACATAATATAACAAATAACAATGACTAATGAATATTCCATAAATGATAATAAGTAATAACACACAACCGACACAGATAAGAAAAGTATAGGACACAGCTAAAGGGCGCTATGTTATGATTTACATATTTCATAATGAAAAATAAATTGTATTTTAATTGAACTATTCATTGATTCAAGAAGCAAGTTAAATGCATTAACATTTATTTGTTAAAATAGCGGCTATGAACAATTCTTTGCACGGGCTAAACTACCGTAATTACAAAAATGGACCACATCTCTGATTACAAGGGCCTCCATGTAAAACCTAATGAGAATCTCAAAATTGTAGTGGGTATTTGAGAGCTCTTTTAATATAACGTTCGATTTGCACTCAATTTTTTTTTATAAAAATCACGATCCTCAAATTACGCATCATTTTTTACAATCGGTGCGCTTATTTTTTTTTAATTTCTGTACTTGAGAACTGAGGGTTAAACCGAAACATTTTTTGGGGATTTTTGGGGGTTTCCAGTTTCATTAGTGATGACAATTACGGATTTTTAAAATAGTCAAACAACTGTAATGTAATTCGAGTGTTAATTGGATAATGGTTGTTCTATGCTTAAGAGGTTAAATCTACGACTAATACAATTTATTCGTTAAATGATTTGATAAATTCGAATTTTTGAAGTAGGCATACAAAATACTTCAATCTATGTTGGACACCTTTCTTTGTTGAATTGTTTTTTTATTCCATAGTTAATTTTTATGTAACATCGATATACTTCTATTAAAATAAATTATGTTTCGTTTATCTCCATCCCTTAAGGAGATAAACCGCTCCTTATGACAAAAGCGTCAAGCAACTTTATTGCTCTTATTAGCCCAGAAAAAGTTGTTTCGATAAATCCAGTACAATACTTTTTGCTAGTTAAAAATGTTTAGTTGGTATTACCTACTCGATTTTCATTCCGAATATATTATAATCACTGATTTTTATTTATTGTTATGTGGCTAATAGAGCATTATTTTTTGTTTGGTGGTTAACAGAGCACTATAGTCTATAGAGTATAGGTATTACAATTATTAGTTGAAATTTGGCATATTCATGTTGTTTTAAACTCAATAAAGTATTTGAGGGGTTGTCAAGTACAAACAACTTTTTTTCACAATTAGTAATTTTCCTTTGCTTTAAGCTTTTTATGATCAAATGGTCTCATGTGACTGGTATTTTCAAAAATTCTGGGGAGGAAAGTTAGACCTCATAGGCCCCGCTAAGGCTACACGGTTGCACCTAAAACCTTAAAAAAAGTAATTAAATAAAAATTCAGTTTGCAAAGCAGATTGTAGACAATTTTTAATTTTTTTTTTAATGGTTATGCATGTATGTATTTTATTAACTTTACAAGTTAAGAATAATCTATTAAGCATTTTGATTTATCCATTGCATAAATTTAACATGAAATTTAGATAATATTCTAAAAAAGTTATAAAACTAACACTATTGATAAAAATCATTTAACGAAAGTAGTGTGCTTTAAATTGTATTTTAGCTTAGATGCGTTAGATGAGAATGTGTTAGTTTTACAGTTATGTGTTTTTTTTTGTGTCTGAAGTCACCATAACTTTTTTGCCTGTGTATTAATTTAGTCGAAGAGCAATTTATCGATCTATAATAGTATGCGATTTATTGGTGTCTGGTGGTAACACTAATAACATTTTAATATTTTTTAACTAAAAATTACGGCACGCTGTTACTTTTTTAGCAATAGTCGAATTTGTACATAATATTCTCCAGTTACAATCGATAAACGTAAAAATATTTCTCCAGTACAATCGATAAACGTAAAAATATTTTCCCCTATATAAAAGGTGGAAACTTTTTTCTTTATTTCGGTTCTTTTAGGTGTAGTTTTTGAGCTTAAGATCTGAAATGTTTACCGAAATGTATACTTTAGAGTGGAACAATAACATAATATAATGTTCATAAAAATTAAAATCTATAGTCAAACCTTTTTTTTTAAGGAAATACTAAAAAGAAAGGGAATATTTTTACTTTGACCGTAGTTGAGTTGATATGGGTGAGTGAATCAACATTCTCTATAGGTATTTGAAACTGTTTTCATAATAATGTTAACCCATTAACACCGGAGTTTTTTTTTTTTTAATTGTGTACTTAAAAATTTTAAAAAAATTGGATGTTGCCATATGGGCAACGCTAGGCGCTAATGGGTTAATTACGATAAATGTGTAACAACAGCAATAAATTATTGTAGAATATAGACATTTGATTAACTCTAAATTGTATTTAATACTAAAAATTATTTTTTAAGCACATTATTGCCATTACAATGCTATTATCGATATTTGTATTTCTACCATTACAGATTGCGAATCTGTAATGGAAAGTAATAAAATCACTTTCAGTTGTAATCATTCAAATAGATCTGTGACACTGTACTGGCTTTTGTATACTATTGTGTTTTGTGGATATGAATGGATACGATTAGAGTTGATTTTCTGTCACTAATAATTTACTGACCTACCGATATATTATAATTAACATTAAATGAAATACCTATGTACATTACGCTTAACACATTACCTTCCTTCCGCAGTCTAGTTTGTGAAACAAAATAGTTAAATAAGGCTGTTGATTTATTCACATATGGCAACTAGGGTTGCCAACCGTCCTACATTGGCCAGGACAGTCCTACATTTGTATGATTTGTCCTACGTCCAACAACGCTTTAAATTTTTTGAAGGACTATCCTACATTTCAATAAATGTACCCAATAATATAGTTTAGTCTATGAAAAATTAAAAAACATTATTTATATTTCATTATTATTATAAATTATTTTTAATTGTATCTATGATTTAGGTTAATCTCGTCTTGTATTATGTATACAAAGGTCATTGACAATTCAAAAATATTTTATCATCTATGCTTGTATATACCACGGTCTTAGACATAACTCTTGAGTCTTGGTCCAAGACTCAAGAGTCATGTATATTATTTTTTATTTTGTTTGTTCTCATTAGTTTCAATATGCATTTCATAATTAATATTGTTTTTTGTTATGATAATTTATATTAATAAATTTCATTTTTTTATCAACTTAAAATAAGTATTTACTATTTGGGTGAGGCCCTCATTTGGCAGGGGACCATGGGGCCCCGCTGCCGGCTTGGATATGAAAAATATTGTCCTACATTACACAATTTGAAAGTTGGCAACCCTAATGGCAACCTAGAAATGTATACGGTGCGAGTGTTTTTAACATTTTTTTTTTATTGGTTTATCTTTACAAAAATGTTCTAAATGATAAAGATTAAAGAGCCACGCAAAATCTACCTACAGTCTAATTTTTAGACCTTAGTGATTAGTCCAATAACTACTCTTTGAAAATTGAAATAAAGAAAAAATGTCCAATGCGAAATATCCATATTTTCTGAGAGAAAAGGTTTATGATAATTTCTAGGTTTTTAATGTATTTTTAAAGTAGGTACTAGATCTAAAGAATATCCCACACTAGTTAGGAACTAATTCGGTTTTTTCGAAAAGATAATTGTGAACATTTTTCTCGATTTTAAAGGGGAAGTGGAGCTCCGAGCTCAGCAAAGCAAAAATTAATTATGAAAATATAATAATTTTAGCAAATCCCATATTTTACCTGATACCGAAAGTTCATGTTAATCATTTGTGGTATTTTCATACACAGAGCGCGTTGGTAGTGTAGCATAGCCGACGGGTTTTCCGCCACGCCGCGACGGCCGTCATTAATGGGTTGTGGGTATTGGCATCGTGTACTAAAAAGTGACAAAACCTACCATGTACATGTATTGTGAAATTCTCTGATAAACTGCAATCAACTGACCACCATCAAATTTGCTGACTCCCAACTCTCAAGTAATTGACGTTCATTATCACTTTTCAGTATTTATCGTTTATCGCCTTACGGGTTAACTCCGCACTTCGCGCAGTATACTCTATAATCTATAGTATACTGCTTACTCAGACAGCAGACTTCAGTTGATAGTTATCAGTATACTTGTCTATGGATGCGCGGACGGCCGGCTTACTACGCGTTCTCGCTCGGTGTTCATTGTTCGTTTAGTATCGACTTTTCGTAACCAACAGGTAAAGTAAATCAAATTATTGCTCATAGTTAAATGGAAATTGATAAGCGTTAATTCCCTGCACTACCCAACCCATAATTAAATTAATTGTTAAAAAAATAACATTGAACAGCCGTTTCATTTTACATATGTATTAGGTACAAAAAATAACTGGCATTGCTTATTTTTCGTCGAATGCCCCTCACGCTTTCATAAATAAAAAGAGTGGTTTTACCGTCGACAGTAATAAATTTATATATAATATTAGAATATTATACTATATTTATTATATATCATTATACTTTGACCGTCGAAGGACAAAGTATAGCTTGCTCGGTTCGCGACAAAGGGGAAAAAATACAAATATAATTTGCACGTGTGCCAAAAAATCGAAGTATCTGTTGTCACTCAGACCGGTTTCTTTAAATTTTATGATAGTTATGTAATATGCTTATACCAGAGCCATGGACTTCTAAAAACAACATAATATCTCAATTGATGTAATTTGCTTAGTTACTGTATACCAGAGCTATGGACTCCTGAAAACACATAATATCTCAATTAAAAAATAAGTGTAAATATACTACACCAGAATGTGGAAACTAGCATTGTCACTGCTGCTCTTTCTCTCACACAGACATATCTGTTTATCCTCCGATCCGCTGGCCGACGAATATGGAGAATTGGTATTTGTGTCCCTAGTGAGTATAATAATTAATTATTTTAAATATTTATTGGTTTAATAACACCCTGACAACAAAGGTGTTTTGTACTTGTAGACTTAAAATGTTATCTTTACCCCTATCTCCTCCTTTTAAACAAAATTATCTAGTAGAATGACCAGATTAATTAGGAAGAATTGTGGTGTTAAAGTTTTTCCCTTAATGAAGTATTGAATTATTTTTTCTTCAAATTATGTGCTTCTACCATTATTTGATTGATAAATGTAATTTTAAATTGGCTGCTCGTACTTTTAAAGTTATAGGCAAAAACATAATTTTTTTTTCAAAATGCAACAACTATATTAAACTTATTTTTCCCTAACCCTTTAATTTCTTATACTGTAGCTGTCATACCTAGAATATTTATGTTAAATATATCAATAAATTATATTGTAAAAGATTAAATTTTAATCAATTATTTTTAAAACATTTTGCCAAAAAAAAAATATTTATACACATATTAGGGTGGTCCATAAAAAGTTGATTTTTTAATTTTAACCTCAACTAAAAATGTTCTAAATACAATAAAAATAAGATTAAAAGAAAAAATGTAAAAAATATTAATTTTAAACTTACTCAAAATAAGATGATTCAGTGACATGATGAAAATGTAATAAAACAAAATGTTTGTACAATAATGTTTGTAGTTTGCTTAATACAATAATCATTATAACTATGGTTATAATGGTCTTTTTCACCATTATGTTGATGTTTAGGTTAACTAGAATATTTAATTTAACTTTCTCATATTTAGCTCAAAAAATGTATTCATTTACCTAAAAACTCACTTTAATATTGTTAAAGCTACAATATTCTATTAACCCTTAGTGGACAAAGTTGGGCAAATACGACCCCAGAATTAATGACTTTTGAGTCGTATTCATCCCACCCTGTTGACGCAGGGTTAAATTATATTTTATGTGCATTACTGTATGTACAATTCATATATTTACTGTAGCTATGAGTTAAAATATATTAGAACTATAAACAGCTGTAGTACATTTAGGAAAAAGTTGTGTATATTCGAATAATTATAAGATTCTTTTTCAAATTAAAAGTGTTATTTCAAGTAATAATAGTTTAAAAATATTTGAAGCTTTACAGACATGGTGATAGAGCAATTACAGGGGAGTCTTATCCTACTGATCCTTACAAGAATGAGACATATTGGTCTGTTGGATATGGTCAACTAACCAATGTAAGTATTTTAGATCATTTTAAACTATAGAAATAACATTTAAATATTTAATAATAACAATATCATGTGTAATATTTATTGATAAGTTTATTTTTTAAATATTATTATTATAATATCTGTAATAAAAAATCTATATTTCTGGATTATTGGTTTCAAATTATAATATTAAGTATGCATTTTGCATTTTGTTGAGTATTTACAATAATTTAAACAGGTACAATATATTATTTACGATGATTTGTGTTAAATTAAATGAAGGTTTGTATGCACTAAACCTTAAAATGAACACTTAAAGTACCAAAATATGTGTTTATATTATGTAACTTTTTTGTCATTATACTTAAGTCAATTAGCTTTCCATATACCAAGCCTACAAAATAAATCCACTAGTTGCATACTTCGGTCATCATCTTCTTTCAATACTTCTCTAGCTTGTCTCTTGGCTCTCAACTTATATGTCTCCTCTCATTTAAAAAATGTATTACTTATACTTGAGTTTATTCACAAATAATGATTCAGTTAATTCTCTCTCTGTCGGTAACTCCTTGTTTACATTATCTATTAAAATTCCTTTATCTGAATTTCTACTACTGATTAAATATACAAACTCCTGCCAATGGAACAACTGTTGGTCCAATTTACCAGCATAGACTTTCTATGCATATTTGAAGAGATTCATTAATTCTTATATCTCTCACTACCCCAGTTTCACAATCATCCTATGCATAAAAAATTATTAGTAGCATTTTCTCATCTTTGGCAGGGTTAAACTTCCCTTCTCACGCGTCTTATCTTTCCTTAAGTAACTGTTTTGCTGCTTTCGCTCATGTCTTATGAAATGTGACTTTTCACATATTTTGTTTGAATGTTTCATATTTGCTGTACAATGACTATCCCTCTCTAACTTAATATAGACTCATAACATACCAATTCTTTCTTCGTTAACTTCTTCAAATCGTTGAAATTGCTATTATCTAATCCAATGTCAATTTTTTAATTTTTTCGATCTTCAAATTTAAATTATTAGTTAATATTTTAATCATGTATTCATGTTATTGTTAAGATAAATGTATTTATTTTATAACCTCCCTCCCAAAAAAAAAAAAAAATTGAAACCCTGATTATAAAAAAGAAGGATATTATATCATTTAACTTCCATCTTGACTCATCAAAAGATGTATATTTAACTTTGTTTTTAAGAGTTGTTATATTATTATTTTTTAATAAATACAGTATAACTAATTTGTGTTTAATTATTTTTAGGAAGGGAAAAAAAGGCATTTTGAGCTAGGTAAATGGTTGAGAAATAGGTATCAGGACTTTTTACCTGCAATATATTCACCTGATGATATATACATACACAGTACAAGTGTTGATCGTGCTATAATGAGTGCTGGAAGTAATCTAGCTGGACTGTACCCACCAGTTGGGAACCAAACATGGAATGCTGACTTGGGAAAATTGTGGCAGCCAATACCTATACATTCTTTATCGCCCCTAGAAGATAACGTAAACATCTATTTTATTATTATTACATTTTTTAATATTTCAATAATGTTTAAAATAATTACTTGTATTGTTTATAACAACTATAAGAATTTTGTTTAGTAAGTATACAATGAATACAAACTGCTTTCAGGTTTTGACTTATGGCGATAACTGTCCTCGTTATAGAAGAGAATTTCTCAAGGTATTAAACTCGACAGAAGTACGTAAGTTTAACAAAAAACATGAAGAATTGTACAGTTATATAAAGAAACATACAGGAATGAAAATGAAAAATCAAATTTACGATGTACAATTTTTGTACGATGTATTATTAGTTGAGGTAATTATTGTGTAGCGTTTTTAAAAATATATTTACATTATAACGAATTCCATGTGCAATTAGACACAATATAACTACACATTACCTAACTGGACTAACAGTGTATATCCTGAGAAGTTGATGGAAGTATCTAGAAAGTCATTTGAATTGCAAACACATAATTCATTGCTGAAAAAACTTTGTGTTGGTAAAAAACCTTTTTAAAACTATTATTCATGTATAATCAAAACACCATAATATTTATTTAACAACCACTAATTATAGGTATGTTGATCAAAGAAATTGTAATCAACATGAATATCAAAAGAAACAGCACAATCAAATCCAGTAAAAAGTTATGGATGTATTCTGCTCATGATTCCAATGTGGCTGCATTATTAAATGCTTTGAACGTGTATAACAACGAGTTGCCGCCCTATGCTGCTACAGTGTTGTTTGAACTCAGAAAAAATCAAACAAATTCCAGTTCTTATGTTGTTACTGTATGTTCAGCTGTTAATTGCTTGATACATTATTTTAATATGTATATATTTTTTTTTTGAAGGTATCTTATAAAAATTCAAGTACCCACGATCCATATTTGCTACATATTCCAGGGTGTGATTCTGTAGCATGTGAACTCGATCAGTTTATTGATGTTGTAAAACCAAACTTCATTGATAATTGGCATGAAGAATGTCATAAAGAAATTACTAGTAACAAACGTTTATGGTTTTATGGTAAGTATACTATTATATAGTAAGTATGCTATTATAGTATACTGTCATATAATAAAATTTATACAATTGTTTAACAATTTGTTTTTTTTTTTTTTTTTAGGAGTGACGATTGTGTTTTTACTTTTTGTATTCATTATATTCTTTGTGGTTAACAGGAAAGCTTTTTTGTGTTACTGTGGCAGAGACTATCAAAAATGTATGTACAAAAAAGTTGTGAATGCTTAGATTGTTGACAAAAAAAATTTAGTAGTTTATTTTTAACAACTTAAATTTTAAATTAAATTAAGTTTTTAATATCTCGCATAACAACTATTAACTATTAGTATGACTTTCCTTGTTCTATTATTATACTAAGATGTACAAAACTAATAATTGGCTGAATTGTTTTATTATATTATTATTGCATTAGTGGTTCTAATAATGCACGAGCCTGAAAATTGGTATACTATACAAATTAATTAAGATAATTAAGTATATTTATAATATCTCTAAGTCCTTGACAATAATCGCTGCATGCTCTTAATATTATACAGGGTATTATAGTATTAATGTTAATTGTCGAACCATCATACAATGCTTTTAAATGTGTTCTTTTTAATGTTTGCTTAAAATTGTATTTCATTATGTAATACTTCAATAATTTTAGTTAAAACTTTAATGTTGATAAATATGGACTGTGAATTTGAATAAGTTTACTTTTTAATCTAAATTTTTTCAAGCTTATTTAATTATAATTGAAATATTATCATAAATAAAGATATATAAAATTAAATCCATGCATGTACGTAACAACCAGTAAAATAACTCTTCATACTCACCTAACATAAAGAAAAAAAAATTTATCTAGTCTGGAATTATTTCAACAAAAAAATTATACTTTAATAATCAGTTAAATTTCTGTTACGCTTACTACTCAAATTTGGGGGACATATGGTTAATCATGCAAGCAGATAGTGTGCAGCGTTCACTGTTGCCGGTTCGCCAGTCGATCACAGGAACAGCCCCGTTGGCTGTATGGGAAATCGAAGAAGGAGCCTATTTAGGGACACATCCCGAAATAGGTTATGCCTTAAAAAATTACAATAATTATATATATATATAATTATATTATAAATTATAGTATATAATATATAAGCCTGGTTAAAAAAACTTTACTTAGAATTTTGTTTGCAACCCCCCATTTTTTCTTTAATTTAAAAAATAATTCAGTGAAAATTTAGGTTTGACTTTACCTCGATGCGGCATGTAAAAGAGTGTCAAAATGGGGGGAGGGGTGCTGCAAACAAAATTCTAAAGTAAGATTTTTTGTTTAAGTTTATGTGTGTGTATACCATTACTTAACGGGCCTTAAAGGCTAAATGCTGCCATCATGCGACAGTGAGCGCCAAACCCACTGATACCTTACTCAGATAACCACTCGTGTGTGTGTGTGTATTAAATTATAATTAAATTTTTTTATTACATACTATCTTATTTGTCTAAAATTAAATAATATTAAGATTAAATTAACATGTGCTTGAAAATAACTTAAATGAAATACAGTTATTACTAACAGGTAACACTTAAAATTATAATTTTTTTTTCTTTCAGTTTAAAATTACGGTTGAAAGATGAGCTTTTTTGCATTCTGGACCCTAAATACTCAAAAGTCTTCAGAAAATGTTAACTTATTATTTTGATGTGACCATTTATTTATTGTTTAATATAATTATTTGAGGATTATCCAACAAAAATTTGATTTCTATTATTTACTACCACAAAAGCCAATTATAAAATACAAAGGTTCTAATCTTAATTAGCGTTAAAGTCTGATTAAATATTATTACTTTTACAATATTAATTATATTTAATCACAGATGTAACAAAAATATTGGTTCTTAAATTGCAGATTGTTTTAACAGTTGTGTAAATTTATTTCAATATATTTTTTTAAGAATTACAATTGGAATTGTCATAAATTTAATACTATCCTAAAACAAATCCAGTTATTTTCATTTATTGTGGTATTGGTATTTTTTAACAAGTAATGAAAAAGTCTGTATATTAAAGTAATAGATTAATTTTTAAATTAAGTTTAAAGCTTACTTCAAAAGCATTTATTTTTTATTTTTTTCAATTCCTAAAATCAAAAATATTTTTTAACAATAATTAATAAACGATAACTCACTTGTAGGTTGTAGGATTTTCATTGGATAAACGCAGAATGCATATTGTGAACTTTTTTTTGTATAGTTAATTACACGACAACCTTTATCCGAATCTTTATAATAATAATAAGAACATCATATTGTGTAATATGATATATTATCAGATATATTACATATCTGATGTTAAAAATGATCTGTGTGACTAATGGTGTTACACCTTGCCCCTTAGCCTACATATAGGAACAGTTATGATTATTTCTAAGTTATAATCTTTTAAATTACCCATAGTTAGCTGTAAGCAGTCATTTAACTGATTAATATAAGAAGCAAATAAGTTAAAAAATAATTATCAATGAGGCACTATAATTTATAGGTATAGAAAAATTTACTTAATTTGGAATTTGTGAATAGTATGCACGTAGTGTTGGGCAACGATATAATTTTATGTATCAATATCGTTCAGATTTTTCCGATATTGTATCGCGATATCGTAATTTGTATGATATCGATATCGTATCGAAAATATTAAATTTTATGTTTACCTAAACAATTAAAAAAAACATTTAACATACCTACTTATTTATTAATAATTATTAATTAAAAATTTGTTTTACCTAGTTAAATACTAATTACATACAAATAAATAAATAAAATAGTAAATACTATAGTCAACAATATAATATATTAACAAATATGAAATAAGTAAACATAATATTAAAATCAAATAATTAAAAAAAATGTTATTCGATTAAATTTCGATATCACGATATATCATACAATATAAAACAATATCGTTGCCCATCACTAGTAAGCAGTTTGCATTTGTGTTTTGATTAAGTAGTATTGTCTAGTTTTACTTTCGTAAAGTTTTTTTCTTTCTAATGTATTGTTTTATTGTCGTATTGTATTTGTAATCATGTACAGTAGAGATGTAGTAGTGTGTAATATTCATTTTTTCATTTTATGTTGGTTATTTTGTTGTTTGGTCATAGGCATGCTGCCCTAAGTATTAACTATTAAGCCTAATAACAGTAGGCATGCGCAAATACTATAAATGATAATACTTGAAGGCTACTGTCTAGTTGTATGGACTCACTTATTTCCCCCAACATCAGTATAGCCATATGTTGTGATATAATAATAACTGATTTATGTTTGATAAGCCAATGTAAAATAATACAAATTTTGATTTTTAGTGTAGACATCGTTTCAGAATAAGGCTATTTTGATTCCTTGATATGGGAAACACTTGTTGGGGGAAAAATTCTTAGTCAATACAAATTAACATTGACTTTCCGGTGTTATCAATTATAGTATTTGACAGAGTCACCAGAATTCCTGCCTGGAAAAATGTAGTTCGCCTGTGCGACGATTGTCAGCGCTCACGGTATCTACTGCCATAAATATAAACAGTATAAAGCGCTCTACGTCGGCAGCAAAAAATACACTCAGCGTTGGCTTGGGTCTAAAAGGGCTATCTCACTTATTGTAACTTTCGGAAAATGAGCTTTAACATTTTTATTGTCCATCAGGCTCTATGTTAATTTTTTTTACCAAACTCTTTTTAAGTAATTCATTGTTTGGCCTCAGAGTGTCATTATGATCACAGTATAATGTAATAAAGGATGTTTTAGTTTTTTCATTTAGCGGACAAACTCGTTTTTGTCAAAAAATTACATTGGCCCTTTTAGACCCAAGTTTTATAATCAATGCTGATGACAATATCAGTCGTATGGGATTTTAAGCAATATGGCAGGATCCGTCTGTAAACAGTACTCCAGTGTTACTAGACCAGTAAACCCTATTATAAAATGTGATGACATTGTATGCATTAAGAAATATTTTTTTTTGTCATGTTTTTAACAACAAAATATGTTAAACTGATAATATTATACCATAGAACAATTATAGTCGACATCGATTTACGAAGAATTAGATGTACAGCTAGACACGATGTACGTCTTATCGGCTTTAATTCGGCGCAAGTGGGAGAGAGGTAGCCTAAACATTGCCCACTTAGCTAATATAATATGGTTATTATTTAACTAAAAGTCATAAAAATATAACAAATAATTTTTTTGGTCTGTGAAAGTATAAATAATAGTTTATATATTATATGATCGGATATCGTAGACAAAACTACGGATGTCCCCAGGCCTATCCCTAATGTTAAAATAAAGGTTTATCAAAAAATATATTACTCAAAAATGTATTACAAAATAGGATATAAATATCTAAAATATATTATAATATCGCTAATGCCTGTAACAAAGCATAACTAAAATATATAAGGTACGAAATACCGTTCCGTTTACTGCCTTGAACCGGGTGATATGTGTGCTTTATACATACCTACTTATGAACTGTTAACGGTTAAAACAACCACCATTCGTACCCTATTTAACTTTTACACCTCGAAATTTTCTGAAATTTTGTTTCTCTAATTTTTATTTTTTTACCGTGAAACGTAAAAGAAATGAATTTGTTCAATATTGAACAGTAGGTACATGTTGCTCATAACTTACTGAAAAACTTGTGTTTATCGTACTTTGTTTTACTTGTCTACATAATATACTAATTTTTCTTTAAAAATTTAATTTTCTTTAAAATATAGTTGTAATTTTACGAAAATAACTATTAGTTTTACATAAAAAAGATATTTTTTATATTTTTGAAGAACAAATAATGTATAGTTGGGGAAAATAAATAAAATTGTTTACTCACAACCTGTCTAGTTTTATGTTTATACAATTTTGAAACCTAGTTAAAGTATAAAAGCTCAATTACTAATATTAATTAGAGAAAATACAAATATATGAATCTAAATTGTTAAAACAATATGAAGATATTTTTTCTCGTTAATAATGAGGGAGGTACAGCCCCTTAAAGTCTCTAAATTTTGGTTAAAATAAAATAAAATTTTAATGTAAAACCCTAGTTTTGCTTAAGCCGGTATTATTTTTAATGTGTTTAATAGGTAATTTAACTCTTTAGTTTAACAATTTATTTTTTAATTTAATGTGTGATAGCATCTCAGATAATAAAATTATAGCAACAGTCCAAAAGTAATAATGTGCGTATGATAAATTTACAAACTTACATAACGTTATGCATAATACAGTAACTATAGCCTATAGGTAAATTGCACCAGCTAAAATGATATTATTCGCAAGTTATGGAATTTTGTAACGTTTTTTCAGATAGTTTTTTTAGTAGGTAGGTACTAGGTAACAACAATATAATTCTTAGTTTGCAAACACTAATGAATATACGATACGGTTGAAAAACAAACCTTTATAGCTATTGGTCTTAAATAATGAAACCTTTACATTACTTCGTCGAATAATTTAAACCTATAATAATTATATACCTAATAGATGTACAATACCTGTTATCAATAATGAAATTTAACGTTTTTTTTTTTAATTGTATAATATTTTTACTTGCCAATACACAAGATATACAAGGTCATTATCAGTTTTCTCTAAAAATCGAAATGATAAAGCCAATATAATAATAAATACAAATTCGTAATAATTTAACAAATCTTAATGTTATTGTCACAAAAACTAAATGCAAAAACTGTGTAGGTAAATTCCGTTAAAATTTAGTTGGTACTGCCCTTTAATTCAGTTGCAGTTCACCCAGCTTAAGTCCCCATACTATAATTATGCATATTATATAAACGTTGTCGCGGACAGAGCATAACCACAGTTTATAGGCGAGTTTAAAAACCATGTACCTACCTAGTCAAAAACGTCGATTCTTGAACATTGATTCAAGGTCACACGAACCTTATGCAGTAAATGGTTAAACTTCTAGTTCCCTGTTTCTCACGATTATAAAATGTATTGTTCTCATATCCTTATTCTAGCACAAGCTCTAAATTATATAAAAGAAAGGGAAGTGGTAAATTTTTAAATGATTTACAATAGTATAATTTAATATGAGTGCAATACGAATTATATTGACTAATTCTTTTTTTTTCCGTGTAATTCTAGTGTACCATGCTGTACCAAGAGACGAAACCGACTACGAACAAGACGGCAAGAGCCGAGTGGCTGTCTCTTATAGAATGAACTCCGAGTCAGCAGCCACCACTTCGGATGTTTAGTAAGAACGCAAACGAAAAACTCCTTATATAACGCCAGGACACATTTAATTACTATTATTATATTTTTCGGAGGGACATAAACCGAAAGTTTAGGGACTGTCACACATTATAATATAGTAGACTCATTGAGGTTACTCCGATCAAATAATAATTTATTCTACGCGTTAAACTTTTTATCAAACGATTAAACAATAAAATCGCATGTTTCATAGGTTTAATTTCTATAGTGCTTTTTATTATTCATCGTAACTAAAATGGGGCTTAGGCTCGCAACTTCATTCATACATGATTGATGATTTATAATTCTTTACCCGTAAGCTAAAACCGTATAAATGCAAAAACTTGATCCTTTTCGAATATAAAATGTTTTTTTAATTTAAATAGTTAATGAGTGTCGGCTCAGCTGAGAACTCTAGGTACGTTTCATAAGTTGACTGAATAATCTAAAATATTTTTTTTTCTACGTTTACACTGTATATTGGCGGATTAATGTCGATTGGTCAATCATTAAATATCAATTGTCCAATTCACGTGTATTGGACATTTTTTTAAAGAAACACCCGCTGTTCTGAAAACTTGTTTTGCGCTTATCATAATATTTCAGCTTTCGAACACATAATATAATGTTTATTACTTATTATACATTATAATAACAATATAATTGTTTATTACTTGTACATCTAGTGTGCAGGCGCGTGGTGGAGTGAGATACTTGGTATTTGGTAGTGTATCGACGAACGGTCGTCGGTTGAATCTCAGCCACTGGTGGTTTGTTCCTCCGGGCGGACAACTGTCTGGGAGAAAAACTGGCCACTTGCACCTCTCTTTGGGGCCAACCTGTTTAGTAGCGTTAGGTTAGGTAGATATAAACCAAAAAATGCCAAGTCGAAACCGTTTAAGCCCCGATCGGTGGGAATAACGCACATTAAACGTAAGGAAGACTTATTATACACCCAATCTAGTGACAAGATCCAATGCCTAATCCTAATACCTATGTAGAAACCTAATTCAGTATTAAAATGTCATTATTATGTACATAACTAGCCCTATATAATATATAGTGTTAACTATTAAGAGTATTTAGTTATTTATGGTAATTTTATTCTTTTTTTATATATTCATACGAAATCATCAAGAACTTACTTGGAAGTAAGTGTTGAATAATGTGTTTGTACATACTACGTATGTTTTAGGGAAAATCTTAAATAAGTTTGACCATATCGATACCTAATGTTTAACCAATAAGGTTAGGTTATAACTTATAAGGTTAAAGGTTAATGGCTACTTCTAAGTTCTACGTCTTGGTATCGGTAAAACTATTAGGCACCTATTAGGCTGCGGCCACATTGGAGAGCGATGAACAACACGTCAGGGGAAAAATATTGTCATTGCAATTTATTATAATGAGTGTGCACATTGGAATTTTTTTTTTGTAATCATTGGAAATAAAAAAAAATTAAATAAAATACAATAGGGTGATTCCACGTGAAATCACCTAATGTGAGTGCGACTATAGTTTTTATCATACATCCTTTATAGGTACTTAATGACAACAAATATAATTTTTTTTTTTGGGCCTATATATTTTGATTTTTAAAAAACTTATCCAAAAACACCTCATATTTCCGATTTTGTAATTTAACCACCGATAGTGGTATGGACATACAACATGCACAGTTATAACTCTAGTTAAGTGTACTTTAACTATATTTTGAAGAAATATATTTTTTTTAATTTTTAATCTTGAGAAATTGTTTTTTTTATTGTACTTTTGAATTTTCAAAAACTTTTTGGGGTCAATAAATAAACAAATGTAAAAAGTAATTTGTTTATTTAAAAAGTAAGCTATGTTTTTATGACCCATATCATCTTTGAACCAACACGGTTATTTTAGTCATTCATAGTATTTCGATAGAAATGGATAATATAACATTTTTCGTATGTCATTTGTATTTACTAATGATTTAATTAAAATACATTTTAACGATTTTATAAAATCACCAATCAAACAACATTTATATTTTTAATTTTAATCAAAGGTAATATTTGTAACGCGACCAAACTATGAGGACTAGATCATGTTGACACCTATATGTATTTGTAAAATGTGTGTGGCCAATAAAATCATTAATATTACGTTTTTACATATGCATATATTATATTATAATGATATCTTATAAATATATTTATATTTAACCATTTACAATTTTTGTCTTTCGTGCATTATTAAGTGTATCAACTATTAAGACTAAATTTATTATTATATCATACGTGTAATATTTATTATTTAATAAAATCATTATAAATTAATAATAGCTATATTAGAACAATAGCAATCATTTTGACTGAGTAAATTTGTATTATATATATTATATATAATTATGTTATTAAATATTATTTGTATTATTATATTGTATTATATTATATTTCTTATACTTGACTGTTGTGCCCAATCCTCCTCATTCACCTGATCTAGCCCCCTGTCACTTCTTTTTATTCCCCCGAATGAAAAGTGACATGAAAGGAAAGAGAATCGCGGACGTGGCTGATGTAAAAACAAAAACGACGGAGGCGATTTCAGGCATCACAAAAAATGAATTAAAAAAATGTTTCGAACAGTGGAATAAAAGATTAGACAAGTGTACTAACTCCAATGGAGAGTACTTTGAAGGAAATTAACGGTGTTTTGTAAAAAAAAAAAATCACTTTGTACGAAAATAGTTCAGTTTTTTTTCCCCTCGTATATCGTCGAAGAATAAATGTTTTATGCAATTCGCTTTTTCTTAAGTGACAACGAATATATCTATGTATTTGTTTTGTTATTGGAATTTTTATGTTCTAATACCTAATTAACTATCTTTTAGAATTTAGTAGGTGCTTAACAAGTACCTAGGTAAAAAATAACAACTATGCCTACACAGTTATTACATTATATACATTATATATACAGGGTGATTCTTTTATCATAGACCATTCAATATCTCATAAGGTTTAATAAGACATTTTATTTTATTTTTTCATATTGTTTTTATATAATATGATCTCAATTTTTCACAATTTGTTTTTGTTTTTACCCCTCCTTAGTTTTTGCTTGATAACAACTTTTTAATTTTAAATGGTAACGCATACATTTCATTAACTTTTTAAGTTGAGAATAATGTACTAAATACATAGTTACTAACTATAAAGTTATTAGGATTGACACAGAATGATTTCAGTTTAGTGGACGATTGACGAAGTATTGTAAACAATGGACATGTCCCATATGGCCATATTTTCACTTTCTGTAGTTCGATCATAAGTGCAGTATAAACAAAAAGGGAAAGATGGGGGGGTCAGATAAAAGCGAGACCCTTGTTAAGGTACCTACATAGCACCATTTTTTTTAATATCACATCCAGATAAAAATCGCAAGTATGCTACTCATAGGTATCAAAAGGTACATTATTTTGTCGGTTGCAAGACAAACCCGGAATATTAAATGAAGTCTGAAAATACCAAAGGAAAGTTTAAATTTGAATTATAAGTATAATACTCTCTATAAATGGAGAAATTGGTTTAGCGGTTTATTTTTAAAATATCGCAGGACAAAATACAAACAAAAAAATAAGAATACATAAATTTAGAAAAAACAATATAAGTACCTTCTTTAGTTCCGTATTAAATTAAAATACAATTTTTTTCCAATTTGTGTCTATAGAAACAATGGCTGTGTTTAATTCAGAAGTATACGCATATATTTATATGTACAAATATACACAAACTTCTTATTATTTATTGAAATACAATTTTTTTAACTGACTGAATCTATATTATTAATGAAATGCGCATGCATATTTTACTTTTATGCTTTGTATTACTTATGTTGAAATTCGTCTATGGCTCAAAAGTTCCATGGGAAAATGAAGACAGTAAGTATAAATATAAGCAAACTATGTATAACATCCGTTTGGTGTATACATTGAATACACATACATAGAGAGAAATATACAAATTGAAAAACTCACGAATTAAGATAATTAGTTAACATAGTTAATTATAATTATGCTACATATAAGTAATTAACTACTATAGTCTATGATTATATTATTAGTATAAAAGTTGTCTTAATTCGTGTTTATACTACAGCTGACAGAATTGCTAGCTTCTACTTTTAAGCTGCAAATGTTTGACACAACTTGGGCAATCATGTGTAGTTAACCAATAGTTTATCTAACCTCGCAAGAACTATGGAACCGAATAAACCTACCTACGATCCCAACCTCTATCACATATTATTATATTCTGGCATAACAACCTTTCATTATCATAAATTAGCACCATAAATGGAAGCGCTTGTTCAATTTAATTACCAATCTAAAATCTATTATAATTTTGATTTTTGAACAATTTAACAAAATTTGTACCTATATAAGTTTTTAATGATATTTCTGTGAAAATTAATAATAATTCATTTAGACTTCTAAAGTTAAAATTTATGTTCACTTTATAATTTTTGGTTATATGTTTACTTCTTAGCTGATTTTATTAGCGAATATAACATTGTTTTAAAATCCTCAACTGCTCAATAAATATACCAAGTTTGATTGCACCGATGTGAGATGTCGTCTTTATGTATAAACATCTTAATGTTACTTTTCTTGGTTTAAACTCCTTAATCTTGTTTCTTAGTATTTTCCCCAAACCTGCTAATAATTTGTCGTATATTCTATCAGAATTTCGGTTTATGCTTGTAATAATCATATCGTCAGGATTTTACGCGAATGTAATAGGTATAATATATTATAGCATTACTAGCTTCCACTTCTAAGCTACAACCATTTAAATTACACCAAATTGACAACCCTAAACATTTAAATTAATATCAAAGGTAAACCGTTATATTAATTTAAGATTATTGTGTAGATATGCTACGAAAATTTCTAATGGATATAAGAAATGTTAATAATTCCTATGCCACATCTACATTTTATTTACTCACAGTTGCTGTAATTACCATTGGGATCATTTACTTGACGGGACTGGTAACCGAGTATATCTACAATAATTATGCTCTGTGAAACATAAAATCAACTTACATTTTGTTTTAGACTGGTAAATTAAAAAATCATTCCAATTATTCCGAATTTTCGAAGACAGAAGATGTACAAAAGTGTAATGGTGGCAAAGTGGAAAGATTAGAACATGACAATAACATTGATGACAATACGTAAGTGTACAATGAGAACATTGCACATTGTATTCAATGCTCTCATTAAAATCGTAATAGTAATAATAATAATAGTTGACAATTTTCTATTTCTAGATTATCAATAATAACATCTAAACTCGATGTCCTCCCAACCGACAAAACGAATTCTAAATTGTCGGGTAATAAAGTACACTCTACAACAAACAACAGTGAAAAGACTTATACATATCAAGAGATGAATGAATACAAAGCGGCCATGAAAAAATTATTAGAAGAACGGATTAGAGCGCGTAAAATTTTAATCAGCAACTTTGATACGTGTATTCAGTTGAATAAGATCCACCCCTTAATATCGTGGGCAACAAAGTATACTTTAAACCAATTAAATCAACAGAAAGAAGCATTGAATAAAGAAATTACAATTTTGGAAATCAACGCCAATGATCGTTTATCTAAAAAAGATATTGATATGTCACATTCTGACAATGAAAAAGAAAAAAAACTTTTAACGGGAAAACAAAAGAATACTTCAGAAATGTCATTTGCGTATTCGGATGAAAAGGCGATACCAGCTGTATCAGCTGTATCAGAGCTTTGTAGAAATATTTTTAAAACTTGATCTAATATGAAATTATTTTTGAAGCGATTGTTTTGTGTTCAATTATTTCTCAATTTGCACAATTTTAAGATTTCCTTGATTTTTTTTTGGGAAATCTACTCTCTTTTTAACGCTAAATATAACATAGTAAACTTTACTATACACGTTTTCAGTAGCGAGACGATTAAAAAAATTCCATTAAGCACTTAAAATATTTGTTATTTAAATTAAATGACAATGGGTAACATGTCACATGTTCAAGCCAATAATTATCATCAAATATTATATATTATAATATATAATATTATTTATTAATAAATGATTGCTAGTACTATTTTAATATTTAGTGATACACTGACTTTGATAATGTTAAACACTTGAGATTTATGAATGTATGGCCCTTTTTAAACAGTTGATTCATTATTGTTTTTTTTAAATTAATGAATAATGATTACATATTCATAGTTTTTAAGCCAATAACCTACACTACACGGCAGAAAAACAATCTAACCATCCCGACAATAAAAACTTTAAAAATAATCAGGTATTTTACAAAAAGAGGATTAGACATTTTGAATCGTCCCAACCGGTAAATAAATTGCAAATTCTATGTTAAATACAAACAATTACTAAACAGATGGTTAATTTCCCTAGGCGATATAGGTTTTTGATTCTTTATCAAAAACTTTTATTTTTATCTTTTGTTTTATTTGTATTTTTGCTTAATTATTAATTATGGAGTTTTTATAGGTATGTACTTGTTATAACACTTTCTTTTTTAAATTGATTTTATTCTACTGTATCTGTCTAAACTTTTATTACCTACCTATATATAAATATATTTCTTTTTTTATTCTGATTAGTACTCCAACTTCACTAACACGAGGTATTAACACCTTAGTGTTGAATTGGGCTAAACTTATATTGAATATATAAATTGTTTTATCGTGGCCAATTAATACATTATCTAATATATATAAATCCACTAGAAAAGGCCAATCCGACTCACTCTCAAAAAGTTAAATTGCTAAAAATTACAATCGTTCTCAGAATTAATTTTTAATTAAGAATAGAACCAAACTACGTTTTTTATATTAGATTTTTTTTGCGCCCTACAAACAATTTATGTCCTAAAATATTATGATTTATATATTATTAATTTTAGCTTTTTCGAAATGGTTGCTGATTTAATTACAATAGGAAACACTAAACTTAAGTATGTAATGAACAAGATGGATAAAATGAAGCTAAGAGCATAAAAAAAAAAACACATTTTAAACACACTGTTTATTGAATAAAAATACACTACACATACTACTGACACATACTATATGATTTCTCTATACCTAGTACTAATCAAAAAGGATTATAATGAAAATTTTATGAAATACGAATAATCTTGTTACAATAATTATCTTATCATCTTATATATTATTAATAATAATCTATTGTATATAATACAAGATTGGTACCTATTATACCTATGCAATTCTTACATAAGATCAGGCCAGCAAACATTCAGTTTTAATTTTTTGATAAAACACGCTTTATATTTAAAAAAAAAAAAAAAACCGTAGATTAATCTTAATTTATTTTTTATCCCTTACAAATAGGGTTAGCTCAAGCATAATAAAATGACAAAAATTGTAAGGATAAAACAAAATAAAAATTGTAATATTCAAACTCACACAACCGCGCAAAAAATTTACATTTTTTCGGGCAATATTTCTATTTACTATATTGAATAAGTAAGAAATTTTAAAGAAAATAAGTATAATTTAATTAATTTAAAACTAATAAACTAATTTAAGTAAGAAAAAGTCAAAATAGCAAACATCCTAAATACACACAAAAAGAGTAATAGATAATTATTTATACAGCAAGTTTTTATAAGCTAATACCTATTATTTTGTTAACATGCTTGAGTGAGTTACAATTATTTCTTCAATACATATTCCACAAATATATATTTTGTAATAAAATGACATTATTCATTGTTATTAATGTTATTATTCATTAAACGATTGTTTGATCGGCATTGCACTACAATAAGTTACATTTTTTTCATATTTATTTACTATCAGTTTTATATAAGCTATTTTATTAACTACACTTGTTTAATATTTAATTTATTAAAATTTTTTTTATGTATTTATAAAACAAATTAAAACAGTAAATACTGTAAACCTAGGTGTAAGAAACCTTTTGGCACAAGAACACAAAGACAAATTTGATAATTACATAAATATATGGCTTATAAACTAAGTCATACACAATTATGGGGAACATTGCCACATAAACGGGACAATTATTTGTTGGCAAGATTATACGGTGTTTCGTTATAAACGGGTTCTTCAATGATCATTTCAACAGCCACCGAGTTGGATGATTCAGCTTGTTCAACTTCACATTCTTCTTCTGGTTCTATTTTTATAGTTGCGGTTTCTCTCTTTTTATATTTTTTCTTATTCATGCTTATGTCAATAACCTTGTTAGAAATTTTCCTGCGCTGTCTGGTATGAATGGTATCACGTCGCATTGCTGGTGGTCTGATCTTTCCATGAAGTTTGTAGTACAAACCACATGCGTTGCACACAGGATCTTCTTTTAATCGTCGCCATATAGTTGAACATGTCGTTCCACAATTAGAGCACATTCTTTGAACAGACGATTCTCTTGAAATGCGTTTTCTTGGTATGATGGGTATGTTGGGTGATGCATTTATATTCATTACTTGTTGTTGTACTTGATGGCCATCGGAATATTGTCCGACTGTTCCCTGTGTTTGATAAAATGTGCAGTTTTGGTCAGACGATAATAAATTACCATGAACTACAGTTGCTGCTTTGGGAGCAATACCGGGTGCCTGCCAATCATCACCTTCAGTTGTCATTTCTTGAATGTGTCTGGCTGCAAATAATAGCAACCCCATTCGATCCTCGTGTTTATATTCTACGTCAGTATCATTGCCAGGTTCAGTTTTTACTACAATAATATTTTCATCATTGTTGTATGTACCATATTCTGCATTATTTTCTAAACAGATAGTGTCATCTTCGGATACAGTTTCTTCTGAATCATGAGCTATTGTCACTTCAGCCGCCATTTCATCACACTCTTGAATTACTTCAACATGTGACGCGAGTGAAGCATTTGTTTCATACGGAGGTGATGAAGTAATGTTATCAATATTATTAGCGTTTTCAACATATTGTGTATCTGACCCAATACCTGACAACGACGAATTGTTTGAATCGGCTGAGCTATACATGAATTCGGATTTGGGCGAATATTTTTCTTTTTCATCAGCTGTTTTTTGCAATAGATCATATAGAACACGTTCTTGACGTTTGTATGTTTCTCTGTGACCATAACACAGTTCTGTATTTTGCACACACTTTAAGCAAAGTTTATTTGGCAAATCTTTTGCATCAGTTATTCGCACACCGAATACACGGTAAATCTTCTCCGGCAAAGACGGCACTTGATTGTTGAACACAGACTTACCTTCGTCCGCTTGCAATGTGTTCAGGCAAAGACGGCATAGCTGATAGATATCGACCGTAGTGCTGATCAACTGTGGTGTAGGCGGCTGTTTTGACTTGTCGTTATTGCTGTCCATTGTCGTTTTCACTTTTCTGGACAGATGTTCACTTCTGTATTTTTCTCTTTTCTTTTGTTCACGAAAAAGGATCAATCAATGTGTGCACATATAAAATAACGATAGAGTACACCAAATGACGCTTATATTTTGATATGAAGATATCGTTTTTGTTATAAAGACAGTTTTAGTTTAAATCTTTGAAATGTTGATCTCATATTCCAGATATATCAAATGATGACCATCTATGTGTATTTCCTTAATTTCTACATATTTATAAAAAATAAACAATATAAATTAATTTACAACACTTATAGTTAATTATTACTATTTACATGAAGCAAATTAGTGCACACTTACTTAAAGATTTATTATAACTCCAAATCCGAATGTTGGAATTTTTCACTCGATCAGTGGTATCCAAGCAGAGATATAATAACAAATAGTTTACTTTAAATGTGTTGATATTAACATCTTCCTTCTATGTTTCAGTATTTGGAATAAAGACCGTAGAAGTAATAATCACTAAGTATGCAACGTGTTCCTACAAAAAACATATCTAACTTAATTATTCTTAAATACTGTACAATATCAACAATTCTAAGCAAAGACAATAATAAACCAATATAAAAATGTACTAACATACGTAGCTGTGATGACTGATGACAAACTGCAACTATAGATAGAAGTAATGGAATGCCAAATATTTTGAATTTTTGAATAACAATTATTTAAGAAATTTGATGCTCTGCAAAATAGATAATATTTTAGATGACATTTTTAAAATTAATGCAACATATTTGTGCAGACTAAGCTAGTTATGTTAGGTAAACGTAACTTTTGGGTCTTTTATCATAAATTATATAATATCTATTAATTTATTTTTAACATTTCATGGTCATGTATAGTGTCAGTCAACAACTGACTGTTGATTATAAATTAAATTTCTATTGTTTGTCATTTTGTTAAGTGCGTCCAACAAAAATAATAATTAATCCATTGAATATAACTTAAGTAAAATAACTTCTTGACTCTGAATTTGTTCAATCATATCCTTAAAATCCTCAATATTACTTAACCTTGGAGCACTCGCATGTCTTAAATTTACTGCATCACATAAGTGGCGGCATTTGCACAGAAAATTCGCAAAAAAAATTGTTTGGTATTTTTTATTGGGTTTGTAGAATTCCCATCGGTCCGGTCCTGCTAGTCTGAATTTACACATTTAAACGTGGCACGGTTTTTCGAAACAGGCATTGTAAATCCGGGCTCAAGTGCTTGAAAGTATCAACACATTTGGGAATGATTCTAAAAATAACATAACTAGTTTCAAAGAAGTCATACGTGACCATTTGTGTATATATTTTTGCCTTATAATGTCAGTAATTTTTTTTTTTAGAAACATTCTTGGAGTGGTCTTTTAAAGTATAAGTGATATTGAGGACTTAAAAATATATCTTAACAAGTATCGGCAAAAATAGAAATTGAGTTTACTAAGCAACTAAAGATTGGGAGATATTCATACAGAGTTATTTATTATACTCAAACTTCATTAATTACGTATAAAGAAATTCCTAATTAATATGGTTCATTATACCATTTTTAATAGTAAAATTCAACGAATGAGCATCACGCTTATATTACTAAAAAACAAAAAAAATATAGACTAATTATTTCTATTTTTTGCTTTTCCCTATAAAAAGAATACAAATTTAAAAACGTCGTACATGTTATTTAAAAAAAAAAAAAAATAGCAGCACAAGGGGTCAGGGCATAGAGGGGGCATATTATAGTAAAACAAATCACAAGTTTTTAAAAGATATTATAACTGAAAGTGTTATTAAAATCAAATTAACGCTTTGTCGCAAAACTCTGTACAGCAAAAACTATTTAATATAAATGTTGATCATATTATCGACCAAAAGAAGATTTTTATAATCATGCAACTAATAATTTTTTTTTTTAGTGTATCTAATTTTTAGTTCATGTTTTTTAAATAGAACAATTACATTACAATACATATACGAACCACTGATGACTGTGTTTAAGCTCTTCTATGAACAGTTGTTCGCCCCTTAGCAGTTGTCAACTCTTTTTGGCTGGTGAAAAGGGTCGTTCATAACATGTTCTTTAGTGAATACCCGGCCAACTGTTCATCACTTGTGTATCACTTAAAAAAAAAGGTTTCTAAAACTTGTACGGATCAAGTTCTACACCAGGGCCCGAGGACCGTTTCTTCTAAAACAATTCTATAATATAATAATACAACTAAAATAAATAATACTAATGCAATACAATCTTTAAATTGGACTAAATGTGCAAACAACTAAAGTAAATACTCGATACTTAACAAAACAACTTCAATAAATACTCGATACTCTATAAACACGCGTCAGGCGTCCTCACTCTTTAAACTTCGTATACAAGAATAGGCACTAGAACCGTGATAAAAAATAAGAATAGTCTTGTTTCGTTTATACCGCACCCCCTATTATTACGTCAGTATATTGTATCGATTTATTTTAAGGGGGGTGTGGTCAACAATAATGGTGGAACAGCAGCTGTTACCGTTTTAAACTTTATGTACAACCGTGGTTGCGCTGACAAATCTTACCAAAGGGTCTCCAATCATGGAGGAAAAATATGACCCTACAGAGACGGGTAAGCTGGAGTCTGAACACTCGCTCATGACTTGGCGGGCAAAGTTACAGTAGAATACAACTTACAACGCAAGTTATTTTTCCCAAACAAAAGCAAAATATTTATATGCATATAATTATATAGATTCAATAGGGTATACTTTTCTTATGCTGGCCAAGATGGCGGGTGTACTAAAATAGATAAACCCATTCATTTAAAAGCTTTTTATACAAATTCCAGATATGACACGTTTACACAAGTCCCACATAGTGTAGACTTTACCGCTGTCACGCTCTTTTCTGACGGACGGTTGGTTTCGGTAATCAATACGGAAATTAATTAACACTGGGTCAGTTTAATGTTACATAAGTTATACATATTTGTATACAGGTGTGCAGAATTTCATGGCCCGTCTGATTTTTTAACGATGTACTAAATTTATGAAGAACCGACCTATGTAAAACATAATATTTGGTTTTCTAAAACAATAATAATTGAAAGTGTGTATTTTCTTTCAGTCAGAAGCCAGATTTATGGGGGCTAACTTTTTAAACTTAAATTGTATTATACACGTTTAATTCGTTTTTTAAATTTAAAATAATATTACTGAAAATATTATTAAAGTTCAAAATTTAGGACGAGATGAAAGATGTAGTGGAGTGTAGTTTTATTTTTATCTGCGCGCATTAATAGTAATTATCCAAAACAAGTTATTAACCAGTCAAAATATTCATAAAATTATTCTTAACTTAAAAAGTTAATAAAATACATGCTTACATTTTTTTAAATTTTAATAATTTATAGAGCTCTGGAAAAAAAATGTAAAAATATAAATTTTGTCGGATAAAGACAAATTTTTAAAGTATCTCCAGAAAGAAAAACTACAATACTGTAATTTTTTTTTTAAAAAAATGAGTGTCTTATCTTTAATGAATTAACCTGTATTTCGTTAATTGTTCATTACAATATATTTATAAGAATGGTAACAAATTATTAAAAGTATATTATTATTAATTGGAATTCAGCCCTAATCGTATCCATCCTCCAATACTAAAAATATAATTTAAAGCACATTATTTCTGTTGATTAATTTTTATCAATACTGTAAATTTTATATTCAATTTTTCCAAAGAATTAATCAAAATATTCAAATGATTAATCTTAACTTATAAATGCGTTAACATTAAAAATATAGGTATCAACAGGTTGAATACAAGATATTTTTAATGTATACATTTCACGTATTTTATTATTAAATAAAAAATATTTTACGATAATACATTTTTTTTTATTATATCATTTAAATAAAAAAGTATTTAGAATATAATTTGACTGTTTTTTAATTGTTTTTTGTGTCAGACGTAATATATTTTAATTCACAGGACTTTGGTACTAATGTTGAACTAGCTAACAATATCAGGTCAGATGACATACAATAATGGAATTCCCCATTAGTGAAAATAAAAAAAGTAATTGTTTCTAATTCTTAATGAGATACGTGCTATAATTTTATACTATTAATATGAAATTACCAGATGATACAATTTAACTACATAAATGAGAAAGATGAGTAATTGAGTAGGTCAGGTTAGGTTAGGTATTTGTTGGACAGGTCTAGCAAACAAGAGTTGCCATCCCTCTGCGGCGACCAATTGAAGACCCTTATAAGATAGCAAATCCGTCAGGAAACCTTTCTAGAAAGAGGCAGCTTTTTTTGACAATACAACTATATTCAAATAAAAATAATAAAAAGCTTGATGAAAATGTTAAATGCATTTTTTTATTAGAATGAAATAAAATATTTGTATACAATTTTTAAACTAAAAATATTTCTATAAACATGATTTTAATAAATAACATACTATCAGTAAGAAGGGATACGTAATCCTAAAAATCAATGCATTGTATATAAAGTAAAGGTGGTTAAGTAAGTATTAAATTTAGTTTCATTATTAATAAAACTTTACTAAATTTAATTTTAATGAAAATAATAATTTTTAAGTTTTATAACTGATCAAAAGTTGCATTTATAAACTATACTTTTTATAGGAATAAAAAAAAAAATTGATAATAAATCAATATAAATAAAAAATTGTTTTTCATTGAAATAAAAATTAGATTAATATCTACGAATATATTCACTGTATCGTGGAGGTGTAGTCCATACTGCGCTTGATGTGCGTGGACGGTCGCGAATACTTAATCCTTTGAACATTTTTTTTAGATTAAATTCCTTAGGACAATCAAAAAATAGATCTCTTTTTGTCGAGTCAACATGTGCATGAACTTGAAGTTGCAATACTCTATTCTCTCCTAGAATAAAATATGTATATTCAATTATTCAATTCAATCAAAGATAAAACTAAGTTAATATAAACAAACGTTTTGCCCATTCCGGAATAGTTCTTTTAGGTCCAGTCTCATCTTCGGAAGAATCTTGAGCTGATACATCGTTTAATCCATAATCATCTTTTGAATTTTCAACCTAATTAAATTAAAATACATTTTTGTAATTATTGATATTATAAAATGGCAAAAATGGTTAAATTTAGAAATGTCTCTATTTAAGTTTTTTCTTATCGTTTATATATCTCTAATCCTCATCTTCTAGTGTTTTTTAATTAGTTAAATTATAAAATAATAAATTGTGTGAAAAAAAAACAATTTGGATAACAAAAGATGTTTGCATGGTCATAATACACTTAATGAGTTGTCACTTTACAGCGATGATTATTTTAAAGAGAAATATCTTTGCTTTTTTAAATTTATGTTATATTTTATAAATATATAAATTTATTTTTTAAATAAGGTAGGTATCGCCTATATTGACTTTCGAGCACTTACTTGAACGGCATTTATAACATATTTTTTGAAACAAAACATGTCACACCTTAATGTATATCATTAGTCAGCCTGCCGTAGCTGTTGGGTATTCTATAGTTACAAAAATATACAATATATTATTGTAATCAACGTACAATAATAATATAGATATTTGTGTTTATACTATTTATAGATTTGCATCAAGCATTTAATTAAAAGTGATTTTATACTTTCAGTTATATAGTTTTTAAGCAATTTAAAACTTCAGAGGCTTTTAGGCATGTTCATATGCTGAAATTGCTTAAGCATATAAATAAAAATTAATCCTACCCTTAGTAGATTGACATATTTGAAATTACGTACATTTTTTGTTTTAATTTTTTGTAACGTAGCTGTTTTAAATGATTGTGTTGATGACGATGGTATTTTAGAACGAATAGTATTACTTTTTCCTGGACTGAAAACAAATAAAAGATTAACTATTATATAAAAAACATGTTTTTTTTTCATTGTATAACTTACTTATTTAATTCATTTTCTTTAAGTTTAGCTTCTGCTTTTTGCTGAAACAAATATATTCTTTTTTAGAATAAAAAAAATGAAATACAACCATTATTCAGAATTCTTCTTCTTCTTTTCTAAAGGCTAAACCTTGTCATTGCGAAAAAATAGACTATTCAGAATTAAGATTTGTATATTATGTTGATATTATTTAACTAAGTTTATTAAGAAGGCAATGTTACATTTGAGTTTATATTGTTACAATACTATATATATTGTTATGATTTATACTCAATGATACTATTTTAATGTGACTATTATGTATTTTTAATTTTTTTTAAATAATTCTATTAGGTTTTACACTAGACTTTGGGACTATAATGTCTTCTTAAAACAAAAATATTACTTACTATTTTTAATAAATTTGCTTCCTCTGCTAGTTTCTTTTTAGCAATTATTTCAGCTTTCCGAAGTTCTGCTTGTTTTAGTTTTTTTAAGTGTTCTGCTTTTAAAATCAGTTCTTTTTCTTTTAATTTTTCGTCCTTTTTTCTTTTTTCTTCAGCTTTTTTATTAATTTTTTCTTGATTGAGTTTAATTTGTTCTTCTCTTTGTTTAGCTGCTTTTATTTGTAGTTCATCATTTTTCCTATTGAAATATTAAAAAATACAAAAAGATATTAATATAGCTTAATATTTAGTGTATAAAATACTTGGTTTTTTTTAGGAGAATACAAAAATGTACGATCAAATTTAATCAGTTGCTGGGGAAAGAAGGGCGCACAACACTATGGTTTTTAATTTTTTAATAATACACAAAGTTCACATAAAAATGTCTGCTGGATCTTTACTGAATGTCAATGTATTGTTAAATGACTGTCATTTAACATTTTATATTTATTTAGTTTTTTTTTTTGTAAGTGTTACATTAAGGAATGTAGTTTGTAAAGATGTATTCTTTATATTGGTTTTTTTTCTTGTGTAGCATATTACCAATTTATTTTTATGAGAAAAATGTGTTATCGTAAAAAAATAACATTTTAGCTTTTGTATAGCTTAGCGGAGATAGAACAAATTGTTTATACAATCAATACAATGATGTTTTAGTTTTTAAGTTTGGACTAATGCTATCTTTTTAACCACTTAAATAATTTCTTCACAATGTATATCTGCCCATATATAAAACCACCAATTTTAAAACTTTTATCTTTTTTACTTAACTGTAAAAAATCGAGATATATATTTTTTGGATTTGAGAATTGAAAATTACAATTTAGATTGAAGTAGGCCTTGTATTATTGAATAACATATACAATTTTCTCAATAATTTGTAGTTAAATTTTTTTTATTAAGAAAAACCAAAAAAAAAAAATTTAATTAGTTTTTGATATATTGTTTATGTAATTTTTTTATTTTGCATCAAAAAGTTTTTTTAAAGCTGATTTTGTGGCTTTCAGCAAGTAATTTCTAAAGTCTTGCGATCTTCACAACTCACAATATGCTCTGTCCACACTACGATGGATTTGATTTTACTTTAACTACATGTAATGCTATCATCATGATTGAACAAGAACACATACAGCAGTTTTTTATAAGGATATCTAACTCTAGATTGTGTATTAATATATTGACAGCTAACAGGCAAAAGGCCATATTTGCCAAAAAACCGTATTTTTCTATTAAATATTTTTCTTGACTATACGTAAGCTACACTGATTAAATTTATGTAAACAGTTAAACAAGGTTATTATGTAATATTAATGAACTTAAACATGAAAGAAATTAATCAATTTAATGGTTATTAATAAATTGGCAATGTCCATTTTTTTTTTACTTGGATTTATGTCGACATGTTTTACGTTTAAAATCAACGAGTGGTTCAAACGGACATGACTGTCAATTCGGCTTATACTTCTATTCATATTATTTGGAAATGGCTAATACTATCATACAACGATGCACATGTCTGATTCTTTCATATATGTTAAGAGGATACCTCCTATTTATTAATGAGTTAGGTATAGGTAATTTTATGCAAAATCATAGTTTAAAGATTGAATTGTATGTGTAATTATTAGTTCAGTAGTTGGGATATTTTAAGTCTTATAAAGTACCTCCCCCGATACAATTTCTGATATATAGCCTCAGGGCTGAAGTTGGGGGGAAGGGCAAGCGGTGATCATGTCTAGGGTTAAAGTTAAAGCTTTAAGGTTAAAAAGAGCAACAAAATCCAAAATGGTAGAAAATAACTTGAAATTAATATTTTCAAAAGTGCAATATTTCATTTTTTTAATTTGTCATGACCATGAAAATACAATAAAAAATTAGGAGGTCTCATTTCAAAAGTCTACTGGGGGACATTAGAGGGGGTCACTATAAATTTTACAGAAAAAGGTTAAGGGCCTCGCATTCATAATTTGCCCCAAGCCTTGCAAATTGTAGCAATGGCCCTGTAAATACTTGCTACACAAATAAATTTGTTCAGAGGTTTAGGAAATGAACGGCTGAGTAAAAAAGGGATAATATTCCTCAACACCCAACTTTTGGAAAATTACATGATTCTTGCTATAACTAATAAATGATTTTTCAATGGAATATTAACCTTTATACCTTCATAATATGAGTAGATAAACTGCTTTTAACTACAAAACTCAGTTAATTTTTCCTATTTATGGAATTTTATTATTTTGCTACTCAGCTGTTCAAGTATATAAAACACACCATTGTAAAAACAATACCTACTCAGCTCCACATCGAAGTTAAAAATAGTGAAAAACTTCGTCAATAAATGTTGTGGTAGTTCCTCATTATTGCATTAATAAAATATATAGGTACTATATAGTTTTTCCATTTAAATTAAATTTTTGTAAAAAATTACCTACTCTGACTTTTTAATGAAAAGACGGTAGTATAATAGAAAGAAGAAAAGAAAAGAAAGAATATAATGTGTACAAAAGTGTGTATTCTCTGAATCTGAAGTTAATTGAAAAAACTATGCATTGAAGCTAAATGTATAGAATTGGCTCTCGATTATTTAGAAGTTTTGTATTGGGAAATATAGTAAGGATATGATAGTAAAAAATACATTTTCAAAGTATATATACTTTTGATCGGCCTTGTGTTTAAGATATAATTCTTTTCTTTTTTCAGCTCCATTTTCTCTAATTTGATGAGGAGTTAGTGTTTCTACGGGTTTCAGAGGAGTTGATATTTGTTTTTCTAATGGCACTCGCAATACTTCATTGTCCTCATCAATTTTTCTTTTTTTTGTTCTAGTAACGTGCTGTGAGACCTGTTCATCAACATTAATGTCAATATCTTCCAATTTTTCACGCTTTCTATGGTTTGTTTGAATTAACTTCCTGAAATTAAATTTAGTTTTAAATATTAAATATATTTAGTTAAAATATGATAAACATACCCATCTTTTTTCATTGCTGTGTTAGAAGTTGAAACATTTTCTACATCAACTGATTTATCAAGAATGTTTCCAAACTCTTTATTAGCAGGTATTGCATACGTTTTATCACAGGTTTGAATTTTAATGTAAGTTTTGTCAATATTTTCAGGTGAAAACAAAGGAGGTGAAATAAATTCAACTAAATTATCTGAAATACTTGGCTTATTTCCGATAACAGTAGAATTTCCAATTGGATGTCCATGTGGTGTAATATCATCAGATAAGGCTAGGAATTATATAGAATAATTACATTATAACTTATAAGTTATGACTTATGAGCGTAATTGCATTTGTACATGGCATATGGATATGTTTAAACTATTTTTTTAATAAAAATTACTACATTACTTGTTGATTTTGTCCAATTTTTCATTTTATTTATTGCAACCTAGATTATAAAAATAAGAACATGCAGTCACATTTAATTTTTATAAATGGTAGACAGTACAATGGAAAAAAATAAATAATAACTTACAATTGAAGCTTGTCGTGTAGTTCTACGAACAAGTGTTACTGTTGGTTCTTGGAAACCAGGCTCATTTGCAAATAAATCACCAACTGAAATAGGTGGATTTTTGATTTCTACATTTTATAAAAAAAAATTAAAAAATTACAATAATACATAATTGTTAAAACACTACGTTTTCAGATACTTATTAAAGCTAAATAAAATATTGAATCACTGTAACTAAAAAAATAGACTTATGATTTATGCCCATTGTGTGACCACATTTTTATAAGACCTTTACAGAAAAATAAGTCCTCTATCTGACATAATAATAATGCAAAATAATTACTGATAGATTATAGTTTTAAGATTATGAAAAATGTTTTGTTACTGAAATAATATTAATTTAACTCCTTAATGAATAAGGAGGGCCCAACTTCTCTTAGCTGTATTCTTTTAACATAATGATACTTACTTGATTGTCTCTTAGAAACTTTCTTTTCTGTTACATTAAGTGTTTGACTATTTTTACTGGCATATTCGATTACATCACGATACACTTTGTCCAATTTAAGTATTTGCTCCTAAGAAAAATAATATACATATCATTAAAATATAAAAATGACCAAATATTATGATTGGATTATCTAGTCAATTTCTAAACAAAAGATTAATGAGTCTCATATTTCATCCGTCACTGTTATTTTTGTTCAAAATATACAAGTTATATTTTTTAACAACCTTTAATGAGCTACTGCATAATTTTAGTTTTATTTTGGAACAACACACAATTTTTCCTCAATTTTTTATATTATCACTTTTTATGTTACTTTATGTTTTTATTCTTTTTTTTTTGGTTTTTAAAGATAGGATCCAGACAAAAAAATAAAATAAAAACACATCATTGTAAAAACAATACCAGTTCAGCTCAGCACTGAATCTAAAATATTAGTAGAATGCGTAAAAAAATATTAGGTACAAATACCTTCTTTCAAAAATCTATTAGTCTTGTGATAGTTTTAGTCCACCACAACTTAACCCGTGGGTTTCATTATTACATTATTATAACAAAAAAAAAAAATTAATATGATAGGTACTTTTAGCATGTTAAATATATTATTTTATGCATAATAGTAAATGATGTATTTAAAATTGTAATAATTTGCTATATGAATAATGTAACTACCTCTGTTGTTACGTTAATAGTATTAAAATTATTTTGAGCAAGGTTTCCCAACTCACTCCATAGAGTTACTAAATCTGAAGACTGATAATCCATGTTTATTGAATATATCTAAAACATTACAAGATATTTTATTAATTGTTTATAATTAAAAAATAACTACTAGATTAATTATCAAACTAGTTTTGTTAGTGGGAAAACGTCAGAAATATGTAAATTGCAGAAAAATGTAACAAGAAAAATATAAGATTGCTTGGATTTGGGCATGTAGAAAGGAAGGAGGAAATAATATAGTGTAAAAGATCAAGCCAACTAATGTTTATCATGGCGTTTTTCGCGCTATGGTTAAAATGACTGCAGTTACATTTAGTCACACTGTGACCAATGACCAAAAATTGCGCAGCTAACGAATTGTTAAGGGGATTTGGGAGAAGAATAGATAAATCAAAGACGACTGAGAATTATATAAAAGTATAACAGAATGGGAATCTGTGTAAGAGTAACTAGAGAAATAAGAGAGAGAGATTCGACTGACCATCGTTATTTGTATGGGAAAAATCAAGAGAGAAAAAGAGACAGCGTCAAATTGTTTCATTGCAAATCAATACCTATAATATTTAATCACAGTATTATACATAATAATTTACAATGTATCTTCTACAAGCTAGGATTGTAATATAATATTTAACAATAAACTTGAAGTTATATTAAATTTGAAGTTATATTAAATTAAATAAAAGAATATAATAATATATTGATAAAATACTGGTTTTATGAAAAAACTTACTAGGCATACAATTCATAAATCATAATACAGGGTAGGTATGAAAAACCCCATTGATTTGTAGCCACTGTCCGCTGGTTGGTAAAACAAATATCAGTCGACTTCAAGTAAACGATACGGCGTGAACAGCTGCTGCTGCACTAATAATAATATTAATTATTAATAAACAGTAAACGTAAGTCAGTAAAGAATAGCAGACAACTCAGTAACGTGCTATGCTATGCACGTATCATTTAAATATTCGATTTTTAATTCTTCAGATGTACCATAAATAAAACATACAAGTTTAAACATATATTATAGATAAACCACGCTACATACTTTTTTTGACAACATTTTTTGGCCCAAACGGCAAACCTATAATAACTGTTCATTTCGTTATATTAACGGTTGCCGTATTTCATATACCGGTGGACTATCGTCTGACGTCCGTCCATAGATAAGTATATAATAGTATATATCAATGATATATAATCCGCGGCCATAGAAGATAATCTTGTAGGCCGTATTTTTATCAGCTATGGTTGTAGTTTGTAGATAAGAGTAACGAACTTCTGTACGACTGACAGTACAGCAGCATTATGGTAAATCATGATATACCAAATTTTCCTGAATTTGGTAACACTGCTATACCCATTAGATATGTACATAGACCTATAAAGAAATCTTTATAGGTCTATGGATATGTAGGACGTAGTTGGTTCACTTGGCCGTGGTGGCCGCATGCCACACAGCAGCAGCTCCACAGCAGGCCCCAGACACTGATAAAAATTAACACGGGGAAGATGCTTATCACACAAAAACGCGGCGGCCATCTTCTGAAGGCTACACCACTATAATGTTATCTCTATATATCATTATTATTTTTTGTGTATAAATATAACATATACTACTAAATAGTTTGTCACAAAATGGCCGTCACTGTTTTGTTTTCATTCAAAGTGACCCTTCTGCTTTCATCTATTCTGTGTTCGTACTCCGCATTCGACTGCATACGCACTAACACGCTCTAACGCACGTCGCACACCGCCAGACGCCAGTTTCCGCTTTCCGGTCGTGCCACATTATATATTCGTATAATTCGTATCAGGCATCAGCTATCGACTATCAGACATTAGGATTAAATATTAGATATTACTAACCAATATTTTGTTTTTTGTTGAACTGCAATTTGCATCGTATTTTGCTTTTCGGCCGTAGCACTTAAGGATAAGGTCAATCCCTTTTGCTCAAAACTTTTGTTTTAAATAATTTGAAACAAAAATTAAAATGTCGCTGTTTAGGTAAGTACTCAATTCTACTTTAGTTATACCAACGATAAAGTCGTGTTATTAAATATTGCAGCAACCTTTCATGGCGGTTTGCACTAACTATACTTGAAATGTAGGCTTGTTTAAATACTACAACTAATGGTTACTCTACTTCAATTTTATGTATAGATAAGGCTGATTTTAGAACATAAAACAGTAGATACTACTACATATATAAATATATATATATATTTGTAATGTTATGAATGATTTAATTATTTAGCGTATTGCCTGCACCAAAACAATTTCTTCAGGATTTGGAAGATGAAGAACCTGATGAAATAGTGACTGAATCTAACAGTTATGAAGTCTACGCAGTGAAAATCCCACCTTATGGCAAACGTATCGGATGGATTCCGCGAAATATTGAGGTATTGAAAATATTTTTTATCAACTTGTAGCCTAGTCGTGTAAGCTGTCAAACTTGATTCTTATAGTGTTGAGTTTGTTTCTCTTCTCGCATACCACTGAAAAACAAACCTTCGCTCTATTTAATAGGATATACTAAAAATAGTCAAATGCTTTTAGGAAATAAAATTTGATTTCAATTAAGTGTAAATGTTACTTATTAAATCAATATACAAACTACATAATCTAAATCTTTTTTTAGGCGTACTATAAAGCATATAAGATGTGGTATATTATACTTAAAGTTCTTATAATATTTATTATGACACTTCCTATCTTTTTTGAATTAATATTGTATTATGTTAATAGAAAATATCTTAATGGTAAAAATTTCAGAAAAAAAAAAAGGTTATTTGAGCAATATTTATAATTATATTTTATGATTTGAAACTTGAATAGTAACATATCAATTTAATTTAGTATTTAATTAGCTTTACTAAATTAAATTAATTTTACTAAAGGTTTTGACTGATAATCAGGTATAAATAATTACTTTTAGTGTTATTAGCATTTAAATGTTGAGATGGAAAGAGAAATGTGGTTGAGTTATACCCTCAGATAAAAATCAAGTTATTACTATATTTGTTGGACCCCGTCTCACAAGTTGTGTTTTGCGGTGGCCAACATAAAATTTTACTGGTTCTTTTAAAATCAGTGAAACCTAAAAAAATCATTAGTTTAATAGTTAAATCTAGCACCTGATCAAAGCTTTTTTTTTTTCTAAATAAACAAAATGGTGACCTCCGATCATTAACTCATGGATTTTCAAGGAAAAAAAAAACACTAGTTTATTGTTTATAAAAAATATAATTTTTATTAGAAAAAAAAATCCTTTAATCAGGCACTAGTTTTTTATATTTTCAATAAGCTGTATAAATTTCATTCTAATCTGTCAAGTGGATTTTGAATTATAGTGGTCACCGACTTAGTCATCGAAACATAGTTTCGAGAAAAACTCATTTAAAAAGTTTTATACTCGATGTATGTATAGAAATATTAATTATTTAATTGATTACAACAAGTCATCTATTCCTTGGATTCAGATAATATTTTTGAGACATCAAGAAAATGCAAAAAAAATAATCGGGATAATTTAAAAATCCCGACTACCTCTAATCCCTTAATACACCCTTCCTTCTATCCTAAATTTAAAATTTTAATAATTTTAAAAGTAATTATACAAAACTGGTTATTGATTAGTCAGAATGTCCAGACAAGTATTTGTAATTTAAAAAGTAAATAAAAAATACACCTACATTACAATTAAAATTTTAAAAGTTAGTAGCGCTTTTGAAAATGCTAAAAAAATTTTAATATTTGGACTTAATATTAAGAATAACAAACAATAATGATATAAATAAGAATATTTATGAAATTATTTTCCTCAAAAATAAGTGGATAAATGTAATTTGATCATCCTGTATGTAAATTGATTGAGAAAGAGAATAAAAATTTAAAATAATCTTACATATTATTACTATAAATTGTTTTAATAAATAGTTTATGAGAAGAGTAAATGAAATCTTAATATCTGCACTTATATTCATAGACGCAAAAAGCCCAAATGTTATAGGAGGATATTGATTAAAAAACGTGGGCGTTATGCCTCCCACTTTCAACTATAGTGATTAGTGTACAAATATTAAATTGTAGAAAACAATGATATATACTTAGTACTTCCTTGATGAAAATTTGATTTTGGGGGATTAAAGTGTCCCAAAGCGCTTCTTCCCTATATGTGCCAATGCTTATATTACTACAATAAATTAATTTAAATTCTTTATTATCTTTATATTATGGTTACATCGTATACTGAACTTCAAATCAATTTTTAGTTTTTAGATTCAATGAAATAATAATGATTTTAATCCTCCGTTAGTCCCGCAATTTTTAGTCACACTTGAATAAAGTGAGACCTATGTACATTTCTTACCTGAGTGATAGTGTGATTCAATCTGACTGTGATCGTTTTTAACCATAGCGTGACTAACGCAAATATCACTTATTAACAATGTTAGTAATTAGGAAATCTAATACTTATTGTTTTTAGGATTTTGGAGATGGTGGAGCATATCCAGAAATCCAGGTGGCACAGTATCCATTAAACATAGGAAAAGAAAATAAAGACTCGGTTTCAAATGCTCTAGCACTTCAGTTGACTTCTGATGGCAAAGTCAAATATGATGTGATTGCCCGCCAAGGCCATAGAAAAGATAAGGTTATATACTCAAAATTATCAGATATGCTACCGTCCGAAGTTGTAAATGAAGATGATCCATCATTGCAAAAACCAGATTCAGATGAAGTTGCTGATATAACAGAGAAAACTAGAGCTGCACTTGAAAAACTTACCAACTCAAAAGTATCAGCTGCATTACCTGTTAGGGCTGCAGATAAACCTGTATGTACAAATATATATATATATATATATAAATTTATATATTGTGTTATACCAATAGGTATTTATGTTTTAATTTTTTTTTTTAGGCTCCAGTTCAATGGTTTCGTTATACACCAACTGAACAAGGTAAGGACTACAATTCAGGATCCAAACAACGTGTTATAAGATTAGTTGAAGCACAAAAAGATCCAATGGAACCTCCGAAATTTCAAATAAATAAAAAAATACCTCGTGGACCTCCATCTCCTCCTGCACCATTAATGCATTCCCCTACAAGAAAAACATCAGTAAAAGAACAAAAAGAATGGAAAATCCCACCTTGTATATCAAACTGGAAAAATTCAAAAGGATATACAATACCTCTTGATAAACGTTTAGCAGCTGATGGACGTGGTCTTCAACAAAACCACATAAATGAGAAATTTGCAAAATTAGCTGAATCGCTTTATATAGCAGATCGTAAAGCTAGGGAAGCTGTTGAAATGAGAGCACAGTTGGAAAAGAAAATGGCTCAAAAAGAGAAAGAAAAGAAGGAAGAACATCTTAGGGCTTTGGCTCAAAAAGCTAGGGAAGAGAGAGCTGGTATTCGGCTTCCGGGTGCAAAGAATGATGAATCACGTGAACGAGACCAGTTACGTTTAGAGCGGCAAAAGGACAGAGCTCGTGATCGTAACCTTGCAAGAAATGCAGATAGCCGAAAGAATAAAGTGTTACGTGATCGCGACATTAGTGAACAAATTGCTCTTGGATTACCAGCAATCACTAGGAAAACTGGCGAAACTCAATATGATCAAAGATTACTTAACACAACATCTGGAATGGACACTGGCTTTGGAGATGATGAAGAATATAATGTTTATGATAAACCATGGCGTGGAGGTGCCTCTTTGGCTCAACATATTTACCGTCCATCTGCTAGTATTGACAAAGAAGCTTATGGAGGAGATCTTGATAAGATAGTTAAGACAAACCGGTTAGTATTTTACTTCAAGTATATTTTTTAAACTTTTTTTTTAATAATATTTTTTTTTGTAGATTCGTTCCAAATAAAGAATTTAGTGGAACTGATCGTGATCCAAAAGCTAGCGGTCGATCTGGCCCAGTTCAATTTGAAAAACATCAACAAGAAGAAGATCCATTTGGTTTGGATCAGTTCTTGACACAAGCCAAGCATGCATCTAAAAGAGCTCAACCGCAACAGCCAGATCGTGAGAAACGTCGTAGAAAAGATTAAATTGACAATTACTAATAAGTTACATAATAATATTAACAATTATTAAAACTAAAATTAAAATTATACATGAAGATTATTTGTAACTTATTAAATATGAATAGAAAAGTAAAATAATTGTTTTATGTTATATTTTTCATAAAATATTCCTAAAAAATTGCTTAAATATTTACATAATTTTTTTTATTAAAAGAAAGAAATAAACATTTTAAATAGTTTTTGGTAATAATACAATTATTAAAATATTTATTCCTGTTTATATTCACTATTAGTAATTTGTAATTTGACAAACTTGTTGATAGCCAATTGCAATATTACAAATTATTACGTCAGCCATTTTTCTTAAAAATAAAGTACTGAATAAATTGCATATCGTATTTGATTTTAGATGTCAGTCCATAGTTTTCATGAGGTAATTTAACTACTTTTATAAAAACATTAATGAAAAAGATCCTATATGCCACTAGTTACTTACTATGTTATTTAATAATTCAGTTGTGAAGGCTAAATATGTATTATTTAATGTATGTATCTAACAGCTTATACATAATTTATATAGGTTACTTAAGACGTAAATATATGCTAGTATTACTTTTATGGGTTGGCTTTACCAGTACAACTGGTAAAGCTGTGATTATTTAAAGGATTATCAGCTTCATAATATATTTTGCATTGTAATAAAATGGAAGTCTAAAAATTTTGGTAAAATTCATCCATATAATATAACCTAGGAAGCAATTTAATGGTTCACAAGCAACCTTTTGTACTTATTAGTCTTCCACCTTATTAATAGTGCGTTTTATAAAGTATGGAAGTTTCATTGTTCGTACAAAGCATCCTTTATTTAATTTAAGCATAATACATAATACAATATTCAAACATCAGAGGTAATTTAAATTTATTTTTAAGACATTTTGTCTAACAACTAACAAGTAGTTAGTAGTATCACCTTATATCTGAAGAAGAAATAAAAACAACTACAAGAACATTCAGTAATTCTTATAAATAAATATCAGTGTATGTGTGTTGTACATGGATTCAACTGTATTATTGTACTGTATGTTACAATTCAATTTGTAGTGCTAAAAAACAGAAAGTTATTTTAAGCTATTGCAGTTTTTGTATAAATCACTTCTTTACATCTTTCTACAATTGAAACCGTAGGTTATTATAAAACCACCCATTATCATGTTTTTTGTAACAGTATATAATTGTGGTTAAGTCGTTGTGGTAAGGTTAATTAAATAAGTTAATATATAATATAGTATTGACTATAGTAAATAATAATTAATTCACAAACGAATGAATAGATTTAATATTAGAGTTCCTACTTGGGACATATTATCTATCCAAAGTCTATGGTATTCATGTGCAAGTAGTAAACATTGACTTTTGTATTGCATACTTGAAGAGCAAGAGGTTTTACCGTTTGTTAAACATAATTTTTTAAATAAAGAACTTGTAGAAATACATAATAATAAAGTTTAGGGCTATTACTTTGACTGAAAATTCATTAATATTTGTAAATTGTGATTAGTTAATTGATTATTAGTAGCAACGCTGTTGGAAGTTTCTATGTGTGTTCTTGTCTATGGTTTCTATTGACTATAGATAATAAGTACCTGTTATTTGAGTACAAATTTACAAAAATAAATAATAATTTATTATAATATTATTTTGTATAATTGTTTGTTTATTGTTTTATCTATGATTATAATATTATCACTGAATAGTGAGTAACATAATAATTACAAACACCAAACTGATATTGTTATCATTTTCGATCACAATATTGTCACAAACGAAATGGATATTACGTTGGGCGTATATACCATGTACTTTGCTTATCGAAATTTGTCGTTTTGCAAATAAATTAGTCACAATTCATAGTTCACAAAAGTATTATCATTGAGTACGAACATAATGTTAAACATAAATTATTAAATACAAATTGTACGATATATACTCAATAGTATTATCTACTGCTAAATGGTAGGTTCCTGTAGCCAGTTTTCATATGTTTAAATTTATTCAATAAGTGAATAAGTCACAGTTCGCATCACCATATAAATTCTGTAAGGACAATCGTGAAATCGTTTTTATTATTATTATTATTATAATTGTTATAATTATTATGTGTTTTATTACAATTGTAATGTGTTGTTCTAGTCATTATCGGGTCGCTGTTTAATTGTTGTCAATTCGCTTGTTGTTCATTTATACTCTTAAAGAACTGTATCCTCTATAGTATTGCTCCTTAATCTAAGAACTTTGCTGTACTCAACGCAGATAAAATGCATGTAAGTATAAAGTAACAAAAATTAGTTTTTATTGGTAGGAAGAAATTGTTTCTTAATTTCTATAACTTTGTTTTAACGTCATATTTAGAATGTATATTTTATAATATTTCAACGTATATTCAATTAGGAATTTATTATTTTAATAGGATATTAACAATAAAAGTCAAGTACACTTCAGTGTACTTGAATTTTAATAATTACATTTGTAATTTTGTTGCTAAAATAGTGATACTATAGGTAATCCAGCCCATGAGAGAAGAAACTCTCATAGAAAGAAAAATATATAACTCCTAGGTGCATATGAGAGTCAAACAAATTTTCAGAATAACTATTCTACAACAAAAAAGATAATGCTTTTTTATAGATACAGTTTATAGATTAACTTTTAAATAGATCTGATGTGCGTTATTTTAATTTTTTGCTCAACAAATCGATGATATTAGCAGAGATTATACACTTATGTTTATTGATTGTTTATCAATAAACATTGATAGTATAAAAATATTGTAATAATACAATGATTGTATAATAAATAATCATTGTTTATCTTAACCGGGAGGTGTGGCGCAGTGGACATCTCAAGTGCCGTATGGCACTTGAGGTTAAGCTGTGTCCGTTGCTGCTTGATCCCAGATGGACGGCCACCCGGGATTTTTAACGGCGACCCACACTATTAACCCCGAATGCATAGCTGAAATGCCATACACCTCGGTGACCGAACTGGCATAAAGTTAGCCATAGCCACTCCCGGTCAATACGCCATAATCATATTTTTTTTTTCATTGTTTATCTAATCTGTGATATCAGAGTTGTCGTTCGGTAGCTTTGCTTCCAGAAACCGCTTAGAAATCAGTACTGCAGTTTTTAGGAAATTAAAAAAAAAAATCCAAGCTTGATTGTTGTTTAGTGGTATCTAGAGCGCTGAGCTACCAACTGTGTCATCATTGGAAAAAGTATTATAAATTATAAATAAACTGAAAACTTTGTAATTTGTTTTAGTCTGAAGATTTAGACGTAGAAGATCATTCTCCTAGTGATCTGATGAATGAGGACCTCCTAAATGAGGTAAACAATATAATGTGTGTAAAATATTAACTAGTAAAATAAATTGGTGTTTTATTTAATTGTGCATTAGATCTACAGTACTGTTATATTTTATATTCTATGGATAACACGGTGATATTGACTATAGTTTATGACAATTAATAACATATATATTATTAAGTATTTATTTTGTTTTTATTAAGTAATTTATTAAGCACAGTTTTCTGTTACAGAAATTTTTTAGTACTGTGTTATTCATTAATAAGGTGTAATTATTTATATTATAGGGAAGTAATTCAGAGAATGTGGACTTAAGTGATAACTCACTTCAAGTTGTCATTTCTGACGCTCTTAGCGAAAAAGACAGAGTGAAGTTTACTGTTCTATCAAAGGTAAGATTTAAGCATTATGTACTAAAGCAAAAACCATTAGTAACTAAAATTTTTTACCATTTTATGTAGACAACGTTACCAGATTTTCAAAAGTCAGAATTTTCAGTTGTAAGACAACATGAAGAGTTTATTTGGTTACATGACCAATTTGAAGAGAATGAGGATTATGCTGGATATATTGTAAGTAGAATTGCATTTTGTTTTATTGTGGAGATAAATTGTTTATTTTAATAATGTCCAATATATAAATAAAATACAAATTATAATTCTGACATAATTTTGTATTAATCAATTATGTAAAAACATGTTGACGTGTATATATTTTAACGAAACCAATTACAAACCTTGGATGAAACAGCAATGGCCCTTAAGATATAGTTGAAATAGTATTTATATTAGAGTAATATAAATAAAAAATTGAATTTACAATATATTAAGATAACATCTATAACTATTGGTAATTGTAAGGAAAGTTTTAAATATTTTTTATTTTAAAGAGTATTTTGATAATTTATGCAAAATTGTAATGTATAACTAATTCACATGTATACTATCTGTGAATTATACGAATACACATGTAATTCAAACTATGTAAACTGTAACATGAAACGTTCGGATTTAGGAATTTTTGTGTACAGGGAAATAAGATTCTCTAGTTTAGTCCTATTAACATAATTATTCTAAGAGAACACCAATATCTAAATAGCTACCTACTATTTGTAAAATTCTACAAACAGCACTTTTATATTAGCATGAAACATGCCTTAGTCTTGGCCTGCCATCTCGAAAATAACACAAAATAACGACAAGAAATAGCAGGAGTAGGGCCTACTTCCGTAAGATTGATTCGAATGCACCGGATCATTTTGATGTGGTCGGTCCCTGTGCCTCTTGCCTCAGCACCACTACTCATATTATGCTGCATGACTGAAATGGGCGTAGCGATCCCCATTACATCTCTGATGTGGCGCTCGTATACTCTGTGTAACATATAACATATAAGATGTCATCATAATAATGAGTCGTCATCGTCATTCAAACGTTTTGGCCAGAACATATAATTAAGACTATACTATCGTAATCAATCGCAAGGAGATGATAGATCAGAAATAATCACTATTCAGGAGCCAGCAGGCTAAAGCATGTTCCATGTTTTATCATTTTAGCCGTTAAGCTTTAAGTAGACCGTAACTTTAATTTTATCATTTATATGTAGATTAATTTTACTAATACTATAGACTGTAGTTTAAATTTTAGAAAATCTTGAAACAAATTTTAGATTTAAAGTGTTTTTTTTTTAGGTATATTAATTAAAAGTATATTTAACTATGTAGGTATATTCTTTTGATGATTGTGAACAAGCAAAATGACCTCTACATGATTGTTAACATTAAAACTGTATTACTTATGGTTTTATTTGTTGTTAAAATAATGATGATTAATTATTAATAACTAATAATAAAAATAAATTTTTTTTTTATAGATTCCTCCAGCACCACCTCGTCCAGATTTTGATTCATCTAGAGAAAAATTACAAAAACTTGGTGAAGGAGAAGGTACTATGACAAAGGAGGAGTTTATGAAAATGAAAAAAGAATTGGAAGCGTAAGCTGATATAAATAGATATAAATTTATTTATTTTGATAACTTTTAATTAATAATTCAATTATGTTGATATTTTTAGTGAGTATTTAGCCACTTTTAAAAAAACAGTTGCTATGCATGAAATGTTTCTTTCAAGGCTAGCTCAGCATCCTGTGTTTCGATATGATACAAATTTTCGAGTATTTTTAGAATACGACCAAGATTTGGCTGTTCGTACTAAAAATAAAAAGGAACTTTTTGAGGTAAGCCTACATGACACTCATATTTATTATACATCATTAATGTTCTAATAAGAAATCATACTAAATTCATAAACAGCTTTTTAAATAATGATAAAAACAAATTTAATATGAGGGCTCCGTTTAATAACATTGTACGTTTTCACAATTGAGAAGAAAAATAGTGCATTCTAATTATTTCACTTAGATTTTAATGATTATTTTTATAAATTATTCAAAAACATTTTAAAAAACAATATTAAATCTTCATTGAAAAAAATGTATTCTAGTTGGGAAACTTTTGAAGTTTGAAAGTTTGAAGTGAAATTTTCAAATACTTTATCTCGGATAGGTACGACATTTTTGGACTTATGTGTTCTGTATAAACGGGTTGGATATTAATAAACTAAAAAAAAATTAACGTACAGTTTAGTCCTTGTAAAGAATATACATAGATAAAGTCACTTATTTTTGTATATAAAGGTATATAAATCTATAAATACATGTTACTGCATGCCATTAATTAAGGGTTAATTATGGGAAGATATTCCACTGTTCATGTAGCTTAAAAAGCCTTGAGGGCCTAATGCGACTATTATTACATGGTACTCAGCAAATTTGCTTTGAGACGGGTCGTCACACCATCGCCTGACATCATATTAGTTAATATTTTCATGCTTACCAGTACACAGTTGTAGAAACATAAATATCAAGAATAATTATTTCAAATATATTTCTTATTATTACTTTAATGACATAACATATTAATAACTATATTTAATTTAAATTTAGGAAATTATGAAATCATTATCTAAAACAACAGATGAGTATCTACTTTCAGCAACTGTCCGGGATGTCAATGACTTCTTCGAACAAGAGAAAAATTTCCTTATTGATTATTATGGCCACTTAAAAGACGCTACAATGAAATCTGACAAAATGGTAAACAAACACAAAGGTTAGTTAAAAGCATTTAACTTGTATGTCCAACCATAATGATACAGACTGATTAACTATTTTTTTCATCAGACGTTGCAGATTGTTATATTAAAATATCATCGTGTTTGATCCAGTTGTCTACATTTGATCATAGAGAATTAGATTGGTTTTTAAATCGATTTTCTGAAACTCTAGAAAAATTAAGGGTAATTTAGAAGCTGTATTTTTTTTTTATAATAAGTTAATTACAATATGTTTATTGTCCGTTTCTCTTCTTGGAAAAATAAATGACCACCCAATTGGAGGTGAAAGCATTGGGAAACCAAGACCAAAAATCCGCTTCATAAGAACACAATTTAATAATTATTTACCAAAAAGAGTTGTACTATAACATTGAGATAAATGTGTACATTTATAATTTTTATTTTCAGAAAGTAGAAGGGAGAGTAGCATCTGATGAAGACCTAAAGCTTTCAGACACACTACGTTATTACGTAGGTGACTCATTTGCTGCCAAACGGCTCTTATATAGGCGGCTTCGATGTTTAGCAAATTATGAAGCGGCCAACCGTAATTTAGAAAAAGCAAGAGCTAAAAATAAGGATGTTCATGCTGTAAGTAAATTATTAATTCATCACAAGTAAAACTATACACTACTAATAATAATAATGATAATTTTTAATTAAATTGTTTAATGAGGCTCAAGAAATAATTGATGTAAGTAACAATGCCTACGATAAGTATGTAAGATAAAAATTAGACATTTCAAAACCGTAGTACAAGTATTATTATGAGCCATTTATTATTAGATTACTCATTTCTGTCTCATTCACAAAGGCACATCTTATATAAAACTTGCATTTTATGTTTAAAATAAAACAATGATATTTTTTGGGGTTTATTGTACTTAAAAGTAAAAGTATGTATATTTTAGTTTCTTAAATATTACTTAGTTATTTTTTTTGGGAACTTACAATTAAACATTGAACATTACTTTGTTATATTTTAAGCATTGAATACAAGTTCATAATTTGTAAATGGTTATAGTACATAACATGGTAAAATGTCTTTTGTCATGATACCTATTAATACTGTTTCAATTATTATTTAAAAAATAGAATAGTGAAAGTAGCTTTGAGTTAATTTAGTTTTTTAGAATTTGATTTTCCATAATATAAATACTAAATATCTAGTGTTTTATTCAATCAAATATTTATAAAATTAGAGCTTGTTAGTAATCATTAAAATTATTTGATTGTGTAGAAATTAAAACATTAGTTTACACAATTTTTGAGTTAAAAACTCAATAAATTGTATAATCATTAGATGCTGATATAATTGTAAGTTAACATATTTTTACATAATGCTATTTGTTATTGTAGTAAGTATATAATATGCTTTTCATTTTTACAATGTAGCATTGAACATTAAATATTAATATTATTTATAGGCGGAGACAACTCAACAATTATCTTGTGAAAAATTCGAAGTAATGTCTGATAAAGGAAAAGAAGGTAAATAAAAATGTATTTTATTTAAAGTTTTAACGCCCCAAAGGGGTAATAATTACAGTTATTAAAGTTTTACAACTAAAACTTAGGTATTAGATGTACTGTATACGAGTATATATAGAAAGAATACAAAATAAATACATATATACAATAAGTACATGTAAGCTTAATTACTATTCTTTATTATATTTTTTAATTTAAGTTGGGAATCAAAAGAAAAAATAAAATGAATTACATTGTTACATGAATCTAAAATGTGATACTCCGGACTATATTTAATTAAGTTTGTGAAACATTGTTCAGCAAGAACGGGCGATTATTTCTTGAATTAAAGGTTGGAATTTTAAAGTTAATTTTGCTTAGGAACTCTAGACAGGATAATTTACCATTTATTAAACTATAAATAAAAGCTATGTCGTTATATAACTTTCTAGAGGCCAATGATTCTAAACCCTATTTTACAGCTAAAATATTTACAGAGATATCCACTCGACCTAATTTTTGTGCCATTATTCTTAAAAAGCGTCGTAGGATTTTTTCAAATTTATCAATTAGATTATATTGTTTAGGTCTCTAAATTACTGACGCAAAATTCTAATATGGACCTAACAAGAGAACAATACAATACCTCAAGACAATGAATGCTTTTAAAACTGTTTCTATGTATAAAACCAATTGCTTATATAGCTTTGCTATAAATAGCGTCAATATGGGCATTGAATGTGAGATCAGAAGACAATAAAATGCCGTACAGTAGATGACATTTTTTTTATTTTGTGTGGAGCTATGGTTTTATTTTTTAGGTGGTTAAATGAGACATATTAGCACTTAGATGGGTTAACTGAAAGACCGTTTAGAATACACTATTTCGAAAGTTCGTCTAGATCGTTTTGTAACTGGTTTGAGTTTTCAATTAAATTAATTGATAAATAGATTTCCAGGTCATCGGCAAATAATAGATATGTACATGATTTGAAGGTGGCTCTAATATCATTTATAAATATAATGAATAAAAGAGGGGATAGGTTATATGTTATAGGATAGATGACCGTTTACTTTGACTCCGATGTCGTTGCAAATCTGGTTCTCCATTCTTTTTACGTTTAACCTTCATTGCTTGATGTTTGGGAAAATTAATCCAGTGGTTTCCGGTTGCTTTCTGAATCGCAGTGGCACCTCTTATTACTAAGGGATGCTATTCAAGTATAGATAAACCTATACTTGATACTAGGTCCATTTTGTCGCCTTTTACGACGGGCATGGACAGCCGTGAGTGTGTTTTGCCCCCCACCCACGTAGGTAAACAGAATGGCCTATTAAATAAATAATATGAGAACCTTGATAATAATGGGTTTCCTATACAGCTTTTTTTTTAGTTTTAACAGCAGGATACCGTAGTCAATCGAATCGAAGACCATTTTAAGATCTGTGTAAATTGCATCTACTTTACCACTTATTTTTACAATATCAATTAAATAAGTATAATAATACTATTAAATTGGTTTCTGTTGATTTAGATTTGCAAAAACCATGTTGTTCATCTACTTAAGTGTGCCTAAATGATTCATATAATTTTGGTTCCATAAGTTTTTCTAAAAGTTTTGAAAGTGTACTTAATTTAGATATAGGACGATAATTTTCAACTGCCGATTTAATGCCATCTTTCCATAAAGGAGTTACGAAGCTTGATTTCCGAAATTGAAAATTAGCGTGGGTTAGAAGATAAATATTTTTGAGTATTTGTTAAATATGTAGAATAACATTTTCTAGTCAATTTTTTACATTTTAATCTGATATCAGACAATTTTTTATAACCACTTTTACTGGATGACTGTCTAAAAGCTCTATGAGCAACCTGTTTACTAATTAGCATTTGTTTTACTCGTAGTTCATAGCTGAACCAATGAGTAAATTTAGAGCGGACAGATAATTTCTTAGGTACAAATTTCTTGATAACATCTAGAATTATTTCATAAAATGTATTACAAGCTATTTCTATGTTATTATATTTGTAGAGTAAATTCCAATCTACTGTACTTAAGGTGTGAGTGATTGTTGAGTAATTAGCCTTCCTAAAGTCATATTAATCTATACAAGAGTTATCACTTGTAAAATTATTCTTATTATATTTAAATCTGACTAATAATGAAAGATGGTAATTATCAACTAGGACTAAGAAATCGTTTTTGATAGGAGAAACAAAGGTATTTAGCATATTAGAGGAAATTAAGTCAAGTAAAGATCTAGATGTATTTAAATTTAATTAAATTGAACAAACTCCTTCAAATTGAAACAGTCAAAATGTAAATCAGCACCTTCTGAGTGTCTACCTTTGAATTGCAAACCATCACCAAAAGCTTAACGTTGTTATTGAACTTAGTTAAAATATATTCAATAGATTGAATATGGTTAGAATATGTATGGCAGGGACTATTTGGGGGGATGTAACAAGCAACCAAAACAACTTTTTCGTTCGAGTTTAACTTTACTTCGACGAATACTTGTTAAACATAATTAAATTGAACATAGATTTGCGATGTTAGAAGGTGGTTTTTAACACAAATTGCAACTCCACCACCTCTAGGATGTAAACTGGTGTTTGAACATCTATCAGTGCTAAAAATAGTATACCCATTAAACCCCTGTTCAGAACAGAAAATTCGGTCATTAAACCATGTTTCAGTTATTGTAGACAAATCGTCATTAAGGAGTGGAATGTTGCATCGCAGCTCAATTAATTTAGTCCGGAGACCCCCGTACCTTTTGATAATATCCATTAAATACATTAAAAATATATTTTTTTTTAATTTTTACTATTATGATAAATATTTACAACTTTACCCCTTTGGTAGGAATTTAGTTTTTTTGAGCAAGAAACGGAGTTCCTCTATTATATTTGATGTACCGCCTATTATTACTAGATTCTCTTCTTTTGCCTAGTTCGGATCGTAATTGTTTCATTAAAGCCTGTTGGTATGTTGTCCTATCTTCCGTAATTGATACATGACTGCAACGGCTGATAAATAGTTGTTTAATTTTAGATTTGAAGACTTTAAAGACGTTTGATTGTGAATCTAATTTTAATAGAATGGGGCGAGGTTTTAACCAAATTTGCTGCCTAAACGTTTAGCACGAATAATATGAATACATAAATCTTTCAGTAAGTCTGACCCAGTAGTTGAAGGAAGGGTTAGGTCCTCGTTTTTAGAGTATAGGACATTGAATAGAAGAATATCCTTTCCTCTTGAAATCCTGTTTTTAATTTCGGTAAAAAAGTCGAGATTATTGGTTTGAGATGGTGTCATAGAAGTAGTTTTGAGCTTGGCCAATTTAAAATTAAAAATTTAATACTCGTTTCATGTTTTGTAATTAGACTATATGTGTTTAAATTATTTTAATTATTATTTGTTGTTTCAGAACTAATTGATTTCAAAGCGCGACGTGTGTCAACTTTTAATAAAAATTTATTAGAGTTAGCTGAATGGGAAATAAAACATGCCCAGGTACTTTTTTTACATATTATTACTTTTATAAGTTATACGTGTAATCATAATAGATTAATAAACAATTTATATATTTTAGCATCAAATCGATATACTTAAAACTAGCCTTGAAATGATAAACAGTGAAGAGAAAAGTCAACAGTAAATATATATAGATAATTTCATAATAATGTAAGATATAATATTATTTAGAAAATGAACCTATTGTTGCCTTATGTTAATGATGGTAAAAGTGATTACAATGTATAATCATCAAAACTACAAAACAGTTACAGTATAATTATTACAAAATGCTATCGAGCATCATAAAAATTGATTTAATCACATAATAATTTCTTATTTATCCCGTTTTTATAAATGTATATTATATATTAAAATATGTTTTTATTATATTATCTTAATATATTTATTTATCATAAATAATAAATGTAGAACTCTTTCAAATTAAAGAGTATACAAATATTTTAATTAATTTTATAAACAAAAATAATATGTACTGATTATTGTATTTATATTTATTTCATTATTAGGGATATTATCATTCCTTCATAAATCTAAACTATTATTTGCTAATTTTGTTTTATATAATTTATCATTTTTATTATTATTACACATTTATAAATCTTTATACGTCATTGGGGAACATTTGTATGAACATCTATTGAGTATTTATTGATATTAGTTTATCCGTGTTGCTAACAAAAATAAAACTATTGAGTTATCAAAATATTTTTTTTAAGTATTTGGTTGTTTTTTTTTTTTTAATTTTCACTATTTCTAATATTAAAAAATCATTATTTGTTAAATCTACACGTCTAATATAGCAGTATGTTTGTGTGAATCAAGCCAGTACAGTGAGGACGGAGCATATTGCGGTGGGAGAGGCCGCAGTTTACTGGAATTATTACAACTGAAGTAATAAAATTACTTTACAAAAAGAACGAATAATTTAAAAAAAAGTTATAGCACGTATTTTTAAGTTGAAAATATGTAAATTTGTTTGGGTGTTTTATTAAATATTAAATTTTGAAGGCAAGGGGGGATATTATGTTTTTTTTTCGATTTTTTATCTATAGAGTTGTTACACGAAGAAATCATTTTAGTGGTTAAGAAGATACTGTGGGTCCAGACAGTAAAAAAAATACAATATCATTCTAAAAGTTACAAACAGTTTAAATAAAAAAATAGATAATTAACCGGTGTTGGTGAGTTGCGGCCCAATCCCTAAATCAAGTACGAGTTGCGGCCCGGATTTATGAGAGACGTATGAGTTGCTGCCACATAATAATTACCACTTTCTATCAGCCTATTAGCGTTGCCCAGAAGACACCACGGGAAAGTTGTCTGAGTTGTCTCCCAAAAATGTGTTTGTTGGTCAAGTTTTTAAAATTATGTTATTGGCTGATGACCGGTTCTGTCGTTGTCATTTTAGTTTACATTTTTGGTTTGGCAAATATTTAAAACTTAAAAGTTTTAACAAATTCAAACTGCCCAATTTCTTTTTTTTCGATCCTTGTAATTTGTTCTCTTATATTTTGTTGTGTAGAAAAACCAATTATAGATGCTACTTTGTCATTCACAAATAAAAATTATTCGCTCATATTGGTCTTAATGTCCATGGAACCCAAAGCAGCATGTAATTCCTCAACGCTATTCGGCAAAGGGGAATATACTGATAAATGAGCACGATGAATATTATGCCTAATTAATGAAAAATCATTGTTTTTTTAAAGTAGGTATATCACTACTATGATTGTGATCAGTGTTACTTTCAACTATGATATTTGCAAAAGATAATTTTAAAAAACACAACTCTTCAAACAGCAAGGCCACCGTTATACATCATCTTAAAGTGTTTTATAGAAACGAAATCTGTAACCTTCGTAAACAATAAGCGGCCTCGATTTTTACTGTTAACAAATTCCATGATCGCACGAGAAGCTTTGTAGCTGACTGGACTGACAGTGTAAATATAAAATGTAAATATGGTCACTATTTTGCGTTTGAACTATCAAGCAATAATTTTAGAATATCCGTATTTTTCTTTTTTTGGCATTTTATTTTACTACATATCGGTGTTTCGATGCGGTATTTTAAGAATAGTTATGAACATACAGGGTGATTTTTTCATACACTTATTTTTTTAACCCCTTCCTCCTACATACATTTTTTTTTATGTCAACTTTTGAAAATTAAAACGTTACGTATGTACCTATATATTTTATTAACTTTTTAAATTAAGATAAATTCACTAAAAACGTTGACTGATCGATAACCAGTCTTGGATAATTATTTTTATTGTTATTGAAGATTAAAGTTAACGACGGGAAGAGTGGGTTGTAGTATTTTTTTTTCTACGCACATTATACAACCGCACTTTTCCAACTGTTCTAACTTTTACACTCTAACAACTTAATAAAAAACGTCAGAAGCTATAGGGGCGCGGATGGGGACACAGACCACTTCTTAGTGATAGCAAGCCTATCGTTAAAGCTGTCAACGATTTGGGGAAAAAAAGCAACAACCTAATACAGCACATAAACTAGATAGAAGTAAATTAAGAGATCAAAAGGAAATCATGAAATACCAAAACAGAATAAAGGAAAGATTGAACAGCTTTAACATAATACAAGGAGAATTGAGTAACGTAATGAGTGAACCCAAATAAAGCAATCACTAAATAAAGCAGCAGAAACTCTCCGAGCTACCAAGGGAAAAAGTAAGAATCACTGGTTTGATAATGAGTGTCGAGAAGCGATAAAAAATCGAAAAGCAGCAAGAGTTAAAATGATACAAAATCCTTCGACTTCAAATTTACAGGAATATGCAGAACTTCACGCAAGGTCAAATAAAATAATTAGGCAAAAGAAAAGAGCATCAGAAAAAAATACTTTAAATGACATTGAGTCGTATAAAAAGGACCCGAAAATGTTCTTTGAAAAATGTAAATCAATAAAAGAAGGCTTTAAATCTCGTACCTATCTTATGACTGATGACGATGGCAACCTCATATCAGACCCCAAAATGATCATAGACAAGTTTCAAACATATTTTGAGAATCTATTAAACAATAAATCAGACGATGACAAACAATACAGATGGATCTAGAGAACCGGCTGAGGATCAAATATATGTTACAGTGGAACCAGAAGTGCCGGAATCTAGTTTGGAGGAGATTAAATCAATAGTGGAGTCACTGAAGAACAACAAAGCTCCAGGAGAGAACAACATAAATCCGGAGTTACTCAAACTTGCTGGGCGAGACCTCTTGGAAAACTTACACAAAACCATCTCAACTATATGGGAGCAAGAAAAACTAGAAAAGGGTTGGAATACCGCTATTATTTGCCCGATTTACAAAAAAGGAAACCCCAAGAAAGTGGAAAATGACCGTGGCATATCCCTATTAGACACTGCTTATAAGGTCTTGTCAATAGCCATTTAACATAGACTTGAAAAATATTCAACAGAAATAACCGGTGAATACCAGTGTGGTTTCATGAAAGGAAAGTCCACTACTGACCATACATTCACCCTCAGACAGGTTATGGAAAAGTATTATGAATATGACAAAGACCTACACATGAATTTCATTGATTTCCAGCAAGCTTATGATAGCATTATTAGAGACCGGCTATGGTCAGCACTTATACATTTCGGAATACCAAAGAAGTTGGTTAACTTAATAAAGTGTTGTAATTCTGACACACTTTGCAAAGTGCATTTTCTTGGAAAAACATCAAAGGAGTTTGAGGTCAGGTGTGGATTGAAACAAAGGGACGCGCTATCTCCCGCTCTCTTCAGTCTATCACTTGAAAAAGTCGTAAGAGACATGCAGGAAGACCGAGAAATGAAAGTACTGGGGGGGCTCAACTCTCTTAGCATATGTGGATGACATTGTATTATTTGGAGAATCGAAAATGGAATTAGAAGGGAGAGTACGAAAGCTCATACTGACAAGTAAAAAGATGGGCCTTAAAATAAATGAAAATAAAACTAAGTATATGCTAATGAGTAGACGACCTACTCCGGTACAAAATGTGAGTATTGATCATTTCTCTTTTGAACAAGTCGAAAATTTTAAGTACTTAGGATCTAATATAAATCATAAAAATAATATGCATAACATGATTAAGTCCAGGATAAGTGCAGCAAACCGAGGATACCATGCAATGAGAAAAATGTTCACATCGAAACTGCTGTCTAGAGACACAAAGAAAAAACTATACATTGCCTACTTACGCCCCATTGTCATGTACAGATGTGAGACATGGTCCACGACGCAGGGTGACGAGAATAACCTATTGACTTTCGAAAGGAAAATACTTAGAAAAATATATGGGCCTATATTAAACCCCAATACTGGTGTATACGAGCGAAGAAAAAACGCTGACTTAGACAGTCTGTTTAATACAGCCAACTTAAAAGATTTTCTGAGGTCGAAAAGATTAGAGTGGGCTGGTCATGTTTGGCGTGCAGAGAGTGGACTGATAAGACAGGTACTCATCAATAAACCAAATAAAAAACGACCTGTAGGAAGGCCAAGACAACGGTGGTTGGACCGAGTAAAGGACGACCTGAAGAGATTACGCAATGGAGCAAGTATTGAGGATGCAGAGGATCGAGAAGTTTGGAGAGCTTTGGTAGAAGCTGCGAAGCACCTAAATGGCGCGTAAAGCAAAAAAAAAAAATAATAACGAATTAATCTTTTGACAAATTAAATATTATTACTTATCACAAAAAATAAGATTTTAACAATTTATATAGATATATAATGAATTACAAAAAAACATAAATTTGACAAAATATTCGAAAATCCAAAAATTTGAATTATTTGATTACTATTCGAATTATTCGATTACTATTCGAATATTCGAACTATTTTCATACGAATAGTATTATTCGATTATTCGAATAATTCGAATAATAGAAAAATTCGATTCGAGGTCTCAGCTCTACTTTATACATCGTATATGTATTACCAACGCGGTATCCGTTACTATTAGCGACGGTGAGGCGCACGTCACAATATGTTTGTTACAACATTATAATACTAATATTTATGTGGTCGTTTTTGTGGCGTACAATATGCCAGTTAACGTTTTGTTTTGTTGATGCGATATGCACCGGCGGTCGCCTAGTAACGGGTGAAGACCGCGATCGGCGACAATTTGTGGCCAGCAGTATTTCTTTTCTATTATTGACCAACACTGTGTTTGCACAACGATGTCCGTGTGTTATTATGGCTGAACTTTTTATCATCGGTCAACTTTCCTGTGCTGAACAATTTCCATCGAACAGCCTGTTCTGCAAATGGAGCATTCACGCCGGTAAGTGTACTAAATAAGTAGTTGATATTATTTAATTTAAATAAACGTAAAAAAAAACGACAAATTCTATGAAATTCTAACCTATTATTACCTCACCTAAACCTGCTTTACTATGTGAGTATTTGAATAAATAACAAACAGTGATTGACTTGGGAAAAACAAAATTAACGCAAACGGGAATTTATATGTATATATGATATTATTAATAATGTAATAAGGCGCTTTAGTTTTTGTTTTAAAACGGAATAACTTCTAAGCGTTTTAATTTGATTCCTAGATAGTTAAATAGCTTTTGAGAAATCATATTATATCATAAATAATTAAAATGTAGGTGACCGCGGATCATATTCAAACACGTAACTCGTAAAGTAAGTTTTATTTTTTTTTTTAAGGACATATTAATCTCCAACAAAAACCTTAAAGTGTAAAGGGTCAAAAGAAAAGAAAAAAGGTTCAGATCATCCCCTCACAAAAAAGTCATCCTATCAACATAGTGATATCTACATTATGGCCAAGTCTGCTATTTTTTAATTCATAACCTCTCGTCACTCTTACTTTTATGAGCAATACTGGTCTTTTATTTGTATTGCTTAACACTTGGCCGCAATATCTGAATGAAACATGACCTTTCTGAATGAGGCGTAAAACAGAATTAGCCACAAAGTAGTTACCAATTTGACTGACTTTTTTGGGAGAGAATCTGAACCTTTTTTCTTTTCTTCTGAGTTATCTCCTTCCTTAATAACTCCTAAGTGAGTAAATTTGATAATGATGTTTTATGCTTCATTCGCGTCACATCATGCATTTAGAACTAGACTCCCTAAAGCGGTATTAATTTTGAAAAATTGCCACTTTCAGATTTTTCCCTTTAGTTACACTATAAGACCTACCTTTGTGCCAAATTTCACGTTTTTACCTATAGGTTTTATGGGAAATTTTTTGTAATTTTGATGATGAATGAGTAAGTGAGTCAGTAACAAAAATGAAAACTTTGAAATTCTCCTTTTTTGAAAAGGCTTACTATTAAGGACTTAATTTTTTAAAGTATCCTGAGCTACTTGTAACTTAAAAAATGAAAAATATATTTCTTAAAAATATTATATAGGCCTTTTAAAAATATTTGATTATACTTAAGTTAATACTGATATTCAACGAGTCTCCGTTTTAAATTATTTTGGTGTCTATTTTAAAGTAAAATTTTATTTTAATTATCTCATTGAAAACATTAGAAATACCTACCTAAAAGTTAAACCCTATCTAAATTGGTCATTTTAGAGCGTAATTTTTCAGAACTTGGCAATCCGCTTACCATAAAAAATGTATATCATTTTTTAGTGTGTTCTTTTCTAGATTATAATAATTTCATTTAGTCCCCTAACACCATTCTTTACACTTTACACTTAGAATGAAATATCAATACAAAACTCTTCTTTATTTTATCTTTTTTAAATGTAATGTTCGAGACCATTCCATTCGTCATATTATGATGGTGTCTTAGACCTTAGATTTCTTCAAAATAGCACCTTTAAAAAATCGGAGGAATTACTTTAATATACTGTTCCTTTATAAATTACTCCATAATAAAATAGACTGTCTTCAGTTAATGGAAAAAATAAATTATAAAGACACATTTTTTATTAATAACATTAAAGCTAAATATTTTCTTCCTTCTTCAGCTAATACTCTAATGATTTATGGCGATTGGAAACTGTACTAATTTAGATTTGTTTTGTTGTTCAGAAAATTATATTAACAACACCGTATAAACTTTTTCCTGATAATTCATACTAATTAATACTTTATTTTGGATTGTTAAGTACTTTTTTGAGAAATAGTTTTTTGTGATTTATTATTATTATTATATTTAATTACTAGGTAAGGTATATTTTTAATACTACTATGTTATGTACATTGTTACTGCAATAAGAATAAAATTATTAATAGACTTGCCTACATATATATCTTTATCTTTATAGATATAAAATAAGAAGTCCTGACTGACTGATTCATATTCAACGCACAGCCTAAACTGTGTTAGCTAGCGACTTGAAATGTTGAGGGTCTGTTTGTATTATAGTCTAGGCGTGCAATAAGAAAGGATTTTTTATTTTTTTATTTTAAGGGGTTGAAATGGGCAAAAAACCAAAATTTAAGTAGCTGAATGACCTTTATGTATTAGTGCATCATTCATCCGATCGCCATGAAACTTTGGGAAGTTATTCAGTACACGAAAGTTACTGGCATAATACTTTTTGAAAATTCAAACTAATCCTGGAGGTAATGTAATAGCAGGGGAAAAATACTAAGAGAACCATACCGAAATGAACAAAGCTACTTCCGCTACCTATAAAAAAAATCACCCAGAAGAGCAAAGCAGCATCGTGTCAAATCAATCACACTTTTTATTTTTATTTTTCAAGGTTTTTTTTTGTTAGATAACGATTTATTTTAAACGTTATTTTGGGTGATTTACACTTAAAAAGACATTGCTTTCACTCAAAAGGAGTTGAACAATCACAATTATTTTTCCGGCAACGCCAGTAATTCAGCTATAATATAATAAGTAAAAAAAATATTTTAAACTTCAGATTTTATATTTATTAAGTACATTTAATTGATTAAATGTTGATACCAAGTTAGATTTAAAAATTGCGTTACTCCCGGATTATGTCCTTTGTTGTCCTTGCGCACGTCTGTGCGTTCTGGAAACGCCAAGCAATCATAGTGGCTCCTTTTGCCGCACGACACTGTGCTTAGCATATTCCGCCTCAATTGGTAACACTATAACTGACCTACATGAACCTACCTAAAGAATTATTACATACATGTTATTCACATTTAAATCTACTTTAACCGCTTATTTCATGATTAAGACCACAAAATTAATACTATATTTTTTTAATTTATTAACGACAGGGTCTAATTGGAAATTAATTGCCGGTCACAAAGAAGGACAGACTCAAGTAGACGTGCCGTCTTACGACAACCGTACTTGGTGGTGTCATCCTATAGATATCCATTACGCTACCAAAGGAGTTCAAGGTGCGTATGACAAATACAGTTTTAGTGTACTAGGTACCTATATAATAATACTCAAATACGTATAACAACATTATATTTAGACCTTCTTTTTTTAAAACAAAAACGAAAAACTTACATTTTATACGTTATTTTTTAATTCAAATTTGGTTTCAGATTATCAAGTAGCTAAAATTATTTTCTAAGGAGAAATGTTCAAAGTGTCTGTACTTAATTTTCTAAAATGTGTTTTAAATAGATTTCTTTTTTTCATTTGTTCTTTTCTTTGCTGAATTCAAAGCTGGCCTTAGATATTCTTTTTTAAAACTATGTCAAACACATTTTAGACAATTATAGAAAATAGGTACAAAACACACTGAAAATATGCTGTTAGGTTAGTTGTCCCATGGCACTAGCCCTCGTAAGACGAACTTTGCAATTCTTTATATTACAACTCAAATCAATTTTTTTTTGCTAGCTAACTTGTGTATTTGAACTTTGTAAGCACAATTAGTTGCAATGGTTTCTTAATTAAGGACATAATCCGAAAATCACAAATCAATGATTCATTAATAGTAATAATTAAATTATGTCTTATGTGCACAAAAACATGCACTTGGAGGGGGGGGGGAGAAACGATGTAAATATCTTGATTTGTAATACTGAGATACACATTTAATACATTATAATAATACATATTTAAGGGGACGTGGGGATTTGGGGAGTAAAGGAGCCCAAGAGTTGTGAAGCATATAACCAAAGTGAGCGGTATTTTTATGTTGTCTGAGGTCTCAAAATATTTAAGGACGATCTTGAAATACAGGATTACAAAAATTGTATTAAAACTTCTACGGATGAATATTACATCGTAAGGATTTGCCTAGTAAAGACGTTTTACTTTAAAAAACAAATTATAATATTATTTTATTCTACAAATAATTATACCTAATTAATATTGAAATACTAACTAACGTTTCTATGTTGTTTAGGGTGGCCGAAATTTCACGTGCAAATATATCACTACGACAACTACGGCCGCAGTGAAATTTATGGTTACGGGTTTTGTTACGTACCGACAACCCCTGGGACGCATACCGTAGATTGTTACACTTGGCGACCAGTTGGTGAGAAATAGGCATTTATTTATTTATGTCTTGTATAAATATAACATGTCAAAGACATTTTACTTGAAATGTGTACATTTATTACGGAAGGAAAGTCGCTTAAGACGGAATGCAGTATTATTTGTACTTGCACGCATTACTCTATAACACTACACCACCCGTTCTAAATTTTAAACTTTAATAACTTTGAAAGTAATTATCCAAAACTGGTTATCGAACAATAAACATTTTCGGCAAATTATTTAAAAAAATAATTAAATATATACGTTACCATTTAAGTTTCAAAGGTTGATAGAGCGATGAAACATACTAAATAAGGTAAACATTTAATACATAATTTTATAATATTGTAAAATTTCATAAACTTATTAGAAAATATGAGAGTTCTACCTAATCCTTAATGAATCACTCATATCTGTATTGGTGTTTGGTTATTTAAAACAAAATACCTATATATTTATTCTATTAGAAGATTGCTAACGCAGTATCAATTTTTAATAATTTGCTTCGAAACTGTTTAGCTCTCAATTTCATTTTTAAAATTTCTTCTTATTTATTTTTATTTTTAGGAAATCTAAGAGACGAGTTTCGTCGGTTTTTCCTAGGCGGTGGCGCTCAACTAAAAGCGCCGGACTTCGCGTACTGCGGTACCGACCGGTATCGGCTGCAAACTGAAGCACTGGGTGTTGTACATTTTGACTTGAACATAATTGCACGCAACTTCCGGAAGTACGGCGTAGAGCTGTAGTGAAACGTGGCGTTATGATTTTCGAATTTGTCTGGTACGTGTTACCATTAAGCTGCGTCGTCGGTTTGACCGGCACGTCAAAGGAATGCGTGGGCAAAGCGTGCACAGACAAACCGCCTATGACTATAAGTACTCCCCTTAAAGCCGTGACAGTATCGAGTCTTAACGGTAATGAATCTACGTCGATCAATATCAGTTACAATACGACCACCGGAAACGGCACCAACGTCGACAAATCCTTCGGTGTTATCTTGATTGAAACGCCTGTGCCACATGCCAACGACACTTTTGTAAACTATACCATCTCGGGGTCACCCGCGGTGGTTCAAAATGCTAGCAGTACGATCGCCAACAACAAGACTGGCAATGCGGTTTTGCCTGTCAACACCATCGAAACGACGACAGCGACAACGACGACGACGACGGCAGGACACGTTTTGGGATATGTTCAAAACACAGGTGACCAATATTGCGGTTGTGATTTGATCGTGAGTATTATTATTATAGGTATTTGTTAAAAATAGGAATTTTATCTAAAGGATAAATTCGTCTGTCTAAATCCAGCAGTTGGTTTAGTTCTAGTTTAAATTGGTATGACTTATGAGTATTGTACGGCACTTTATTAGCGATATTGCTCATTCTGCCAAACAGGCGCAATTATTACTAGAGCTAGATTTATAACTGTATTTTATTTGTTTAATAGCCTTATTGTTTTACAATTTGTTGTCTATATTCTAAATGGCTTAAGTATTTGATTATGCTATGATATGTTAACCATAATAATATTTCCATATTTATTTAAAAATATTGAATTAAGAAATTATTTTTATACTTTTCAACGTCTTGTCGAATTGCCGGTTGATCACCTGTCCACCGCAGTTCCTTTAGGCAGTTAATCGTCATCGTAGCATAATATTATGATCTTCTTCATATCAACAGAGAACGGCCATTAACAGAGTTGGTCATTAGTAATTGTCATTTTTGTATGTTTTTAGCATGGTGCTTGCGATATCAATTGTTGTTGCGACACGGACTGCATGAGCAACGATTTAAAGACCTTTACTTTATGTTCAGATAAAACGGTTTCCGGGTCAATAAAGCCCGAGTCGATTTTGTTCGACTCGTCGTTGTTCTACGTCGTGCTGGACAACGTACCGAGCAATTATTTTTATCCTGAACGAGAGGTAGGTGCATGGTTAACTATGGTTTGAACAGATAGTTGGTCTTTTGTTCTTGAAAATGTTAATCCTTATCAAACAAATTATTTGAAAGGGTGAGAACCAAAAGGGTAAAGTGACTTTTATAAAAGTTTACAGGGAGCAAAATGAAAATTGTTTTCTATGTGTTCTTATGAGTGGTGTTTATTCATTTTCTTCGATTTCATTTTCGAAAATAAATGAAAACACAATTACCTATAACTAGGATTCATTGACGACGAAATATTAGCTTTAAGAAAAATGTAACTTGTGCTCTTAATCGTTCTCATAACTTCATTTGTTTTATCCGATTTTTTTTCGAGAGAGAATCTTCTTGTTTTTATGGCACACCTAGCCACAGTGAACGATAATTACACACACAACACATTATATGAAAAAAACTATTTAACATAATGATCATGCTTAAGTGACCAATCTGTTTCTGCAGGGCAGCTTTTTTAGTCGGTTGGTTCTACTTACGCCCTACTCGTTCCTTAATTGAACCATTCAATGCGTAAACGAATACTTTAATGTTGTTATTTAATTTTAGCCAGTCGAAACAGAAACACAAGTAAATGCAATACTTCGCAGTCGCGGTGCAATTGAATGGCATGAATCTAGTCAAGTGGTCGATACCAGAAATCGCCTTGATTTAACTTACGGGTCGTTACATTGGATGTACGTAGTTTCCAACGTCAACGGCAGCGACTGGATGGCTTTTGGTCAGTACTCAGTGTTCAAATTAAAAGTTTACTAAAATATTATTGTTGTATATCACTTGTAAAATCCGTTAACCAAAAATTGAATTTTATCATTTTCATCGTGTATAACGTATGTGTGTTTATCCAAAGGAGTCAAAAACAGTGCGTTTAGTTCACTTTGCGCTATTCAAGAACCCGTCGAGTACTTAGTGAACAAAGAAACCACATGTGAAGTGTACATTCAAAACTTAACTGAGATGTGCAAAAATAATTCGGAATTAAGTTATAAAAGGTTCTACCATGACCGAGAATTCAGAGTAGTTCAAACGACATACAATCAATCGTCTAAAACCGAGGTGAGTTACTTCTTTCTTTGAGATTAAGTTATTTTCTATTAAATAATGACTAAAAAAACTAAGTTATAAAAAAACCTAGGCTTTTACTACAAAAAATATTTCTTTCAATTTTATTTAGTTTTTTTCTAGCGAATACCAGTATAAGTTTATATTTAAGATATTTTGAATTAATAAAGACTATAGTAATACAAATATTTTTAATTCAATTTGTTGGGTTACCTAATAAAAAATAAGTTATGAGACACTTTAAAAATTACACTTCACAAAAAAAATATGAAATCTCCAAAAACTAGACCTAAAAAAGTTTTCCCTCCAAAACACAAAAAAAAAATTTGATTGAAGAAATAATTAAAATAGACTACTAATTATATTATTCGAATACAAATTTATGTTATAATAATTAAGTACATAGACTACATACAAGTTAAAAAAAAACTTAAAACAATTTTATTTCAAAAACATATCATTGTAAAACTAATAAGTCAGCTCCGCATCGAAGCTGAAACAATTTGTATTTATATACCTACATTCTATATACTATTTTTTATATTTTTTTTAGTTATTTCCGATTTTAAATGGGAAAGGGTAAATCATTTTTATTTTTGGAATTATCTAGTATCGATATTAAATAATACGATTTTTATGTATAGACTTGTTCCGTCTAGAAATTGGCTCAGTAATTGAGTGGCATGCTAAGCTTTTTTCAATGTAAGTAGACGAGGCTTATATTTAAGAAGCATTCTAAGCAATTTTACGCCCCCTACTTAATTATTTTTTGCTGTATAGAAATATAAAAAAGGCACAAAGAGGATATACCCCTTAAAGTTCGCCCTCTTCCTTGCATACCCGACTGCAGAGATTAAACAATTCTCGTGAATAAAAATAAAAAAAATCATTGTAAAAAAAAAATACTTTCTCAGCTACTACACAACGAATCATAATTATAATAAGTAATTTTTAAAAAAAATAATTGGTTGATCTTGATAAAAATGAGGGACGTGTTGTTTTTTTAAAATCATTATATTCCGTCTAAATAACAATGAGACATTTACCGTAGAAAGTTGGATTGGTCGAGTTGAAAGCTTTCGTACAGCATTGCTTAAGAGCTGCAAACGGATCATACAGCTGCTGGACCAGACCGGATCATCCACCTGTCCCTCAGCTCGGTGGAGATAGAACTGTGTGTCGTAATGCCGTGGAGACAGTTGAGTACTTGATTCGACATAACGGCACTAGGGGTGTTCGGAAGTTGGAAGTACGCTTTTACTACAAAGATTTGACGTTCGGTGTGGAGCAAAGTCCCGTTTTCTTTAGACAACAAATCATAGTGAAGTTTGCGTGGGTCAACCAAAGCGCCACGGCGTACACTCGTAGCGGAAAGCCCGGTTACACAACCGGAAACCGGGTAATCATTGTACGGCAAAAAGGTGATTCCAACGCGAAACCCTCTAATGGCATAATGGCAATGGGCACGCTGAGTCTACCTGGTTCTAACGGCCGAGACTGCGATCCCAAGTCTAGACTATCCGTCGATTTCAACCAGAACGTCAACACCGAATGTTTTTATACATGGAAAAAAGAAGAATCCGTGCCTTTCGTAGATTCCTGCATTCGTGTGCAATCTAAGGTACAAACTTATAATATTATGTAGATATGTTGTGTTGGGTCTAAAAAAACTAATTTTTTAAAAATGTATTTGGTAAATGAGCTTAATTTTTTATTTTATTGCTGCAATTTCAGGGGACTAAACATGTTCAAACCCCAAAACCTTAGGACTGTCTAAAAAGTTCTAATTTTTTAATTTAATTGTTTTAGTAGGAGATTAATTGATTATTACCAATTTAATATTAATAATTAAATATACTGAGTTTTGAGTTTACCAGTATACCTAATGATTAGGTATACTCAATGACGTGGTGAATTTACTTTTGACCTTATTGTATAATATATATTACAGGCTGTATGTTGGTGCATTTTTAATTAATTCAATTTTTTCATTTTTTTTTTTTAAATATTTAATGAAAAAAAAATAAAACAAAAATGTTTTTATTTATATTTTTTAATAGTTATATCTTTGTTACTAAGTACAAACTAAAAAAACACTGACGTAGAGTCCTCAGAAATATCATCCCCATTAGGTTTTATAATAGGTAGCTTTTATTTAAAAACCGATTAAAACCCTAACTGCGTGATAATTTTAAATTGGGTAGATAGCAATTCACAAATTGGGAATTTGATAACAATCTGATTTTAACTGATATAATAGGCTTTAAATTCAAAGGTTTTTTTCTAAATTAAAATATTACGTACACCTATTCAGCACCACATCGAAGCTAAATAAAATTACAGTCAAGGTATATTACCGATACATATTTAACGATTTCAATGAGGGGAATAAGGGGAATTTAATAACAAAATAAATAAATCCTACACTTAGCCCGTGGTAAATGGTAATGGGCTTTAGCGCGTATATTAAATAAAGTTTTCCATTTAGTAAATATATAAAAAAAAAAAATAAATCCGCAGACGCGTCGAAAACCGATCAGAACGACAGTCGCTTCCAGGGAGATAATATCTACGCCCTCTTGTTGCACGGGTAGGGGTAATCGTCTGCCAGGTGCCGGTTGTTGCATGCCTTGGGCATTGCAAGGCGAAAATACTACGCGATCCATAGGCGGATAGACCCACCGGCATACCGGACAAATCCCACTCAACACATGAAAATGTAGTACACAAACGCCAATCTATAAATTGTATTATCTACTGATAAATGATAACCAATAGCATTTCTCCTGATTCAAAAAAATATAAAAACAAAGAACAACTAAAAATAACAAAAGCTACAATAATTTATGAACTATTATACATCGATATAATACATGAAAATGTGTATTATCATTGATTATAAATATTAATTAGTAATTGGTATTATTTATATTTATAAATACAGGTTTATAATTATTATACTTATTATAATACCTACTAAAACAATTTATAAGATTTGACAAAAAAATGTTTGTCATCTTTTTAAATTTAAAAAAAGTTATTGATATGTATGTTAAAAATAATAAAAAGGAATACATTTTGTGTAAGGGGAGGGGAGTGTTCGGAGCGAAACTTTCCATTAGTCGGTTCCGTGTACTCGAGTAGCTTTATAAATTTAGCCTATCCGCCTCTAAAGCCACCGTTCACACAGGCAAAGAACACCAAGAAGCGTAAAACATATACATTTCTGTTATTAAGAATGGAAGGCGCTATTTATTAAGATGCAAAAGATAAGCAATTCATGACAAACATTAATTTACATGGTCATTTTAAACATGTCGACTTATTTTTAATGTTAAAATATTAAGTTTTTTTAGTTAAATAATTTTTAAAGTTATTTTTTATTATTGGTTATTATAGGTTATTTCAATATTGGGTGAATTCCAAGATATTATGGTTAGCAGTATGGGCGATCCGGTTGTATCCGTGTGGATTCCGATAACTGTCGCTAAGCTTACGCTGGACGACCAATGTTCAACTTTTATCAATATTGTCAAGATTCATGTTTTCTATTCTTATGTTGGATCATTTGAAAACCCGCAGGCAACAATACACGGTATCCTGGTTAACTTTACTTCCACCATAAACACAACTCAAATAGCACTAGTAAAACCAACTATAGAAATTCCAATCAAGAGCAGCGTCATATTTGTAGATCTTACTAAACCGCCGATCAGAGAATTTGCCGAACCTCCGACATATGAATTTAGGCTTCCTGAAGATTTTTACTATCCATTTTTATCTCACGGATCCAAATTACTCTTATATCCCAAATTAAATTTATTTTTAATGTTGACTGTAATTAATTTACAAATTATAATGTTTAAATAATCACAGTTACTTTAAATAATAAATATAAAGTTCAAAAGAAAATACATTTTATTTAGTTGTAAAAATGTAATGTATAGTTTTTTTTTTTTTTTAACAGTTAAAATACAAGATAACATAGCATTATTTTATTGTAATTAATAATATCACCAAGCAATGTCTTAAAATTTAGTAAATATATGTGAACAGCTTTCTGAAAGCAAACTATTTTTACACAGGAAACGAGTCATGTTGATTTTAACTTAACATATTTTTGTGATGAAAATCAAATAAAGTTACAATCTTATAATATTCTCATTATTGTAATATTTGTTTAAATGTATAAACTATAGTATAAAATTCTATGTTGTCTTATTAATAGTATACTTATAAATTAGCAATCACATTTAGATAATCTCTTCATCAGAAATTAGTATGCGAGTATGTTCATTACTATGAATATTACGATCAATATGTTTTTGAGAATGTACTAATGGCTCATCATATTCACCACTAGAGGAACGACTTTTATATAATACAGGTGCAGCATATGGCATTGAGGCATTATCCAACAATATATTGTTACTACCTTCCTGAAGACGTACAGAACATATCCTAGATCTGGCTACAGGTAATTTGGTCCCACTTTCCGATATCTCGCCAATAGACATTGTGTTATCAAAATGCATTAGATCAGGTTCCGATGTCAAAGACTCGGAACTTTTGTTTGAATGTCTTTTAGAATTTTTACTATATGTGCGTCGTTTGTCTGAGAAATCAGATTGTGATAAGGAACTGTCAGTATGTTCAGGATCATTTTTAGGAGTACACGAACATGTGGTGCAATGTCGTTGTGTAATTCTTTCTTTGACTCGTTGTTCTAAGACTTTAGCTAAGATAGCTGCTGAAACATTGTTAACTGGAGGTTGTGAACTACCGTCTTCAATATCTTTAGGTTTTGAATCTTTATCTACAAACAAAAATGTGAAAACATTTATTAAGATATATTTTATTAGTAAAAGTTTTTTTTTGAAAACACTGTCCCAAAGTAATATTAAGAAGTTATTATTTATCTATCAAAGTTAGCAGCTAGGCAAATAGTTAAATTGTATCATAGTCTTATAGGCTAGAGTATATAATTGTTTAGTAACAGCTAAAATGTGTATGTCAAAATATATATATTGGAAGTAAAGAACACTATTTGTAGTTAAACATCTTGTATAAGAGAGCTAAAAACATCAATAAATTGTTAAAGTATACATCAGCAAAAAAAAAAAAAATACATTTCACAGTTTTCTCACGAGAGACTCTCTTAAAATGGATTTTGTGGCGAATACTGAAACATTGTAATATTTGTCAGTGATTTTAAAATATGCTATTACTCTTGTCTAATGAAATATGCTACTTTTTTGCAAAAAACTCTGTGTTAATTACAATAAACAAAAATCCAGGATCTGGTAAATTCTTTAAAACGGTGTGAGTCATGAACTCAATATATATAAAGTTATTTACTCAATAGGTATCAATCAAAATGAAAAATATTTTTGTTTAACCCTCTGTAATATTTAAGACCATAGTATTTGAAACCTTGCCTATTTTAGAATGTCAAGAAAACTCTATTGTGGCCAAAAGTTAATATAAGATGATTAGATTGAATTTAAGATCGAACTATAGTGTTATTATTTATTAAAAAACAAAACCAGTAAAACAGATTTTTAAGAAAAAATTACCATTGTTCAATGAATAAACCATGGCTGTTGGAGGAAATGTGGGAATTGGCACTTTGATCATTTTACCTTCTGATTTTGTAGCCATGTTACCATTTCCATCAGATAATCTTCGTTGTTTGCTATAAATATAACTGCGTACTTTGGACTGCAATTCTCCAGGTAACTAGAGATCAAAACAAAATAAAATTATAATTAAGATAATAAATTACATGTTTTTGAAAAATTAAATTTTAGTTAAATTTTTTATGTTGAATAATCATAAAACTGAGAGTAATTCGAGGCACACCTATTGAATTAGTTTTTGACTATATCAAGAAAATATTTTGTTAACAAATAATGAAATATATATTATTTAACATAATATACAAATTTTGAATATTTACTCACACTATCATATTTTTGGGAAACAAAATGTGATGGTTTACACTGAAGTAATTGAATGGCAATATTCAGATCATTTTTGTACCGTTCCTTGAACAATAAAAAAAAAAAATAAGATACAAAAACACTATTATTCCAATTTTTACACACTTTTAAAACTTACATTTTCATCAGTTATTTGATTTATTTTAAGTTGCTGATCAACAATTTTATGAGATAGAACTGTAATTTCAGAGTTTAACACATTCTTTTCCGTTTCAGTTTTGTCAACAAGCAATAGAAGCTTATCCTCTAAACTTTGATTAACACGCTGTATTCTTTTATGTGATTCCAATAATCTATTTAAAAAATTACAGTTATATTATATTTAGTTAAACACTATAGTCTTAATAGAAGTAATATTTTAAATGTAATTTTTAATTAATTATAAAACAATACAGGGCCATTTTCTAAGTTGAATCCTAACGTAAAAAGTTAGTAGGTGTTAGTATAGTAAATATTACAGTTATATGTAATATGGCTAAATAATAAAGAAATTAGGTACATTTTTTTTAAACACAGATAGTAGTAATTACCTACCTAGCATATTTGTCTTGCCACATCAAAACTTCATCTGTTAAAGCAGCATATTCACCGTGTGGAAATTTGTCAGCTTCACAAAGAAAATTAGTTTCCATACTCAGAATATGATTTTCTTTTTCTAAAAGTTTTTGCTTTAGATTTTCAATTTCAGCATGCAAGTGTAAATTAGTCTGCTCGCAACCACAGTCCTATAAATAAATATTAAACACTAACTTAAATAATAATTTTAATAAAACTAATAATATTAAACACCAACTTATAGTTGTAAGCTATTTAAAAACCTATTAAATAATGGTCAATTATATTGTTCATATTTTTTCTTATCATCATCTTATAGTTGTCACATTAAGTGCCATTCGTTTTTTTTACCTATGTACAATAGCTGTGGTTAACAAATATAAAAAAATATACTAATAACATGTCGACGGTGGAATTCCCCAGAACCTTGTAACAGCTGTCCACTACACGTCAATTGTGGCACTCAACATATTAAATACCTAAAGACTTAATTGATAAAAAATGTATTGTATAATTAATATCAATAAATGACTTGAAGGTTACGCAATAATAGAAGAAGTTAACAGCATTATTAAAATTAATCAGCACCAACAATAATCTAAAAATGTAAAATTATATAGACTTAAGAGTTTCTTATGTTAGTAGGTGATAATTTTTAATTGCTTTATAGCAAACAGGGAAAATTAGATTGTTGAAAAATGAGAGTATTAAAAAACCGACTTTGTTGAAATTAAAATTCATTAGAAACCAGTGTTATAACCTTTTAATATTATCAGATGATAACAAACAACATAGTTTTTTTTCTATTGCTCTTTATAATAACATTAAGCATCTACGTATTTATGGAGAATCCTGTAGAAGGCTGTGTTGGTCGACATTAATACAAATGGGTAAGTATGAACCAATATAAGGTACCGTGATCTATGGCTAAGCGTACACATGTTGTCTATCCGCAACTAGTCGACCAACACAGCCTTCTATAGGATTCTCAATAAACTACTTTGATTTTGCACGACTCAGATCACAATTCACATATGGATTGTACAAATGTACCGGAGACAATTATTGTATCGTCGGTTCGATATATTATGTAAATGGTACTTACATTTTTGTTTGGACTTCGCAAAGCCATTGGGTATACATCCGTGTGAATGATCAAAGTCAACGTGAACGTATAGAGTAGAGTATGTGGCGAATTACTGGTTTCGCGGCGGCGGCTAATCAATTGTTGTTGATGTTGCAGTCACGATCACGTCCGTGTGCGTACACACGATAACATGATAACTGATGTGCAAAGTCAATGTCGTAAGGTTAGACGGAGCAGGTGGAGGAAGAAAAATCGACAAGAGCACGTCAAGACGAGTGGTTGCGATTAAAAAAATCAAAACGGGGTACAGCCAATAAGCGGAGAACGCGGACGGGATCAATCGCTCCGACGGTGAAATTGAAAAGAAAATCGAAATCTATAGCAAATACTCAAAAAGAAAGTAAACAAAACACAAATCTATATAATTGCCGAACGTGTAAGGGGTGATTGGGTGAGGAACGCTTACCTACGGTGACAAAAAAAAACAATATCGTTCGAGGAAAACAGTACCGAATTGCTCCGTCGACGGGAACACGTATCAACTATCAACAGGATACACTATCACTCACTATCGTTTGTTGATTTTTTGCGTTATCACTGTTACTGTACCGCCGCTTGTCCCGGCCACAGTACCGTACATTATACGGCGTTGCTGCTAGCCACGGTCGGCGGCGGATCAATAACTCCCGGTTTTCCATTTGTCGTCCTACCCCGTTACCAACGACCCTCTCCTCCAGACGGCCCATAGTTACAACTTCTCCCCAATATCGCATTATTGTTCCCCTTCGGTGGCTGGTCCATAGACAATTAATATACTATAGCGGAGGGGCACTTCATTCTGTTTATACATAATAAACAGAACACTGTGTATACTCGTATATTTGTTACCTACCGGCAATATTTATCTTTCAGTTATAATCACGATGTACAGTAATACGCCTTAGGCATTTCATAAAGAACCTATTTTTAAAAAATAAAAATAGGTTACGATATATGTTTACGCAACCTTATAAATTTTAACAAAAAAAAAGTAAAAAAATCTCTTGGGAAAAAGCAACTAGACGGGAAAAATGTTTGTTTAAAGACTAATTTTTGGTAAAATCAACATAAAACTTACAGCAATTAAATAAAAAATACTCGATAAATATAAAAAAACGTTTTCAGTTTTGAAGCGGAGCTAAGTTTTTGTTTAAAAATGATGCCAACTGTGTTTTTTTTAAAATTAAATTTGTATATTTTGTTTTTTGCCTGGTCCATGGTAAACTATTAGTCACAGTAATAAATTAATTATAAATAATATATTAATTATTATTACAATGCCATTTTATGAATAAATACTTTTTTTCATGTAATTCTATGCGTGGTATCTAAATTCCAATAATAGTGTTTAGATTCTTTAAAAGTTAAAATGTCCATTGTAAAGGCACTAATTCTGGAATTATTTTTTATTTTTTAATCGAAGCTAATCTCGACATTAGGTGTCCCTATAGTAAGTTAAGGAAACAAAAACAGTGTTTTTGGTAACAGGCTTTTCTATTTTTAGAAGATTATTATTAAATAATAATATATAATATACTAATAAGAAGGTTTTTACATATTTAGGTATTCTCTTAGAACATTTCACGACCAAGACATCTCTATGGATTGCATGCAAATTATAGGGGAAAGGTGTACAAAGTGGCCACGTCGTATATTTCTGTTATTAGAGTTATCAGCTATTCAGTTTTTTTCCATATATTTATTATTATCATTACACAGATATATATAATAAACTAGATTGCTAACTATCTATGCAAACAATCTAGTTTATTATATATATCTGTGTATCATTATTATTGATTGATGAATCATAAATGATAATACGATACGCTGTTGATGAATGATAACAGAAAAAACATTTTGCGCCTGGCTGATGTTAGGTATAACAGTTACGTTTAAAAAATGTTATTAATTATTTTAACCACTCAACTACTTTGATCTTTTTTTTTATTGGACAACACATATTTGTGGATACAATAAAATCAACTTTTGTTGAATTTAACAGTTGCTAAATGATTTACCCAGTAGTTAAAATATTTTAACTATAAAAAATGCAAAGTGGCCACTACACTTTCCATTTTCATTCAAGTTATTATAAGTAGATTATTTTTTTAATTGTTATAAAACGAATTTTGCAATGTTGTCTACAAATGCTTGTAATAATAATTATTATTATTATTTCTGTTTGTTTATTTATTTGTGTATGATTTTGTTGATGAAAAATATTGTGTTTTGATTCAGTTAAAATAGAAAAGTTAATTTAGGAAATAATATGACAATATGTTGTAGTTGAAAATAAAAATCATCTACTATTGGGCAAAGTTGACATAGCATGGCCAATTTACCCTATGTGGCTGGGCAAAGTGGCCAGTTTCATATCTAATTAAAAAAAAAATTAATTTAATTAAATCATTAGCTATAATATAATTCTAATTGCAAATAATGTCTAGCAAGTCAACGTATACATTCCCATAGTAAGTAGACAAAAAAAATTAAAAATCTAAGTTTGAGTCGATAAATTCCCTTAAGGTGGCCGCTTTACCCACCTTCCCCCTACTATTTTGTTTGAAACATAACGCTTCATTTGTACTACCATAACCAAGTCGGGGTTTTCCAATTACGGCTCAAAGGAAAATACAATGTAATAGAAACTATAAGTCTTATAGGTATTGTTTGACCTTTTAATTAAAAGACCATTGGTGTATGACGTATCAAATTCACTATAAGTAGGTAGTAGGTACTTCTTAGATTTCTCATTGTACTTAATGACATGTCAAAGACATAACGTCGACAAAAGGTATATTTTGAACTCTGCGTTTGAATAACGCAGAACTAAAACCGTGTAAAGAACTATGCATCCTTATTAATCTGCATTTATATTTGTATACACATTTCTATGTTTTTTTTTTTAAATATCCAGATCGGATTTTAATATAATTACATTGTGAAATATTTTTTTTTAAGAAGACTGTTGGAAAGCTTTTAACGAGTACTAGCCGACGCGACGGCGTGAATTGCACTTGTTAGGAAACTAGTCTGTTGCTGTTGTCAATTGTTTTATTATATTGTAAAAAACTATCTCGCCAAAAAAAAGTCATATATTGTACGTAAAAGACAATTGAATGCAATGTAATTGTAAATGCACGACCTGACCTGTTTTTAATCGCAGCTAAACAAAATCGACGTTAACAAAATCATAAAATTGTAAGTTTAGTAAAATCTTTAGCTTGAAATTGGGACCCTTACTGATATGATAATGACAATGTGAGGCCACCGACTCCCCTTTGATGGTTTCCCATTAACGACGGTGAGTGTCAACAAAAATACGAGACTACGAGCCATCAAACGCTTCTTCCTCAGACGGATTTCTAACAACCTCCCGCACGCACTCTCTACGTCACTCCGCTTAATGAAATTAACTTGAAAAATTCATTTGAACTTGTATTTTTTAAAAATAATTTTGTGTTTAGTAATAATCATTTTTGTCGAACTTGGTCACTTTAGTTTGTTATATTTAAAAAAAAACAACCCTTTCTACAACATCACATTCCGCACATAACAATTGAAAAGCTAATTACCTCTATTATCATATTCAAGCTTCATAGTACATATTTTCCCTAATGATTTATCTGTTACCATAGAATTTAACGCAAAAGTGTTAAGTTGTACAAGGTTTAGACTTTTTACATGATTTTTCACAAAGTTTTTTTTGACAAATAGTGTAAATCGGTATGGCGGATGATCTGTTTGTGACACGTCAACTTCGAATATAATATGAGATCTCAAATAGACTAATGTAAAAACTTTTTATAAATCCTTAGAGGCCATAACGTCAAGTTTCTTAAAGGCTGCGTCGTTTTACAAAATATGTCAACGTCAGTAGGTATTTACTATTTACGATCCGTATAGGATTGATATTTGAGCTAAATTTTATTTACTACATATTATGCAGTCGCCGATGTTGTGGGGGTCAGAATGCACAATACAGTACTTGACAAAATAAACAATTGATTTGTCATATTAGGCAGCAGTAAAGGTCTAGTAAAAAAATAAAGGGGTATTAAATGACGTCATCAGATTTAACTGAGACATGTGTACTATATTTTTTATATATTATTATATTATGGTAACACGCACGGACCGGGTTTACAATGTTTGCCGCCCGGAGCAAATTTTTTTAATATTTTGTAATTTTTGTAACTTTATAGACTCTGTAGTTAATAGTTTTAATCAATAACAGCATTATTAACGGTATATTAAATAAACCATTCCTATGCTTTTCAGGAAAAATCATACGTTTTTAAAGACTATTAATTACCTACTTTGAACAAAATGTATAGAATAATTGTTATTGTTAGTCCACGGCCGAAAAAGTCTTAAAATACAGAGTATGCCTTAATATGGTCGAATAATTTTTTTTCTGTGTGGATAAAATATTACCTATTTATCAAAATCTCATAGCATGTAAAAGGTTTTGTGGTACTAAAGGCAATTTCCTAGTTATCCCATGTGCGCGTACGTGTATGTATTTTATGCCCTGTCAGTCACAGGTTGGAATATTCGAAGATACCAAACTGTTACCAGTATACCTTGGAGTTGAGCTCCAGTCAACTTTTTTATTTATGCACCACACGCACGCAACCACCGGATAGCTGGGAAGTCGCCATAAATCAGAATATGATTAAATTCCGAGTGTATGTTTTCTAAATGGTGTACGGTTTGGGATAAAATATTCCATATTATTTAATTGTCATAAATGGTATTAAACAGATACTCGTATATTTTAGCTCCAATAGAGCTTAGAAGCTAGTGTTTTAATAATGATATCTTATCATTTTACTTTTTCTAGTCAGCACTCACAATTACAATAAACCGTTGAACCGATTCCCTTCATGTGGCAACTCTATAGATACAGAAATCGTATCCGAAATTTACAATATATCAGGTCAATAATTTAAAAAGTACACCAGTTTCCTTTGAAAATTTAGAAAAATACCCAAAAAATGTACATATTTTTACCATCTTAATTATGGTGCGCTATAACCTTTATAAAAGTAATCTAATGAGTTCTAAATTTATAGGGAATATTTACTCTTTAGGCATAGTATTATTATAATTATACGTTGACAAATCAAATAAATATCAAAAAACCCTTTCCCTCAGATGGGGTAGAAACTTGCTTTTTATTTCACTTTTCAGTTTTAATGTGTCAACTACATATAATCAATAGGTACGACTTTTAATCAAGATTATCAGTTCAGCGTGGCAAACAAAAACCCCATTGTAAAATTAATAGCATAGCAAGATTAGAATAAAAAGAGAATGTCTAGACCACTGTTTTTTAATATTATATCTGAATCTAAAAAAACACCTCCTAAAAATACAAAATTCTATTTCTGGGGGTAATAGTTGATGGATATTACTTTGTTTTTTAATAATTATTAGTTAGGGTTATATTTAAAGAATACTTTAAATCAATTTAGAAGTGTTTTTGACAATTTTTCGGAAAATTACAGCGCTCTGTATTTTAAAATTGCTTACATTTTTTTGCGATTTTTTGTACACATAACTTCAATTTGAGTCTTCTTATTTGTAGACTGTCTTTATCAGTCCAACGATGAGAAAATTAATGTGGGTCCCAGATACACGAAAAAAAAAACATTAATGTATTCCGTATTGATGTCAAAAAAAGGAAATATCTTTTTTAGTTCCATGAAGACTAGTTCGATGAAGAAATGTCTAATTTGTTTGGACTTACAAGATAGGTATATAGTGTCTATGTGTTGTGTGGTAGGACTAGTCCTAAATATTATTACTCAATAGTTTATACATAGATAAATAATTTAAGAATTGAGATTTTAGTTAAGTAATAGGTGAGATATTTTATTTGAGGCTTTGGGACTTAAAGATCTCACGATCGCGGTACAAAATCTAAAAACTACACTATTGTTTAATTAAATAAAAAATATAATAAGTAGAATTTGATGAGTTTACCTATATCACGTTTTCTAGAACTGGTCCCTTGCGGTAAACAATATTTTGTTTTATTTAAAATGTATTGCTAATATATGTGGTGTTGGCTCATACTGTTACTTAACTATCAGAAGTATATGTACAAGTTAACTTCCTTGGAAACCGTATTTAAAATTTAATTCAAACGTAGTTTTTAAAACTTAAAAATGTTTAAAAATGAAGAAATGTTAGTTGACAATTGGAACGGTGATGACTTGATGGAAATTATGAAGCTACCTCGGGTGTGGGAAAAATTAGACATCGGGATAGAAATACAAGAACTTCAATTAAATCGAATCGACGAGGTTCTTAATTTGATTAAGGTAGAACATTCATTTAAAAGTAATTTATATAGTGTCGCCATTAAAATTTGAATGTTCTAGTGCAAATTCAAATGTAGCACACTTAGTTTAATAATACAAAATCACTTTATTTAGACTTAAAATCTTGAGATCCCATTTTTTACATAATTTCTATGTTTATCCAGGGGTGGGCCTAAAATAGTGAAGTAATAAAAGTCTTCAGCAGTTTGAAATTTTAAAATTTTCAATTAAAATGCTTTTAGTAGGTTAATTTCTATATCTATAAATAGCAGTTACATTAAACTTTAATCTCAATATTGATAACACAGAATGCCTATAAATGCATAGACGGAATTAAGAAATGTACGTTTTTTATTCATAATAAGGTCATTGGCAAGTACTTTCGAGTATATTTTATATTCTATATTGGTTAATAGAGTACTTAAAAATACCATGAAATACCATACTAATAAAACGATTTTATTGATATTTGTAATATTATTTATACCAATCTGAATTTATTTATAATATGTTTGTAAAAAAAGATATAATACAAATTAATATTTTGTATTTTATAAAATTCCCTAATAACTATATCACTTAGGCTTTGTAGTAAGAATGTTTATTTTTCTACAAGACAGTAAGAGACAAATAGTAATTTAGGTAGATAGTTGCTGTAATGGTTTAGTATAGGTCCTCCTAATGGTTGCATTGTTTGATAGTTATTGGTTATATTTTCAAAATCAATATCAATATTAATAATTATTATTTATCAATAAATTTAGGAGAACTATATTTATGAAGAACCCCTTATGCATGGCTGTCAGTTGTACCTTGATGATGAATCTGTAGAACAGTACATGTATTTGTCGCGGTTTTGGATAATGGATACTATGTCCACCGTCGCCGTGGATACGGAGACAGGCAAAGTAGTTGGATTTTTGATTTGTCGTTTTAATGAGCTGTTTAATGCCGATGACTTATACAGCAAAAAAAGGGTAAAAACTATATAGTAGGTGCCCTTGCAATAATATAACATGTCATAAAGTGTGAACTAAGTACTGATTTAATTTTCATGAAGTACAAGTGAGACTAGAAATTCAGTGAGTTTTTTTTACTTACAGCTCTACCAAGGCTTGAAATGGATCGAACTACAAAAGTTTAAGTGTCATCTGATGGACAAAAGCAAAGTCTATAAGCATTTTGGAGTCCATAGTATTTTCCAGCCGTATTCGTGGTTTGTACTTCCTCAATATCGGGGTCAAGGTGTGTTATCGGTACTTATTCCTATATTTATTATCACATTACGTTTTTATATTGTGGTTATTTCTTTCTCTCCTATTTACATATGTATAACACCTTAAATTAATATGGAACGTTGTTGTCCTCATCAACTAATGTACCTTAATGAACTTGGTTTTGTTTTTTATACCTAAAAATGATAAATTGCACGTCTGTAACTTAACAATTTTTAACACATGAAAACTTGCAATGACGTTGTTTATGACTTTTAGGCATTGGGTCAAAATTATTAGAGGTTGCTATGTTCAAACAACTGCCCGAATTTGAGTGGTTCGACACGAACGTGATTGTCGCCATTTTTACTAGCAAATCTAGTCAAGATTACGCTGAATCCATGGGTATGGAAACCCTTTACGAGTTTATGTATGCCGGATGGGTATCCAAAAATGCATGGGGCGAAGAAGTGGCATTTTTTAGCGAAATGCAACCAGGAAATTATGTGGCCAAGGTGATGGGTAGGAGAGTAGGGCCTCCTCTCGCCATACGATCCATTAATGACTTTGAAAGTGAGATGGGTTCAGTTGACAAGCCCAATGGCAAACATAAAGGCGATCAGGCCAAGGAAGAGGACGAAAAAGTTCAGGACGAAGCATTCGAAAGAAACGAATAAAATATTAAATTTATAGAACTTGTTTTAATGAATTATTTTCATTATTATCTGATCAAAAAACTGAGATATTGACCTACTTTTACCTATATACTAACCTACCTGCTTATATAAAATAAATAAAAGAGAATTTTTTGGTGATTAATACGTGAAGGAATATGCAAAAGTTTTTTGGTCGACTGGTTCAAAAATATCAGCCACATAACCTGGCACGAAGAAAATGGAATGGCAGTATCTAAAAAATCATAACTCTATAAAAATTGCATAACATTCTGTACATTTTAAAAATTTTTATCTGTTGAAATAGTTTTGTTGGCCACAGTGGTCTTATTAAGCAAAAGTTTGCGAAGGACCATATAAAGGTCATTGGTTCAAGTTTAACTCTAATGCAAGATCTTAAATCAAAACTACATTTACAGTATATATTTAAATAATTTTAAGTTAACAAAGTTCTAATTTATTATGTTTGGAACATTCGAAGTAAGCTATTTTGTGCTGTCCAGTTAAAAGATAAATACCCGGGACCACGGTTGTCTACTACACAGTTGTCTAGTAGACAACCGTGCCCGGGACCATAAAACCGTTATTTGCGAGGCAAAAAGAAAAAAGGGACCTCGCAAAAATCAAATTTTGGGTTTTGATTATTCCAAACTCTGCACTAAATCCTGAACATATTTAGAACAGAGTCATTCTCTTATCTTGAATTTGTTTTTCCGTCCCTGATCAATGTTTTGGCCTGTCTTGTTATTTGAATTCACGAGATAAAATGGCCTCTTTTCCTTTCCGCCTCACATTAATTTTAGTTTTTTTTTTACTTTATTCAATGTTCTATATATATAAAAATTAATGTATGTCTGTTTGTCCTTTTTGCGTTAGTACACCATTCATACGATCGCCATGAAACTTTGGAAAGTTGATGAGCACACTCACGCAAAGGTAACTGGCATAGTACTTTTCAAAAATTCCACCCCTAAGGAAGGCCTCAAACACGAATTTTGTACTATAAATACGAAATAGTTTTCGTTGCTTACCCAAAGTAACACTTGGTTTGTAACCATGGTACTCGAGCGAATGGTAGGTGATGATTCTATGTATTCTATGTACCACGATTCTGGGAACGCTATTAAACATTTTCACGATTGGAACTGGATCTGGGACTGTAGATCCCAAAAAAAAAACGAGACGGGGTATGCTAAAGCTTTACAACATACAGCCTGGAGTACTGACTTTTTTTTAATCTTATTTGTAATTATTTTACTTAGCCCTGGCAAACTAAATCCTGCTTATTTTCATATAAAATCGTATTTTTAAAAAAATTTGCAATATTTTATTAATAATAATAATTACTAACTTGATTTGGAAATAAACATTTTTAATTAAACTGACGTACACATTTAGGCAAAGTTTTATTTTGTTGTAGCATGTTAAATAATTACTGTTAGATTGAAAAAAATGTAATGGAATAATAACTACATAGTACATTAGTCACTATCCAAGTAACGTACACTAGCTTCGCCGTCTACTGTCCCTTCTTCTTCGCCAGGCCATAACATTCCTTTACCGTCTGCTAATTTACCATCTCCATTCGCATTACCGATTCCACTATCTTGCTCGGTATCTTCCAGCAAGGCCTTAAGCTCATCCCGAGCAATTTGCAATTTAACCAATTTAGCGTTTGCCTCCTCGATTTTTGGCTTTAACTGGGCTATTTCTTGCTCATCTGGATTGTTTGAGTACAAATTCTTCCTTACATATCTGTAAAATAAGTTTATTATTAAATATCAGCTATAAACTTAGGAGCTACATAACATAAAATTAGCCTAATAAGCTGCTAGTGGCTAGTAGTTCTTACGCCTAACGACTATGAGTAGTGTAATATAATTTTGATCGACACAGGCGTTTAGTCTAACGATTACACTCACTCGATTGGATTAGATGGTTTTTCCGGCTCGTTGTACAACATAAGAAACACTTTAGTGATAGTGTCCAAGACGCCGGAACGTTCCAAATAGTCTTGGAATTCTTCGCGGCGCGAGTCTAAAGGCTGACAATAGAACAAACAAAAACCGATTTGGTACATTTATGCTTTTAATAACAATAATGTTGCACACTTACTCTATACTGGGATGCCATTTTTACACAACAGCAATTAATATACAAATAATAGTTGAACTATATATTCCCAAAAAAACAAACGCGGTTGTATGTTGACAAGCTCGTGATGTTTTTCCTTGGATACAGAGAGGTAGTTAAGTTTTGTAGAAACACTAACAAACACGTTGTGTAAAAATTGAATAATTTGAAAATTGAAAAATGATTGGCATGATAGTTATAAATATGTTATGCCTTTTAAAAACATAAAATACCTAATACTAATCGTGAATACCTGTATTAATAGCTGTTGATAAAATTAAACAATATCAATAAATAACATTTAATCCTACGTAATCATTTTAAAGTACAAAATATTGTGTATAAGACGTTTTGATAAGGAAACTACTGTATATGATTAACTATTAAATCGACGAGTCCAACTATGTCCAGTCCAGTAAACCTTGCATAAGATCTGCTATGTTAGTTTATCCTTTAAACCAGTGCCGTGTTTACAGGACAGACGACACTGATATATCCATTAAGCATTATAATATTATGAATCATATCGTTAAACTTTTACAATATTTATTAAAAAAATAAGATTATCGGCTTTCTCGCTTTCTTTTTTAAAAATGGTCCGTCAGGACTCGTTCCTACTCAAACGGACTATGGGTTAGCTAAACATTGATTATGCAATAATTAATTATTATGATAGTCTTAAACAATTGCAGAATACTCATTGTATTTGTAAGAATGGCATGATAATCCTATATTTTTTTTATTATAAATAATTAAAAACTCAGGCGCAGGAGCCATTTAAATGAATACTAAATAAATTTTTCAAAAATATGATTTCATTTATCGACTTTCTTTCTCTTGTGGTTACTTCACCGCCATACGTTGTATGACATTAATTAATATGTATTAAATTGTGTAATAATGGTAAGTAATTGTAATTTATATCTATTAATTATTATTTAAGTGTGTAATTAGGTTATTCAAGTGTTTATAAATTGTATGTTGAATCCTAATAGTAAATAATGAATACGCGCTAATTATTTTGTATTTAAAATAGCGATACCTAACTAGTTTACTTAATATATTTCAAAAAGTTAACAGAAGCCTATCGGCTAATTTTTATTTTATACTTTAAATATATTACAGTACCAATTTTGCTCATCTCTGCTCACATACCACAGTACATAGCTTTTTATTTCAAGTGCGATAGTCCATTCAAACTTGATGACTACACAGGAAGTTCTTATTTACTTACTCTCTGATTAGCGTGGAAAAGTTTTAGGAAGTCCGTTGGACTGTGATGAACTAAATGGGCTTAGAGTAGGTACATCTCAGAAGATTAAATTGCACTCTAATGGGTAATTACTATATAGATTATTATAGGACTCTAAACAGGTGGTACCTAAACAGGTACTTGGATGATTCTTGTCAGGTACCATTTGGGTACCAAATAGATTGGCTCCGCATAGGAAGGTATGTGAAGTTAGGAGTATAGATATAATTCTAACTTATAATTAATATGATTATCATTAATGATTTGATAAAAATAATAATTATATTGAAGCAAATATTTGTAAATTACAATTATTAGTTAACAGATTAAATCAATAAGAAGAAATATATAATATTTACTAGAAGAAAACTTTTTACTAGAAAAAAAAATCTGAAATAGGATACAATTGGGCGTGGAATGGTCAATATATAATAACCAAAATACAATTAATAAGCTAATTGAGGTAGACAATAAATCGCAGTAATTGTCATGCATTGTCATTATTGATTAGCATAACATAATATGGGTGGAACGGATTGTTAGTTTGTCGATAGCTAACTACATAATAATTTGTTTACGATTACCACATACATTATTTTAATTAATTTTTTAGTTATAACTTAAAAAAATGTAGATTTTTTTTAGAGGCAAGGGGGGTATAGTACTTTTGAGAGAAGGGGGATCATCTCCAAATTTTGTTTTATCCCCTTCGAAATACTTCTGTGTAGTGTGTACATCTATGCTTAGTATAAAATGACAAGCAGTTATTTATCTTATAAGTGCTCATAAGAGATAGTAACATATGAACTCTCGAAAGAGTTATCAATGTAAAAATTAAGTGTTCAGTTTATTTTTTTTATTAGAAGCTACTTCAGTAATTTTTAAGATAATTAAGTCATATTACCATGAAATATCACGCCGGTTCATTAAATTAAACACACACTACAATTATTCTTATTAGTCAATTACATATACAGGGTGTCCCACGAGGATTTAACCACTGTAAATCTCTTAAGGATAGGTATTACTTTTTTCTAATCATAGATTTTTAAACAACTTGAACAGTATATATATATATTATTTTTTAGAATAAATAAAAAAAGATAAGAACAACACTTGCCGGCAAAAAAGACCGCCACTGATGTTTATTGATCAATTCGATTTTCACCTAGGTATATGACTGGTATGAAATAGTTTTTAAAACGAATTAGAACACTAGCCCCAAACATTCAGCGTAACCCAATTAGTCACAAATTGCAAATTAGAAAATCGTTGAAAAGTATAATAACCAATCACATGTGATCTACAAAAGTAAAACCACATTGGCTCTAAATCGAATGTCTGTCGAATTGATAATAAAAATGAACTGGTTAAAAAGTCAACAATCTATTCGTTAATATGCTTAATTGAAATAAAAATCAGTACAGTTTTAACTAGTACAATGAGAAGTTGAGTTAAGAAAATGAAATCTTCGAATATTAGGAATATTAGGAAGTGTGCTATTAACAAATTTGCATCGTAGCGTATCCTTTAAAGTTATTTTTAGAAAAAATTCAAAGTAAACGATATATACATTAGTATAATTAAATTACATTTTGAACACACATAAAAAATATATTTACATATTGTACAATATACATAGAACTTGGACAACGTAAAAAAACTAAATAATAAAAAAATTACAACTAAATAATAACGAGTTAAAGAATTACGTTACAGAAGTGTTATGGGATTTTTTGATTTTTGGTTCGAAGCCCTCTAAGATTTCATCCAACGATTTTCCTTTGGTCTCTGGCAATAAAAACCAACCGTACATGGCAGTCAATAAACAAGAACCGGTGAAAATTGCCCATACTATTTTTATGCCTAGCATTGAAACCAACATTGGATAGACTTTTGTAGCGCCAAACAGCATTTCGTATCCAGCAGACTGAACCACTGCGTTCATAATACCTGTTTGCAAATAATATATCAATAAAAATAATTGAAACATGTAACGTAATACAATTAGTAGACATATACAAATATTACAAAGAATTATGAACTATTGTGTTTTTGCTTACAGCTATAACAAATCAAATGAGTTAAATAATTAGTACTAATTAAGGCGTTGAATAGAATTGTAGTTTTAGTTTTGGAGTAAAGCTAACACCAAATAACCATTTTTATGGTCCTATTTGTTAAATTTAATGGGTCACAAAATATTCTTTTGATTCGGATATACTGTCTGTTTTGGAGTATTTTTAACTTTGATGCAGAGCTCAGAAGTATTGAAAATTATACAATATATTTCTATTTTTTTAACTGGGCCCACGTTATCCCTTAAATCACTGAATCGATTTTTTCTTGTATCACGTCTATATATTATCGGAGTAGTTTATCTCACCAACACTTGTTGGATCTTGTGTTTTTAGATAAACTTCCTATTTGTTCAACAGTAAGTTAAACGACATTTTCCGACATTTTAAAGTATTCGTAAAACTTAAGACACACTGGAGAAAAGCTATCACACCAAGAGAACGTCTCACCGTTTTTCACGTCCGTGAAAAGTGAAAAATATCGTCCGAAACTAATCATACGTTCACGGCGACATCACTACTTGTATCGGCACGGACACGTATCGAACGAGTGTAAACAGCCCCATTCAAATTCCCAAAAGAATATTTTTAACATCGTCGGTTGGAATACGGGCCGGTCAAGGCACTGTCGCGTCACTGATATGTGTGAACAGTGCTTGACTTGAGAAAAAGTAGTAGAGGTACTCTAGATACTTTTAAAAAAGTAGCGTCCCTAGCATTTTAATATCCCCCACACCCCCTTTAACGGCGCCCTAAGGAACATTAATAAAAAACCATTAAACAAAAAAGAATAATATAAAAATTATCTAAGTATAACTTCAATCTTCATTTAAAAAATTCCACGGTACCATTGATGAAATGTAAATATAAATACAATTGTACAGGGAATTAAAAAAGAATAAGTCGGTTTCAAATATCTGAATTTTCTAAACGGTAGGTACAAGCTACAGAGTTGCACTACCTCTTAAAATGGCCGCTGTAACCTCAAGTTAGATTAGGCTACCGCTAGGATAATTTGTGGTGAACAAAATCCACACACAACCCTGCAACACTTAAGAGACTCGCCAAAAGTTAACGTGTTTTGCGCGATGTCTCATGAGAAAGTGTATGGACCATTTTTTTTAATGAAGCCACTGTACCTTTAAATGTTGAAAGATTGGCCATGTGATTTTTTTTTGTGGGGATACGTCAAAGGAAAAGTCTTTGTGCCGCCATTGCTTGTGAACAAAAACGATTTGAAGGCACGCGTAACTTTGGCTGTGCAGACAGTAACTACTGACATGCTCCACAGAGTGTGGGAGGAAATTTGCATACCGACTTGACATTGTTTGGGTTACTCAAGGAGGACACATTGAACATTTATGATTTTTTTTTATTTTTAAAAAAACTTGAGGTTATAGCGGTCATTTTAAGAGGTCGCGCAGCTCTGTAGCTTGTACCGTTTAAAAAATACAGATTTGAAACCGATTTATTCTTTTGTAATCACCCGGTATTTAATCAATGACGGTACTTCTCTAGACAGCGTATTTAAAGTTTAAACGGTAACGTTTCGCAACGAGACTAACATGACGATTGGCGGGCACGAACGGGAAACGTTTTGCCGTCGCGTAGTCACTGATAAGTGATAATGAAATATTGATTGCAAAATAAAATATACGTATCAGATATGAGATATCAATACATTTTGTAAATATTAGAACATTTTGTAAGATTTATATATTTAACACAAACATTTAAGTTGAGCAACTTAATAAATATAGGTAAGACTAAATAGCAACCTGTCCCATGCGTTCCCCTTTAAAAAAGAAGTAGGGTCGCTAGAATATCCAAAAAATTAGTTGAGGTACTCAGTCCCCCTGCGCCCCCCCCCAAGTCAAGCACTGTGTGTGAATTGACCTTAATACGTCATGTAGCCGTTATCAGACTTTCAACTTTTTTTGTGGCAGACTGGCAAACATACCGTATACACAATTTGCGTTTTGTAGCTGTGCATAACTCATTATTAATAGCCAGTGCATAGATTTAATGAGTCCACTTGTCAGTTTTCTCGGACCCGACACGTCGGTTAATCTTCCCCGTGGTGCAAATATTGACATTAATGTATTATCATTTTAATTTTTAATATACTCGTACCTACTGTTATTTGACCCTGGGGCTGTCTCTAACGCCGCTTTCGAAGTGTTTAATTTATTTAAATATCCGCACCAACAACGGCGGTTCATCCCGTCTCATATACTGCTTAAACAATAATATTATATAAACCATAGCCCATAGATCAAGTTGGCACATTAGATTTTGCTAAGCTATTCTCATATTTTGCTAAGAGCTCCATACAATATTAAACCAGAATCAATTTGTTCTTTGAGTGTATGAACTAAAAAGTCCTCCTGTATTTCATAAAAATATGATTTAATTATTTTTTTTAATAGAAGACCGAAGATTATAAGATTGAGTTACTGTATTGTACAAGTTGAATAATTTTTGTTTGTTTATTAATTGTCTTTAAAGTGCTTTTTTGTTGATCTTTAAATGAATTTACCATTAAAAATAATTCTGAATAATAACTTTTGTGTGAAAATGTGATTATTTCCAAACATGCAGCGTTATACGCATCTTTGGGTAGGTACCCAGCCATAATATCCTCCGTCCTCACTATGCCTCGACCCTACTGTGCTAGCTTTTTGTATACCTACACTTTCGGGGCAGTGTAAAATATGTAGTCAACCGCATCATAAAATATTGTACGATACGGCTTTAATTGGCAATAAATAAATTAGAAGTATCAATTATAAAGCTATACAACAAATGTTGTGTACTGGGCTATAACGCCTGTCTGTGAAACCTGACAAAAATGTACAACTTTAATGGCGTTTAGAACGTAAAACCTGGTTATATAATGCTGATTGGCGCGTGTACTTACCTTTGACAGGCATAGGAAAGAGTTCACCGGTGAGGCTCCAAGGTAGAGGCAGCATTCCCAACAGGGAAAAGTAGACGTACACGAAAAAGGCGATGATAAGTGCGTTACCGTACGGCGGATCTGAGACGCCTTCAAACAAGTACAAGTAACTGACGATGACGGCTAGTCCAGAAAACATACCCAAGCACGAGACGGTGGTCAGGGTTCTCCGCCTAACGCCCGACAGAACAGCGAACGTCAAACTGCCGCCCATCCTGGCGAATGATAGAAATGCTGTGACTGTCAGACCGTCCATAGGAATGCCGACGTCCCGAAGTACGTCTACTGAATAAGAAATTAGGACATAGATGCCAGTGCATTGCTGCAGGAACAAGAACGTGAGCCCGTACACCGCGGGCTTCCAGACGGTGGGACCGGTGTACGCGGACCACTCTGTCGGGCATTTGGGTCGCGTGGTCACTGTGAAAGGCTTTTCGTTGTCACCGCCATTGTCGTCCTGCTGTACTTGCTCGCCTAACCACCTTTCAGCCCGCAACGCTTCTTCTGTCCGGCCGCGAGATCTGAGCCACATCGGCGGTTCCGGTACGGCTAACAGGCCAATCGCGCCAAACAAGCTGATCGTGCCGTACACAGCCGCCATCGTTCGCCAATTTAAGTACATACCCATTACCGAGGCGCAAAACATACTACTACCGGTGAACACGTTGATAATGGCCAGAAAAAGTGGCCGGTAGACCGTAGGGCAGGTTTCAGACACGTACATGAATACCACTATGCCGCAGCCTAGAAGAAAAACATCACATTTTATAAAACTGTGTTTGGCTAAATGGTTTTATTATACAGGATTATTAAATTTTTAGCCATTAAAAATACCTATTTAATTAATCGGCTAAACTTAGTTAAAACATATTTTTAAGAAGATTTTAGAAGATGATTAAACAGTAACCGTAATAAATCTAGTTTATGTGACTTGAGATCCTAATTTATTGTTTTAATTTTCTCCAAACTGGTCTATATCCTAAATTTAAATGTCCAGTTTATTGAAAAAAAAAACAGTAGAGTATACTTATCTAATTTAATATCATAATAAATATATCTTCTTTCTTTAGTTATTCGTAAAATTGTAAAAAAACCTAGCCAAATTTGTATAAAAGTAGTCATTAGAAACTACAGACTGGACTGTGTACCAGAAACAGTATATCATAAGTTGAAAGCATTTAAATGTTCAGGCGTAAGCTGCTTTTTGATATCTTTTAAAATGATTACCCCCTAAAATCATCCTTCAAGCTAATATTTGTAGCTTGAATATTAAAAACAATTCTTGATCATTAAATGAAATAAAAATTTTATTTGCATCTTTTTTTACCTAAAAAAAATAATTTTATGAAAAATACTGCTAATTATAATGTTGATTAGTGATCACCCTATATATATATAAATAGGGTCATTTAAAAAACCTACACTATAAAAAGAAAAAGCATTGATAGTTTAGAACGGTAGATATCACCTACTATATTGTGTCATAATATATATATGTTACGGGCAACTCTTCGTGAAGTTCAAACCAAAAATTAAGGGGACGTCGTACCGCTATTTATTAAGGAGTTGGTTATAGGCAATTTTTTGCAAAATCTCAATTTAAAGCTTAAATTGTAATTTGTAATTATTAGCTTAGTAATAAGTATCCTTTTTAGGCAGTTAATTTATTTTTCGGACTATCGCAGCATCTTTATCATCGATTTTAAATATTTTTTTCATTTAAACATAGTTTACTAATTCCAAAAACACGACTTACTGGGTGGTTTTAGAGTAAAAAACCTAATTATTAATGTTGTAGGTGAGAACTTTTCCATGTTTTGTTGAAAACCAATTTTCGATAGTTGTATATCCAATTTATTGTTCCATATTCAAAATATGGAACAATATGGCATAAAGAAAGGGCATTTTTTTAATTATTCAAATGTATATATCTTAAAATTAAAATCTAATTCCAACAAAGCTTAGTTAAAGTTCTCATCTTTCAAACAATTTATAATTTATATCCCTGCGTGCGTTGTAGACTTCATACAGGGATGGGAAAAATACAGTATCTTTTCGACTAAATACAAAATACAATTATCTTAAGTTATAAGATAATAGTATTTTGTATTTAGTCGAAAGATACTGTATTTTGCCCATCCCTGACTTCATACCATTGGAAATACAAAAGTATTATTTTGGTGCTATTATATAGGGGTGCAACGTCCCCTTACTGTTTTGGCTTTTAGCTAAGCATCTATTTAATGTCGACGAATATTACCAGAACATTACATCTCTACAAATACGATAAAATCCTAATTTTTTTGGTATTGAACTCATTCTAAAACTCATTATTTATATTATAGTCAGTACATTAGTTATTTAAATCATCATATTATCTAGGGTTAAATTAATTAAAAATAGTAATATCAGTTAAAAACCGTTTAAAACACTTATTATTCATTTCATAATTTCATTACATTATTATTGTAATTTCGATTAATATCTACCGTAAGAATAGCCTAAAAGGATTCTTGCAATTAAAATACAGTTGGTGTCATTGGCGAAAATTAGCAAGAGCCAACTCAGGATAATCGGTATGTAAGTGAACTGCAAAATTTTTTTCCTGCCAATTTTGTCCGTTATCAATCCAGTTACAATCAAACCAACGGGACCAACCAAGTTTGGTATGCTAGCTAAAAATAAAATAAAATACATTATTAAACGTTTAACAAACTATAAATAAACTTTTGTTTTGTTTTTTTGTTTATGCAAACTGTTACAATGTAGAATAATAAGCATAATAGATGTAATATTTTCAAAAAACAGATTTACAGAATGACGAGATCTTTATACTTGCAATTAACCAATTATTTATTCAATAGTATAATGTGTACTAATTGCATGCAATGCTTTTTTCCTTACATTTTTAGATATCAATACATAATCAAAAATTTAAATATTCGTGATAATAATATAGTAACAGCTAGATAATAACATCTAAGTACCTAGTCCTACTATATTTTTAGATAAAAATAGAGTACCTTATTATTATTAGATATAACTAATTATAGTAAATATATTTTAAAAAATATAAAAAATAGACTTGTTTTCTTTAGTTTTAAATATTTCAGTATCCAATTTAAACAATTACCTATCCACGACGCCGTATTGTTGTCGATTTGTATGGTAGATAATGGATCATGAAGCTGTGCTAAAAGTATCGACGAATATATAAGGGAGGAGCTCATGACGAATGAGTAAACACTTATCACACCCGTACAAAGCACCTGTATAATATGGAAAAAAACATAAATATGACAAGCAATTTGTAAGTCACATATTATAGAAATAAAACGATGTCAAAATTGTGTATGTTATAATTTAAGTTGAACTCACGAGCTTCAAAAGGAGCCTAGTCTTGTCTCGCTTCATTATTCTTGCGGTTGGCTAGTTTCCAAAGTACCTCACATTTTACACAGTTCCATACTTGTGTACAGAAAAAATAAACTGCAATTATATTATAATTTGTATGTTGTTGCAGTCTTGTACGACCTATCAATATTTCTGTAAACCGTGAAGCGTCAACGTTTAATAAGCTACTCGAGGACCTATGAATATCGGTAAACACTTCTCAAAAGCTCATAGCTCGATAATAAAAATAATAACATTTTATTAAATTAAATATTATGTTTATTTTATATATAGGGTGGTTTAAATCTTGTATTTAGAGTGTGTACCAAATTATTTAGTTTATGTTTAAATAAATTGTCAAACTGCGTATTAATCTTACTATTTAACGTAACCTACTATTTTCACTTTTCAAATATTGTAAATAAATCGTGTAGTGTGTACTTATACATTTTTACTGAATTTATCAATAAAACTATAAAATTCATAAAAACATTCTCTTCTATTAGTTGTTTGTGTACAATATTTTTTCCTTGTATTAAAGAAGATAACTATGCAAAGACATTAGTCAATAATTATCAACTATTTCCAGTGCAATAACATTAATAGAAAAAGTTATGTATATTTTTGTGTGGAAATCAGTGTATACGAGTATTGTTTTTTCTTTTGTAAAGATAATAATTCATATACTTTTTCCTTAGGATCACGTGGCTGATTCAATTGCCCAAATGATTACATATATTGAAAACGCGGGTTTGACGCAAATCTGTCATTCACTTTTGTCCAATTAAATATTTTTTTAATAAGCGGCTGTAACACGAAATGTGTACAACCCTGTAATTTTAAAACGTATGTAAAAAAACAAGTCTTGAGCACCGAGAAATGGGAACTAAACACACGATATATGAATAACAATAAAAAACAACTACGAGCCTGTGCGGTTCGCTTGGCGTCTATTTGATCGGTACTTACGTTATTGTGTATTATCCTCGTATTGATTTGCAACGGTCATTGTATCATCCGAAACCGACAAAATTAATACGACTCGGTTGTAATATTTAACATTTAAATACTGATCGCAGAATGAAAGTGTCTTACTAGTAAGGTGGGAATGTCATGTCTATGTGCGGATTATAATCTGTCCGTTATAGGATTTCAACCAATTCGAGTCCATTCGTTTGACTGAGTATGATTAAACATATTAATATATAAGAATCCGTGATAAACGTGCACTGTTCATTGGATAATTGTCTGTTTTTCAATAGACTGCCGATAAAAGTGTAATCAATCTTATTATACGGGTAATCGTTCTGATTCATCGGCTTCTTCTAGCATAGCTATTGCAATTTATCTACTCCTAAACATAATAATACGTATTTTATTGTTTCATATTAAGCGACCATACAAATTTCAAACGAATAGATTAGCTATCGAGTTGTTTTTCAACTTTATTAAAATACTTCTTTAATTAAAAATAATTAGCCCTTCCTCAACGACCGATATAAGTAATTATACATTTTTTATTTTCAATTTATTATAAGTCATAACGTTATCTTCCGAGCCACGGATTTATTAATTGTGTTGTTGACTTCGGAATATCACTGTAATAAACTAGCTGTTGTATTTATATGCTATATTAATTAGAGATAATTTTCGTTCAATCCAAACATATTATACGAGTTCATCGAGTTGTGTTGACGGTGATGTCGTGCTTTTGTTTGTTGTGATGTTTTAAATGCTGCTATACAATGAGAGTATAATATTTGTAATATTATATCACTCGTTTTGTCGTAAAGTGAATTAAAACAATTGAAGTGAAACTTTTTTACGCGCGCTGGGTGTAAAATTTCAAGGTCATGACACATGTGCGTTGCGGTTAGGTTACTAAATTAATTTAGGACGATTTGGAAAAAAATGAAATTTTAGTGAAATGACCTCCACATTTGACACTGTGTAGGGCGACCTGGATGTCCGAGTCCCAATATGATTACAGGATATTGTATTGTCATCTAAGATATGTGTCTGTGTAAGTTTCAGCCCTATACGACATCGGGAAGTGGGTTAAATTAGTTTTAGAAGATTTGAATAATACCTGTACAAACGTACGTGTTAGCGAGCTAAAGAAAAGCATGTAAAAAAATGGAATTCATCAGTAGTCTGATACTAGTACCTCCGCTTCACGGAAGTACATAGGGACATGGATATGTCTTAATATACAAATATAGGAACCTTCAAATCGAATTCCAATACTTAAGTCATTAAACCCAAGCACGCGAACATTGTCTGCGCCATCTCACTGGTATTATATTATAAACTTTGTTTTGATAGATTGTTAAAACGTCACGTTTAAAAAAACGAGACACTAATTATTTTTTATCAAGTAACACTGTCGCGTCACGTCGTTTTATGTAAAAACAAAAATTATATTCAAGTCAAAATGTAAATGCCAAAAATATTAATACAGTATGTAATATACTGTTAGTTTTCAACCGCCATACGCACACACACACACACACACACACGATCAATTTAATAATTCAAGTTGTTTTCAAACAAGTATTATCATGAAAATATATTTTTAAAAATTTTTTTTTTATTGATCTAGTAATAACATACAACCTGGCATCTATGACCATTAGTTTCAGATGAGGTGTAACAAAAGTCATTTACAATAGGTATACATTATGTTTGCGAATTCTAATAATTAAGAACAAAGGAAGAGTATGTGTAATTTTTAAACTGAGTTATATAAGTTAGTTGATTTTAGGAAGTCGATCATCTTGGCATTGTCCTCGGGTTCTGGTCCTAGTGAAGTGTCAAGTGTCGCGTCGATTCCAATCCTTTGTCTGTCTTGTTCGGACTTGAGGCATTAGGTTAATATGTGTTTCACGGTCAGTCTTACACCACAAGCTACACATATAGGAGCTTCTTCCTTAGTCATTAGGTAACCATGAGTTAGTCTCGTGTGTCCGATTCGCATGCGGTTTAGTATTGTTTCATCTTTTCTTTTTAGAGAGCTGTTAATCCATCGGTTGGTGGAACTTTTAATAGTGTTCAGTTTGATAATTTGTTGCTTCCATAACTGGAGCCATTTGTCGTTGGACATCTCATTAATCTGGGTTTTTAAGTCATCGTATGTTAACCCTGGTATTAATGTTATTTCCGCATTTTGGGTGGCAATTTTAGCCTGTTGGTCGGCTAACTCATTTCCTTTGATGCCAGTATGTCCAGGAACCCACATAAGCGTGATTTGTTTGTTCATAGTTGAGGCTTCGTTTAGTTTGTTTTGTATTTTTGTTGCGATATCGCCGGGATGGAATTGATTTTTGATGCTGTTGAGAGTACTTAGGGAGTCACTAAAAATAAAATGTTTTGAGTGCTCTTCATGTATTATTCTTTTTATTGCTTCGAGTATCGCAATTGCTTCAGCCGAGAATATGGAACATAAGCTTGGAAGTTTGAATAATAGATTTCTGTTTTGGAATATTATTGAAAAGCCAACTTGATCTAGGGATTTAGAAGCATCGGTGTATACTTTTTGGTAGTCTTTATATTGTTCTAGTATACTGAGAAAGTGACTTCTGTATACTGGGGGAGGAGTTTGAGGTTTTAGGAGGGAAGTTAGTTCTGTATTTATTGCGTAATGAGCTATCCAAGGGGGATGGGTCATTGGTTCTCTTGAAATTATTTGAGTCGTGTTAATACCGTTTACTTTTAATTCTTGGTGAATTTCAGTATTTTCCTCTGTGAGTGAGTTGAAGTTGGCTCTAACTGTTCTAACCATATATTTTGGAGCTAAGTCTACCCTTTTTATCTCGGGAAGGTGTTCTCCAGTTATGTTATATATGCTTAAAATTGGGCTACTACGGAAAGCACCTATAGTTAGTCTTAATCCGCTGTTGTTGATAGTATCAATTGCTTTTAGGATAGAGTATGTTGCAGATTTGAACATAATGGATCCATAGTTTAGTCTGGACTGTATAGTAGATCTGTGGATTTTGATTAGTGTTTCGGAATCACCTCCCCAAGGTGTGTGGGATAGTATTTTGAGTAAGTTTAGAGCGTTGTTGGTTGAGGTCTTTAGGTATTGTATATGGGATGCCCACGTGAGGCGGCGATCAAAGAAAAGACCAAGGATTTTAACCGATTTTTTATTGGGAATTGGCATGCCGTCGAGAGTGATATGAAGTTTGCCTACCTTTCTTTTTTTTGTGAATACTATGCAGTTTGATTTTTTTGGAGAGAAGTTAAGACTTGTCTTTCCTGCCCATTCTTCTAGATTATTGGTGGTTATCTGAAGGAATTTTTGTACGGAGTTAATATTATTGCTTCGACATGAGTAGTTAAAATCGTTTGCGAAAAGGTTGCATTTTACGGGTAGGGAACAGCATTGGATAATGTCGTTTATGGCTAACAGAAATAACGTTACTGACAGTGCTGAGCCTTGGGGTACTCCGTTTTCTTGTGAGAATTCGTCGGACATCTGGCTATTTGCTTTTACTTGGAATGTACGGTCTTTTAAAAAGTCGGTTATAATATTGAGTATTTTGTCTTTGGATAAAATTTTATTGAGTTTAATTAATATGTTATGTCTCCATGTTGAGTCATAAGCCTTGGATATGTCCAAGTTCACTAGTCCCATGATTTGCTTGTTTTCGAGAGTCTGATTTACTTCGTGTTTAATTTGAAAGAGATTGTCAATTGTACTTCTATTTTTTCTGAAACCACTTTGTTGTTTGGCTATGAAGTTGTATTTTTCTAGGAACCATGTTAGTCTAAGGTTCAAAATGTTTTCCAATATCTTGCACATGGTGTTCAATAGAGTTATAGGTCTATACCCTTCTGGTTTAAATTTATCTTTTTCCTGTTTGATGATGGGTATAATTGTACCATTTTTCCAAGTGGTTGGCCAAGAGCCTTCGATAAAGATCCTATTGAATATTTTTAACAATAATTTTAGGGCATTTGGTCCAAAGTTTTGAATAAATATGTAAGGTATATTGTCGGGCCCGGGGCCGTGACTTATGCATTTTTCTGAAGTGTATTTGAGTTTTTGGATGGAAATTGATTTATTTAGTTGGATTTGATCCGTAAGATTATTGTCTATATAGTTGGGAATATTTTCGTTTTCGCATTTTTGTTTATAAATTTGAAACTGGGTTTTATAGTTTTAATCGCTACTGTTGTTGTAAAGTATTCTCCTAATTTATTAGCAGTTAAATGGTCGTTGTTCATTAGTAGGTCGGTATTATTATCGATAAGGTTTATTCTGCGACTTCTATAGAGTCCTTTTAGAGATTGGATTTTGTTCCAAACAAGTTTGGTGTCGGCTTTTTCGTTGATACTACTTGTGAAATTTTCCCATGAAGCTTTTTTGATAGTTTTAATCAAATATTTGGTTCTTGCTCGGAGTTTTTCAGTTCAATGAAGTCATCTTGAGAATTGGAGAGTTGAAATTTTCTTAATGCATTATGTTTATCTTTAATTGCCGATTTAATGTTTTGATTCCACCAGGGTACTTTGGGTTTTTTTTATTAGAAGTCGATTTGCATATTGTTAGATTTGCTATTTTAAGTATTGAGTTAGTAAATGTATGTACTATTATATTGGTGTTTACCGTCTCGGCATCATTTATACATTTGATTTCTTCGTCAAGTAATTCATAAAAAAGTGACCAATCGGCACTTTTTAAATTCCACCTTTCACCGGAGGGAGGTTCATCAGGGATCCGAGATAAGTATTTAATGATAATGGGGAAATGGTCACTGCTGGTAATATTGCTATATACTTTCCATTGTAATCTTTGTGCTAGCGATGCGTTAGATAGTGTTAGGTCGATGTTGGACATAAGACCGTTTGCGATGTTTATATGGGTGGGTTCGTTGCTCTTAAGTATTACAATATTGTCGTCATCGAATGCTTTATCAATTTCTTTTCCTCTTCTATCGGTTGACTCGGATCCCCACTTGGTGTTGTGGCTATTGAAGTCTCCGGTAATGATGAAAGGCGTTGGTATTTGTTTTAGAATATTTGTTATGTCGATATGGTCGAAGCTGTGTTGATTTGGTAGATATATGTTGCATATATTTAATTCTAGGCGTTTAAGTTTTATTCTAACCGCTCTGACCTTGAGGTGGGTATTTATGTTGATTAATTTACTAGGGTATTCAGTTTTGACATATATTGTTACTCTCCCACTAGCTCGTAATCCCTCGGTTCGGTTTTTGCTATAACCTGTGTAGTTTGGTAGTTTTCCTGTGTTATCGTTTTTAAAATTAGTTTCTTGTAAACATATTATTGCTGGTCGGATTTCTGATAATATGATTTTTAGTTCGTCGAGTTTTTTATAAAACCCGTTTATGTTCCACTGTAGTATTGTCCACATTCAGATATATTAATATTTATTGCTGTTTTACTATTTGAGTGCGAAGAACTTTAATCGTCTTCTTGGGGTGGCAAGCTTTGAAATAAGAGGTTAGATAGTCTTGTGAGTTTGGTCTTCAATGCTCTATCCGTTATTTTTGGACGAACTTTTTCAATTATGTTTAAAATCGAGGGTATATCTGTATTGACTTGTTTGCATAAGGAATGTATGTTGATCGACTTATTTGAAAAATTTTCAATTACGTATTGAAATTGAGATATTGATAATGGGTCGTCATTGGTATTGAGAAAAATCTCTTGAGCTGGTTCCAATGAGGTTTCCAGGTTTCTTTCTT